CTTGCATTTTAAAATACTTTGCCATGTCTCATACATGGAGTCTACTCAGTCTACATTTCCGCGCATGAACTCTGAACTAAAGAGAATTAGCGGAGCTAATTCCAGTTAAGGCAGCAGAAAAAGAATAGCGGTACGATGTCTCCCGTTGGACAGCGGTCAACAGGACAAGCGCGCCGCAAGCGCGGGCTTACAGCTTACGCTCTGTAGTTGCCGCGGCATATATAAAGCCAAACTGTTAGCATGGATACACATGCCATTTCAATGTTTAGTGATTTCTGTGGTTTCCTGAGCGTAATGTCAAATCGCATCTCCCGCCCGCCTCCCCTTTTGTTTTAGGGAGGGGGTTGTTGTAGAAAGGGCCCATGGGATCCGCTGCGCCGGTCACCTTGTTGCAGAAAGGGCTCATGGGATCCGCTGCGCCGGTCACCTTGTTGTAGAAAGGGCTCATGGGATCCGCTGCGCCGGTCACCTTTCCCTGAGCTACGCATTCTGCCCAAAGTACCAATAAAGTTCATTTCCGGTGCGCGCCCGGCACTGCCTTAATCCGTTGTTTCCGAAGCCGAGATCAGGACCGCGTTTCATGAGCCTTTTCCAAAAGCAATTTACTTATCTTACACTATCCCTTTTTGCCCCATGCCCTTATTGTTTTAAAAGCTGAAGAAGAAAAGTTATATTATATTATCCCGTGTATATTGTACAGACAGTAACCGTGCTTGGGGTTTTCTCTGTCCTTGCTGAGGCCGGCAGTTGATTTGCATGTGTACTTGTACCGCACAGGCCAAAATTATCCCGAACACTTTAAAATTCTACTGGAATGAAAGATGTAAATAATTTGTTTCAGGTGTACGTTATTATGACGCCATTTACATAGGTTTAACTCAGCCCCGGGTATATGACGTGGAAAAAAGGCGACCAGGACGATGAGGTTGGATGTTATGAACGTTATCGTTTGCGAATTTGTTACATGGTGTATTAATAAGCACACTATACCATCGGTATTAAATGGTAAAGAAGTGACGAGTGACGATTAGTTATAGTTAATGTCGTATGTACTGGGACACGTGGTTTAGGCGATGCGAATGGCTTACCGTTCGTTGCTGATTATTGAGCCGGTCATCTCGGTTTATGGACACACCGACGATACCAGCTTGTTTTCATCGGAAATAGAAAATCTATCCAAATCCGAATACAACTACACGTACGGACCTTATGAACTGGTAAAACTATTTCATGAAATTTTTGTAAAACGGTTTGCCCAAATGTCATTATTGAACTCATGCAACCGAGTATTGTCTGTTTACAACAGATCCCGCATTTAGCTTCGACATACGCTGGATTATTAACATTCGCTCAGGTACCGTACGAATGTCAGTTTTAATTTCGAATGGAAGGTTAGCAGGTAAATGCTGTTATATATTCGCATACTCGCATTAGTTTTGGTGGTCAGATTTGTGAATGTTACGAAAAAATAAACTTCGTCCACACTTGAACGGTTCTGGCTGTTTATGCGATAAATACTCATTCTGGAGAGTATATACAGCTTCCTTGCTTTTAGATAGTAGAGAGGCTGCGCATCACAAATTCGATAGCCACTTTTGTCATCCGGCAAAGAATTAGCAAAAGAGTTCTTCAATCGCACGTTTACAACTGAAGTCGGGCAGTTCTTTGTCGATCCGGTTGGTGAGCGCATTCCAACTGTCGTTGTGAACCAACTTGCTTCTGCGCGAAATGCTGCCTGGGTTAGAATACTGTGGCGCAATATATGTCTATATTGGTGTTCGTGCCTTCAGGTCTGCTTTCGTTAATATTGCAGGAACGTTGTTGACTTGTTGCGGAAAGGCGTCATTCCGGAGCCAGATACTTTTGAAGCATCCACTATTCTATTTACGTGAGAACCACTTACTGAACAAAGTTAGCGCTAAAACCAAAGTCTGACCTTTTTCTGAATATAGTGAAGTGGGAGGATTCAAAGACATTCTGGAGAACAAGCTGCTGTCATGGTGTTTCTGAACGAGGTCAGTTCTTCTAGTATGAATAGATTTCTTGATTGATAAAAATTTAAGCAGCTCTCCCCAAAGACACCCTTATTGTTTAGGTTTACACCGCATTTTATAGGACCTTGTCGCGGTTCTATGTGTACAAGGTTGAGACCATTAAAGATTCCTATATGGTATGACATGCATCCATTAAAACCGTTTTGAGGCATTAAAAATCAGCACTACCAATCAAGTTACTGGGTATCTACTGGTAGTTAGAGCACGAATTTTCACAATCCTAAAGCGTGACCTTGCGCGCACGATACACTCATTTAAAATAACCCCTGCCAAGCAGGTTTTTCAACCTTATAGGTAGTAAGCGGCGTGCCTGTTAGGAACGGCCATATCCATGGAAAGGAAATCTTTAAACTCGCCTTATCTTTGTTGGAAATGTATGCAGATTTCGAGAAGCTGTTCGACGGAACTGCCCTTCGTGCCGGAATTCACACGGGCATGACGTGTGGGAGTAGGATCACACGCCGGGACATACGTACGGATGCTGACTGTCCGCCTTCCACCAACAACATAACAGATAATCTAGTCAATCTCTACTGTGATTTGCTGTCCTCTTTTACTAGCGGTGTATATGATGTCATAATGCAGAGTCTATATAAGTTCTTGTCGACGCTAATATGAGTATCAGTAGTCTTGGATTTACTTCTCAGACTGCTTCCTAATTACAATTTCCTAGCGTTGTGGACTGTGTTGTGAACTGGATTAAAGAGGCAGCAATATTTGTTCCTTCTGATGTACATGATCGTTCCCGGATTATTGCATAGAATACAGGTTTGCTCGCGTCACAATCGACCTCGCTCTTGCCGATCCTCGCAGAACCTACGACCGGAAGTTGTGGTTGGACTTCTCGCTTAGGGATTCCTGATTCGCGTTCCCGACTCGTTCGTCTTTTCCACCATAATTGATCTGTTACAGTTTGAGTTGAGAGTTGCCTACCGACTGACATTTACAGGCGTGGAAGAGTAAAGATTGTTCATGAAGCTCTAACCAGCGTGAACGCTTATACACGACAGGCACATGTGCGGCAGGTGTCGTTGGACACAAAGCGCCCCGTTACTGTCTGTAAGAAAGAGCATTTATGAGCAATTTCCGTAATTATAAAATATCCAGACCCTATAAGACTACGAAACGCAAACTTGAAGTTCATCAAGACTTTCGGTTATCCGGTTCGGTGACACCATAAACACGGCCTCGAGAATGCTCATGTACAGTGACGATTCGCGGATCCATATCAGTTGGAATACCTTCGCATTACTGAATGAGCACTTTGCAGAATTTAAAACAGAGATGCGCGGCTTGATTGAAGTGAAGGGAAAGGGTTTGGTTACAACATACTGGTTAATAACACCACGACAACTGGAAACACAATGAGACGTTAACAGATGTTGTTAGCTGTCAAGTTATACTCATTTTGTGGTTATGTGCCGCAAATGTGAACCACCTGCCGGTTCTTTGGGCCAATAACGCTGTATTAACTAATAACCTTTCTGTTTTGCACCGACTATACAGTACAAAATTGCTTAAACTGCAGTTACTGCACCACAGTTATAGAACATTTAAGTTCCGACGCGAACCACCATCAATTTTGATACGGTAATTGTAATATACGGCTTTGATGATCAATGTGATCATGACTTTTTAAGTTTTACGTCTGTTGCAAAGTAGTTTACCGCAGCGTAACAGGCATCACCATCCAAAAGAGGTTTGCAACCTAGCAGTGAAACTGCTTTGAACTTGTTCAGGTTTTAAACCTTTATTTATGGAGCATCTCGGCGCGCTAGAGTTAAATGTCCATAAATTGTAGGTTTGGCGATACTGTGAATACCGCCTCTAGGATGCTGAGTTCCGGTGCGGATTCGCAAGTGCACGTCAAGCGTACTAATATCAATCCACATGCACGCTTGACGTGCATTTTCTATTGGACCTACGCTTGACCAATTCCTGCAGAGCCGCTGCATGAATTTCCCGAGACTAGCCTGAAAATTGGCATTGCAAACATTTTAGTTTTTTATGCCCCAGCGTGATCTATGCCGTTCCTGGATATCTGTAGACGATGCCATAAGTGTGCAAAGTATTGGCAGTGCACTGTGTGAACCAGTTTTATGCGGTATACATTGCTGGGCTGGCTTTGTGCACATCAGTGGTTTATTCAGTTATTTCAGTATATGTACGGTACTTGATTTATTTTCATACTGTATTATTTGCATAGCCAAAAATTTGTAACGCCCTTAATAGCCAAAACTGATTCTCTGAAAATTCTTCCTAAATTTTTCTCAGGAAAATAACCTTATCTGTTGGGGCTTCCGGCCATTAATTGGGGTCGCATTGCGTTGCGTAACCAAAGAGCCAATGCATGACCCCACTTGTCCTTTATAAATACCACACACAACTCAGTAAGCGGTCTCACGGATTAAATATCAATTAAATCAAAAATCCTGAAGTTTAATCCATTATTTACCATAATAATTGTAATTCGCTTAGCTTATACGTAGCAGCATCCTTCTTTCATCGTAGACTGCATTTACGTGCTCTATGAAAAATTCAAGGGATACCGCAAGGAAAGTGTAGGTGCAGAAAACGGTCTTCCCGGAACCAGGTGTATATTTTGCCTATAGCAATTACACAGCAGATGCCGTTTTTATACGAACTACTATGGATGAGTACGAGCGCCATTTTGCGGCAATACAAATGAATATTATGTAATGTGTAATACGCCCTTCTCATTTCTGGCTGAGAATTAGAAAACGTCACCTCGATGCATACACATCTGTTTTAAAGAGCTACACACTTACTTTTCACTAGGATTATTGTAACAACGCTCAACGCCGATTATACTGCCGCGCTAATTCCAGGGTGGTGGTTAAGAAACTGGTTTTAAATTTCGTATTATCTGTTAGACAAATACAAAGCCGTTGATTCCCTGTATCTAGAACCAAGCGGCAGTTTACCATGCTTGAGGCAGCAGCCAATGCGACTCCAGCATGTCGTTCAGGTCTACATGTCGAGATCTTCGCCCTGACCATCGTCCATCCAGTTTTACTGGCAACCCTGCCCTATTTGGGACCGGCATACACGAAAGCGCTACAACGTATTCGGCAGTCGTATCCCGAAGTGAATATTACCCAGAGACTGCTTTCGGATCCAAATTATCGAAACTGTGTGGACCTTTCTGCTGATGGCGTTAACAAGGTCACAGCAGCTATAGCTGACAAATATAGGGAAACAGCTCCAGATCCATGTCATCTCTACGTTCTTTTATACCTAGGTGTGTGAATTATACAGTCTGATCGCTGAGTTCCCTCCTACTATTTTTCATTTCGTTTAGTGATTATTTTGCGATCATCACAAATTGTATTTTGCTGGAAAAAAGACGTTAATTCACTTTCTCCGAAGGGCTAATTTATTGTCAGTTTGGATATATGTAACGAAAACATTATTTGCAAATTCTAGGTTGCACCGAAGTTTCCGAAATTTATCAAATAGCAAGAGAACTTGATATTTTAATGCTAAGCAGGTACGGTAATAGAATCATCGTGAAAGTACAATTGATATTTATATTTTATAATGTTTGTATACGAGTATTGTTTGTAAGCGTATCTATACATGGAAGTGATGATAGAACCGCGAAATACAAATAGCTAGTATTCACTGGCAGTTTTGTGCAGATACTCGAATTATTGCCGGCTACTGCTCCTTTTGCTTTTTTCAGCAACCGTATCGGTATTATATTAATGATGAACGTTCTACAGTGTAATCAGCCTGCCTGTTATACGCAACAAAGAATTATCTACGACGTGGGTGACTTTTGGGTGTAATTCTCCTTCAGCGTACACAAAAGTTTTTTTAAATCTTGTTACGATGTTCAACTGGACTTCCCTGATCATGATAACTGATTATGGCTCAAATCCATACTTTTACCAACTGGCGGACACATTACAGCCTTTACTGGCAGTCGGTCGGCAAGTTTACCGCGAGAACGTCAACACTAAAAAGGATACGAATTTCAGAGATATACTTACGCGCTGGAACTCCGTTTCAAGAGGTGCTCAAGAGGTGTTTTTTGCTGTACTCTTTAGTATCATGCAGATACAGCATTTTTAGATCCTGTGCGCCTGCGTTTATTTAGTTCATCCGATTGTTTGTAGTGTTTATTTTTCTTGGTGAACCAAACGGATTTCGGAAACTATTGGTAAGAATGCCATTAGTCAATACTGGATAGAAACAAAACCTCTGAAGTCAGCTTTTTTCATGGTTGTGATTCTGATAATTATTATAGCTTTATGCAACGGAATTGCACATGACTGACGGAGAACACGTACGTATTATAACATAAATTTTGTTCGTATTTCAGCGATTTTAAATTAAACGATTTGTTGCAGGTGTTTGTTATTATGACACCATTTAGGTTTAATTCAGAACCCGGGTACCTGACTTGGAAAAAAGGCGATCAGGACGATGAGGTAAATGTATTGGAAGCTGAAAATCTATTACATTTTATAATTAAGCTGAGCAATTATCAAAATTCATAATACTCGGAAAGAATGTAATTTACATCATGTACTTATAATAATAATTACAAGAAACAGTTTCGGCTTCGCCGCCGCGTTTCTTGTGATCCGTGGCCGGTTTGAATGGAGAGTTTAGTTCACTAGTAAATGTGTTAACAACCTTAACAGTTATTGTAAAACGTCTTAAGGAGAGACTCTAGATTAGATTCTCCAATCAAAAAATTATAAGTTGAACCACGCATGGACTGGACAGTGGTGGAAGCTCGGTCACCCTTTCATCTTGGCGATCGATTGGCGATCGATTGGCGTTGTCAGTTTAAACAAATCGTTTGATTATTGAGATCTAAAAGACTATGGGGCGCCGCGCAGAGTATAGATCTTGTACTTAATAAGTATTGTTTTACGTAGGCGCTGCACGGTTGCAACGGGCAAGCCTAATATAACATATGGCAGACGTAGTCTGTCTATATATTATATTAGTATAGGATCCAGCGTGTAACTGAAAGGTCAGAACTCTCTAAGTGAAAGGTCAGAATGATTCTGTCTGTTCTGAGCTTTTGCGTCTGTCTATCCTCTAACGGGGAAAAGATGGAAAGTAAAGGACACTAAAGGTTAGCCTCAATCCTGTCTGTTCAGTTGCCGATTCTCTGTCGGATTCCCATTTGAGTAGTGAAGAGATGCTGTACATCAGTACATGTATCCCAAAGCTAGACGGTGGGTATTCCAACAACAATCATACACGTAGGGCAGCAGGCTTGCATTCTTATTGTTCTGCGACAGTATTAGCGGAGAACTCAACTCACTCTCCATACTATCTTCGCTCAGAAAAAAATTATTGAACTGGAACACTTAATTGCTGGTTTCCCAGGACAAGAATGCTGTGTCCACTGTCCAGGATGAACAGTGCATGTCAAAATAACGTATTGTTAGACATCAATAACGTATTGCTATACATTTCCGAAATTCTACCCTAGAAAATCCACGTTGGAACTAGACAACTCGTACGCAGATGAACGCATGGTTGCGATTTAACTGGCATCAGTGAAATGTGTATTTTCCTCTTCAGTATCCAGTATCCACACCGAATTTCTTTTGAACGACTGCAGTGTTTTACAAAAGAAGCCCAAATAGATCGAAAAACTGCACCCATGTCACCGGTGTAGCCATAATGAAAGGGAACACTGGAAGCGATGGTCCGGTGGTATGGTTGCACTTTTTCGATCTATTTAGGCTTCCTTTGTAAAATACTGCAGTCGTGCAAAAGAAATTCGGTGAGACGGTAAAATTTAGCTTTTTTTTCAAACTTTTCACTGCATATTTTTATTATGTAATAATGATATAACCACCGCCTACGTATTCAATTCCTCTACGGGGGAATTGTCACGAATGTGTTTCTTGTTTTAGACAGTGCGACTGGCTTATCGCTCAGTCTTAATTATTGAACCGGACAGTGCGATTTATGGTGATAGTGACCTTATTGGCTCATTTTCTTTGGAAATGAAGAACATGTCAAAATCCGTGTATAATTACACATATAAGCCTTATGAGCTGGTAAAATTATCTCACAAAATGTTACTAGTGAATTTATGCAAACTACTGTACTTATAGTCTCGCGTGTTTACTCTAGATCAGTCCACATGTGGCTGCGACATACGCTGCATTATTAACATTTGCTGAGGTACGTACTGTCAGTTAAAAATTTAAATTTCACTTGTGGCCTTGTAGGGACTTGGAATAGATAATAATTACATTTAATAATTATGGATAGTTAATGATATTATTATTCTGTTCGGCGCCTTGTACTGGTATCAGTTCTGGGGATCTGATTCATGATTGTTAATAAATGTTGTGCGTAGATCCACAAGAACAGTTCTACATATTGCTTTCGTACAGTAATTTTTAGAGATTTTATGGGTAGTCAACTTTTGTGCTTTTAGATAGTAGATAGGCTGCGCATCACAAATTCGGTGGCCACTTTGTCGTCCGGCAAAGAGTTAGCCAAAGAGTACCTCAATCGCACATTTGTGACTGAAGTTGGACAGTACTACGTTGATCCCGTTGGTGAGCGTATACCCACTGTTTTGGTAGAACAGCTTGACTGGAATACATCCGAGCCTCGGGTAAACTGATTGCTGTAATATCCAGGCACGGTTTATACGATTTCAATCATTACAGACCCTTTTCTTGCAAGATCCAGCAAGCTTAAGCTTTCGGCTTATTAATAAACCTTACTGGCCAGGAATCTGGCCACCACGAAACGAGCCTCACTGTGGTTTTCGAGGCGATTCAATCGCCTGTGTATCTACAGGTCTGTAAGATTATAAATTTTGCATACACATTTGCATATAAAATTTCAGCATCAACAAATAGTTAATGGATCGAGCTACGGATTGTCGTTGATTTTTAGCGCGAAATGTTGACCTTTACGCTGGATCCGCTGGAGGGATTGCTGTTCTCGTCATTGTTTTAGCAATAGCTATACTTCGGTAAGTAGGCGGTAGAAGTTAGGCATTGGTAACTCCACTGGCATTTCTACAAACCATGTTACAATATTTTGTTGTGCACTTTGCCTGCTAAAGAGTTTTACTGTAATAATATGTATACAATACGTTTTTGGCTTTTGCGGGAGCCTATATAATTATAGAACTCCTACGGCTACGAGTAGAATCTCACTAGCTGCCTCGCATATAGGAAAAGAGCATACGACGCACTGCTGAAGAGCTCGTGGAATGTGGACCCTAGTGCACTGAGTGACCTTAGCGGAAACCGCACCTTTGAAACAACCGTTTTGGTGAGTGGGCTAGCTAACAATGTCTTTAAACGCCGCATAAAAATAAGTCTAAACATCGGCAAAATGGCAGCTTACAAACTGTTTACGTAATAAACAGGTTCATACCTAAATCGTGGTATACGTGAAAGTTTCTTCACTATTTATCTAGGGATATATCATTAAGAAGGTGATTGTTAGGCAGTCTATTTGTAGCATCGAATGCAAGACTGCTATATCTCTGCAGGAAAATGGCGCTACTGCAGAGCAGGTGACCATGAACTACAAAAATCAGCAAACTGTCTGGATCACGTCTGCAGTTAAATTATGGGATGTTGCTGCAGCGAGAAGCTTTTCTCCCGATAAAACCACTGCGATGTACCTTAACCATGTACGTCACTCCCCGCGAAAGATTTTCTGTGCATAAATAAAAACTATAACAGTATATTCAAAGTAGCAACTAATTTTTTCTACCGGTCTTGAGATACGGTCACTACTAATAGCTTAAAGATAATACGCTTCCTGTAGGTTTCACCGTTGCTTTTTGTCACTATCTTTTGTGTTGCAGCTACTGCGATTAGACCATCCGAACGTAAACAGTTTTATTGGATTGTGTATACTTGAAAGTGCTTCCTGCACCTATTTTGTCAGTGATTACGTTCAACGCGGTTCTTTAGCTGCGCTACTGTCACGGACGGGATTAGATTACGACCTGCAGATTGCTTTGATTTTCGATGTCCTTAATGTAAGTGTCTACCAGTGCAGGGCGGGGTTTTTGAATCCTAACAAAGTCTAGAAAAACCGGTCTCATCCGTAGGGAGCCAAGGCCATTGAGCGATCGCCCATTCGCAGCCATGGAAATCTGTCGAGTAACTGCTGCTTTCTCGATAAGCATTTCACGCTGAAAATCGGTGAAACAGGATTTACTACAATCAAAACCCTGATCACTCCGAACAATTATAAAGTGGACAAAAATCATGCCGAACACCTTCATAGTGATTTGTACGCAGTGGGGCTGATTCTTTTCCATATCATAACCTCTGATGATCCATTCCCAAATCCGGGTACAAGACTTTACGTAATCTATGGTGCTAACGGTAAACTGATCATCATATATACTGGTACTGTTAATGAGCAAAATTTATTAATGTAGCAAAAGTCCAGATAAAGCCGCAAGATTTGTTTCCAACAAATTTTGCAACATTCCTGCCACTGATAAAGTCGTGTACGGACGACACAGCAACAGCGCCAGCGGTGACGAATGTGGCTGGTTTGCTGCGAAAAGTTAAATCCACTCTGGAACTGAAGCATGGATACGCCGACAATGTTGGTCTTTTGGAGCGGATCCTTCGCCGACTGGAAGATTATACGGAGGAACTCGATCATCAAGTTGCCGTGCGGACAATTGCTCTTTCGGATGAGAGACGAAAATGTGACTTGCTTCTGCGCGAAATGCTGCCAGGGTCAGAATATTGTGGCGCAAAATAAGTTTACACTGCTGTTTGTGTCTCCACGGCTGCTTTTGTTAACGTTGCAGGGACGTTGTTGACTTGTTACGGAAAGGCGTCATTCCGGAACCTGATTCTTTTGAAGCGGCCACTATTCTTTTTACGTGAGAAATACCTGACAAAGTTAATGGAAAAAAGCGCAGTTTGACCTTTTTTCTGAATTTAGTGAAATAGGAGGATTTAAAGACATTCTGGAGAAAAACAAACCAGCTGCTGTCATGATGTTTCTAAACGAAGTGAGATTACCGACAAATTTCTTAAGCAAATGGAAGTTTTGGCAGGCAATGTTACTACCATGCTGTAGGTGTACACCGCTTTTGACAGGACATTATCGCGATTCGATGTATACAAGGTTGAGACGATTAAGGATTCTTACATGGTACGGGTATATATAGACCTCATTCCATAAGAACGATTTTCTGAATTATATTATTCTTGAAAATATTTAAAGATCTGTCGCTGGCTAATATTAGGAATGTATTTCATACAGTTTCGCAGTGTGACCTTTCCTGATGGATATACGCACCTTAAAATAACGACACTTACGATTTTTTGGATTATTGTAACTTACAGGTAGTAAGCGGCGTACCCACTAGAAACGGTCATATGCATGGAAAGGAAATCTGCAAACTCGCAACCTCCATGCTGAAAACATATGCAGATTTCGAGAAGCTCTTCGACGGAACTGCCCTTCGTGCTGGGATTCACACTGGCTCCTGTGCGGCAGGCGTCGTCGGACACAAAGCGCCACGTTACTGTCTGTAAGCAGGCGTACTTAATTATAATAATCACGCACGCTGTATGAAACCACTAATCAAAATAAAACTAGGTTTCCAAAACTGTCGATTATCAGGTTCGGTGACACCATAAACACGGCCTCGAGAATGCTCATGTACAGTGACGATTCGCGGATCCATATCAGTTGGAATACCTTCGCATTACTGAAAGAGCACTTTGCAGAATTTAAAACAGAGATGCGCGGCTTGATTGAAGTGAAGGGAAAGGGTTTGGTCACAACGTACTGGCTAGTAACGCCGCGTCAGCTGGAAACCCAGTGAAATATTGGCATTATTACTGGCAGTTTATCTGCCCTCTTGAATAAGCAGTTTTACAGTATACTGTTTCTTACCATAATTGGTAAATATCACAGATGTAAACAGTGCCGGTTCTGTGGGTCTTTAGCCCAAAAGCTTTATATTGACCTTTTCATTCTTCATCGATTTTGCACGTATATGCATTGTCCACAGGTAGGTATAAACTATTGTTTATACGCTGAGTAAATTGCACTAGAAATAGCAAACTGTATAGAATTCCGATGCAATCTCCTCTGCTTTTAACGATTTCGTCTTGACGTAACGGTATATTGTACATGCTCTAATGGATTATTTCTTCATTCTCACGTTCTCTCTGCTCTGCATCATGCGATTTTAATATCAAGGCTCCAGAGGAGCTTTTTTAGATGTTCTTTTTGTCTTGCTGCGGCAGTCTTTCTTTCAAATTTATGTTTAGCCGCAACCTGTTTTATAATGAATGAATCCACGTTAGTGAATTCCACGTATTTATGCAGCGTACTAAACATTGAAATCGTTACTCTGACAATTATCCAGCCAGTTTTGCTGGGAGCTTTAACATATCTAGGACCGGCATATATCAAGGGATTGCAGCGTACTCGGCAGAGGCATCCATCTTTAAATATCACGCAGACTGTTCTTTGGGACCCATCTTATCGTACTTGTCAGGATCTTCAAGCGGATGGCGTAAATAAAATCACAGCCCATGTAGCTAAAACATACAAATCTTCTAATTCAGATCCCTGCTTTATCACTGTGTTAATGTGGGGCGGTAAGTCGCATATCCAACATTTATTTGAAAGCGGTATTTCAGATTAACCGTGTTTTTTACTTTTATTGTTTGCCGCAACGGCAGATTTCAATGCTCAAGATACGTACGAGTAGTTCTGGTTTCGTTTTTTAGGGTGCAGCGAAGTTTTAGAAATTAATCCCATAGCGAGAGAACTGGATCTTTTTATGCTCACCAGGTAAATCTTTCGCGGAAATTCCAATGCCCAGCTTCACAATCAGCTTTTGACTGCTTACATAAGAAAATTTATGCACAACGGCTCTTTAAATTTTATCGGTTACAGTGTTGCCAGTATGCCTGATTTGCGTAAAAAAAGATTATCACCAACCTGGATAACAACTACTGTCAACTCGATGTTGACCTATGTCAATGTCTATGTTGAACTTGCCAGAATGTTCAGCTGGACCTCATTGGCTATAATAACTGATAACGGGGCCAATCCTTACTTCCCGCAGCTTGTCGATTCAATGTATCCCCAGATTTCTCCAGGAAGACAAGTGTATCGCGAAAACATTAACACAAAAGAGGCTGTGGACTTTAGGAAAATTCTCCTGCATTTGAATTCCTTTACAAGGAGTAATTGTTTTGTTTCGCTTCCGTTTAAAATAGTGCCAATTTTCAGCTTGCACATTTTGTAATTATTTATAGTACACGGGTTTTTGTTGCAGTTTTTATCTATATGGGCGACCCCACTGGATTTCGCAAACTTTTGGTATAGTGATGCACAATTTAATTTCGTTAATTTCCTAATATCCCGGAACAGGAATTATAGTACCTCCTGTATTAACTTTCTTAAATTTGAATCATTTTAATTAGTGTCTATCAGGGACGCATACTGTTATGTGTTGTGGCTTTTGCTGAATAAAGCTGTACTTTCATATCTCTGCTTCTATTTATTTACAGCTCAAAGCGACGGAACTAAATTTGACCAATGGTGAACATGTATGTCGCAGCAATTTATCGGTTTTAGTTTGTTAACTGACTGTTTAGTTTGGATGTTTTGGTTATGCGGTAATGAATTGTACGATACACCGCACTTTGAAATCTCGCAAACATTACAGTCGTTTACCTTTCAGGTTTACGTTATTGGTACGCCTTTTAGATTTAGCGCCGAGCCTGGATATCTGCACTGGAAGAAAAATGATACGGATGACGAGGTATCGTGGTCGCTGTTAAGTTCAACTTCTTCGGTACCTATCATCAGTTTGCAGTGAAAGGCATAGCCGTTTTGTTCTGTAAATGCCTTCGTAAAAATTCTTATTTTATTGTGTAATATACTGGTGTTTTACTAGGTCGTTCAATTAGCCTACCGATCTGTCCTGATTATCGAGCCTGATGGTTCAGTTTACGGGCGCACTGATGGCTCGGATACGTTTTCTTTGGAAATGAAGAATCTATCGAAGACCGAATATAACTATACATACCGACCTTATGAATTGGTAAGGCTAAAATATTTACAATATTGATTGACTGCGCTTAGCTGTCGAAATATAGTATATTTCGATAGGCATACAAAATTTTGGAATCACAAGATCATCGTAGAATACCTGTCAAACTCTTAATTATTTTGCGCTTATATTATATATGCTGTTGTTAACCAGATGAGCCCACATCCGGCTTCTACATATGCCGGCCTGATGATGCTAGCACAGGTAAGCTGTACATAATTACATAGGTATATCAGTAACATTTGGAACTGCGAGAGAACTGATTAAAATACATCTTTTAGGTCATGGAGAATCTGCGTTCTGTCAATGCATATGAGATATGGTCATCCGGAAGAAAAACCGCAAAACTGTTTCTGAATCGTTCCTTTGAGACTGACGTAGGCCGGTTCTACATTGATCCGGTCGGCGAGCGTATTCCGACCGTACAAGTGAACCAACTTGACTGGAACACGTCACAAATTCGGGTATGATATAAATAAGACACGTTCTAGCTTCTTTAAATGGTGACATGGCCGTGCACGTACAGGATGGCAATCAATTGTAGACCCTTTTCGTACAAGATCCTGCTGACCTTCGTGTGCACGCTGTTAACGCACCACAATGGCCGGGCATATGGCCACCGCTTAACGAACCTAAATGTGGATTTCGGGGTGATGCGTCGTCGTGCACACCCAAAGGTTAGTGTACCGTAAATATATCAGCGAATTCTTTGTCGATACAACATCCGAGAAGGTTTTACTTTGTCACACATTTAACCAAAACTAAGCACTTTCTCGTATGCGGGGTGTTGACAGCCAATTTACTTTAACAGGAAATACTGACCTTTATGCCGGCTCGGGCGGGGGAGTTGTCGCCTTGATTATATTAATTATTTTGGGAGTTTTCAGGTTTTCTCGGTAAGTCTCTATTCGTTCTGGTAGATTATATTCGAAATGTTATGAAATTTGATTTGCACGATGTTTTACATCTTGCGATTCTTGCAGGCACACGGCTTACGACGCACTGCTGAACATCGATTCGTGGAGAATTGAGCCCGTGGTTCTACGTGCTGTCGGTGACACGAACCAAGTGTTGATTCCCAAAAATCTATCGGTAGGCATTAAAATTTAAAACACTTGGTTTAGTACGCCGTATCAATTTATTACTTCAAAGCAGATTTACCTTCAGGAACTTGTTGGTAATACAAAACCAGTGGCAATGAAATACGCCAACGACCAGCTGGTTTGGGTCACTTTGGCGACCAAATTGCCCATTCCGTCTACAGCGAAGACATTTCGTCCAAACAGAATTGCACTAGTGATGATAAACCATGTACGTATTTAGAAATCGCCTTATAACTCAGTGTCCTTTGCCTTTTTTGGTGTAGAGATCTCTCTTCTCGGCGGTGGGCGTTTTATCCGTAACTGTAAATAAAATGAATTTTTGAACAGTTGCATGCTTACATGATTAATTACACATAACAAATTAAAAGGCAGTACGTACTGATACGATCATGTCCACTCATTCCTCTTGCAGCTTCGCCGCTTGGATCATCCCAGCATAAATCGATTTCTCGGGTTAACCGTCTCCGATAGTGGATTACACGTGTACTTCGTCAGCGACTTTGTTCAACGCGGTGCCCTCACGTCATTATTGCCCCAAATGACTCTAGATTACGATTTGCAAATTGCGTTAATATTCGACGTGCTAAAAGTAAGCAGTGACAACAAAGTGTACGGATAACTACAGTTGCTGTCTTCCTTGTCACGTTTGATTTAGGGTGTCAAGGCAATTGTGCAATCTTCAATTCGATATCACGGAAATCTGTCCAGTCAGTGCTGCTACGTTGATAAGCATTTTACCTTAAAGATCGGTGAAACAGGTTTCAACAAACTCAGGAAGTTAATCAGTCAGGAAACTGCCGACTTCACTGACGGCAACAATCGTGACATCCGTGCGGTGGGACTTATTTTGTTGCACGTAATCACTTTCGAAGATCGCTTCGCCAGTTTAGGTACGACTACACTGCACTTAATAAAATTATAGAATTACGGCATTTATAATGAATATGATCCCACAAAAATTTTCCGCGGATGCACAAAATTCGCACGTGAACAGTTATAGTCGTACAATATTTACCATGTACAACACTTTTACTGTTTACTATATTTACCATGTACTGTCGTATTACGTTTGTAGAGAAATTTAAATCCACTACCAACGAACAATCACAAGATTCAATTCCGCCAAAATTTTCTAAAGTGGTACCGCTTTTAAAACAATGCGTGGAAGGATCTTCAGCGACGACAATATCGGATATGAGCAGTCTAACCCGAAAGGTCACGGCAGCTGTTGGATTGAACGCCGGGCGCATGGAAGATACTCATCTACTTGAGCGAATTATTCGCCGGTTAGAAAACTACACCATGGAGCTGGATCATCAGGTTGCTGTGAGGACAATTGCCCTTGTAGACGAACAGCGGAAATGCGATATACTGCTGCGGGAAATGTTGCCAACGTAATGATCTTTGATACCGCTTTATTAATTAAATAATAAGAGTATGAATGCAACGACGTCATATTCTTTCTGCTTAATAATCGTAGTAAGCATATCGATTTACTGCGGAAAGGAACAGTGCCGGAGCCGGAAACGTTTGGTTTAGCAACCATTCTTTTTACGTGAGCTGCTTGCCTACAAATTGACCCCTTTGTGCCTCCAAAGTACTTAATTATTACGTCATCCTAGAGAAATCGGAGGATTCAAAGAGGTTGTGAAAAACAGCAAACCGGCTTTCGTCATGATGTTCCTGAATGACGTAATAATTTTGACCAACGATATGCGACGTTCTGTAGCAGCATATTTGGGCCAAGTGATACCTGTGTATATATATTTTCTAAAAAATTATTTAATTTATTATTTGAATTTTCTTGCAGATAACGGAGTTTTTTGTTTTCTGTAAATCTATTTCTGTAGGTTTATACAGCATTCGACACGGTGCTGTCAAGGTTTGATGTGTACAAGGTTGAGACCATAAAAGATTCTTACATGGTATGAATTATTGGTTCCTTTTCTAAATACGGATAGTGAATTTTTATAATATCTTTAGGTTGTGAGCGGTATACCCCTGAGAAACGGACACGCCCATGGAAAAGAAATTTGTGAACTTGCCTTTTGCTTGCTAGATGCCTACTCTTCATTTGGAGTGTTATTTGATGGAACGTCTCTGCGATCCGGGATACATACTGGCTCATGTGCTGCCGGTGTCGTGGGTCATAAGGCTCCACGTTATTGCCTGTAAGTAGTGTGCGATTACGATTACTGTGAAATGAATTTTAAAGGCATTTTTAAAATACCGGAATCGCATGAGGTTACGAGACATCATATATAACAGCCAATTAACCACTTAATTTCTGATAACAGCTGCTGTTATATGTATTGTACAGTACATTGATTTACAAGGAAGCTCCAACAATTTTGTTTTGTTATTGCAGGTTTGGTGATACAGTGAATACCGCATCTAGGATGCTGATGTACAGTGATGATTCACGAATTCACATCAGCGAGAGCACTTTTACGCTGTTGAAGGAACATTTTCCAGAATTTCAGACCGAAAGACGTGGGACAATTGAGATCAAGGGAAAGGGGTCAGTTACCACGTACTGGCTGGCTACTGCACAGTTATCTGTGAACTCTAGAAAATGAAATTAGTATTACTGCAAACAATCCAAGAGAGATTCCGTTGTAGCACAATTTCACCAAAAGTTTATGTCCCAGAAAATAAATAACTGCTGCTGTGACCGATCGCGTGAGGCTTTTTATTAACATGGCCATTTCTTTCCAACATGTAAGTTACAATAAATCACCGTTTAATCCAACAGGAAGCGCAGTTTTAAGCTTGTAAACTACCAGTCCCATTGGCTTCGAAAAAGCAAGCAAATTTCATAATTAACATTTTCATACAACGCGTGGCAGAAAACAAGAAAAACTGAAGACGTCCAGATCAGCTTTTTCTCTTTGGCACAAAGGGATCGAACAACTTCGGATCATGAAGAAAAACAGGTTCCGTTACGCCCAATGAGCGGGGCATATACCCTGAAAAAAACGGCAGATCAATCAATCAGACAGACTTATCAATTTCTGCCCCTCGACATCTGTTCGCTGTTTGGTAAACAACGGTTGTCAGCTGAATATGCAGTAAAGAATTTACCAGTGGATCACGAAAATTTTAGTTCAATGTTGTACTCCAAAAGGTCAGCAGCACCGTTGCTTACATAACATTGATAACAAATGGATATAAAGTGGTTAAGGTTTTTTCTGCCTTAATGCAGGGCACGCTACACGACAATAAAAATTATCAAATACAGTCGGTCCGACAGACGTATTTAATATTGTTATACAATGCGCGATCACGGGAAATCAAATAAAAAGGCATGAATGAAAAGAACAAATTTACTCAAATGCCTGCTGATATCGGCGTCAAAACGGTATAATGCAATATCGATATGTGGTTATTTACACGGTTGGGATTTGTTATCGAAGTTAGCTTACTGCTGAAGAATGCAACAAACATGAAGGAAAACATTACGAAATGTTTTCCACCTACCAGCAATACAAGCTTCCTTATGGCAATGCCGCAGCTTCTCATCCTGCATCCGACACAGTCCCGTGGTCTGGCGTTCATAAATCAAGCCGGTGTAACGTGAAACAAACTGCGATATCAGACGCGCATTCTGCAACAACAAATAAAATTCAGTGCTTACCGGGATAACCAAGACATTATATTGTAAAAACTTTTAAAAATCATTTCCATACCTTGTAATCCAGTTCAATGTTGTATTTACACAAAATACATCGTTCTCTTTCCTTCTTGTAGGGATTTGGCATAGCTTCAAGCGGCTGACGACAAAAAACAAACCTTGAATAAATAATTGTACTGCTACATGTAAACGCTTTTAGTCAATGTAAATAAAATAAATACAAAAATTAATACCACTAAATAACTAGTAACTATTTCTCTAATATTGTCAGCATACAATTTCATGACATAAACAAGAAACTATGCCAAACGGCCCGAACCAGTAAAAACCTACCAAGTCGCCTTGCATCTCCTGCAGAAGCTTCTCAACATTCGCCAAGGAAAATGTCGCCGCGATCTGCTCTTCCACTGGTGGCTGATCGAGATAGCGTACGCGGCGTTTAGTGGACTGCAGATTTCCCTCGGTGTCGATAAAGTACCAGTACTCCGGGCGCAGGAGCACTGTGCGCTGGGATTGTGTGACAACTGGCTGGATTTCTGCAACACAGAGCACCAACAGCATGAAACACTGCGGGTCTTCGAACACATAGAAACCAAAACAGACGAGTACTGCGTACTTAATAACCGATTGAGAACAGTACTACTGTTCACTAATATTGTTGCTGCCGATCTCGGTATCATTGTTCTTCGATAAAAATCATAAAATGAATGAAATCAGATGATCCGAAAGTGAACTGATGCGAAGGCCGCAAGATAAGTTAAAAGTGTGAAGATCAGTATGCCAGAGTGGGGCTTTATCCAGCTATAAAATGCTTTCCACTTCTGGTTAGAAGTTCCCGAAAATAATCAAACTATTTTGCTAAAGGTGTTAAAAAGTTCAAAAGTTTGGAAACTGACAAATATCAAAACGAAATTTTTGAAATCTCCTGTCGCGCACATATGTACCTCATACAGTATCCGGATCCGGAAAACGAGGTCTACACACACCGTCTCCCTAGGGTGGTTGATGTAACGTATCGAAAACTAGTCTTGTACCTGCGCTGGTGTGCAGTCACAAGCCGGGACCCTCCACGCGTTTCCGCTTCGTGAAGTCACTGAAGTGCAAGTTTGTTTTGATAGTTTCTAAGTTTCCCTTTGAACTTTTCAATGTTCCCTTCCCTCCATCGGAAGTGTAAAATTCGAGTCAATCAAAATTTTGAAGACTTGACCCGTGACTTTCGGATATAAATTTATCTATATTATGCATACTCTGTGACGATGTGAGTAGGAGGTTTCGCCACGACTTTTTGTGCGCATCGACGTTATGCCTCTTACAAAGTAATTTATAATCAACTCATTCAGCTGCCTCTCCTGTTTTTGTAACAATGGACCATTAATCCTTGACGAAGCACTTCATACTACGTTCATGGCCCCCAATTTGCGGAAATTAAGAGCAGGCACGGCTCAGCGAGCGAGATTCAAGCCTAAACTGCGCACTCTGAAAACCACAGCCAAACGTACACGCATTGTGAGCCCCAAGCCTGAAGTGCCTGATATTACCAGGTCTACCAAGAAGATCAAAGCCAAACCTGTAGATGCCAAGCCCAAAGCGAAGGAGAAAGAAAAGCCCAAATCTGTGCCTCCTAAGCCCACACGACCTTCTTTTGAGAGTATTTTATTGAGGCATCTGACAGAAAAACAGCGAGGACAATTCTCGAAAGACTTCAGAGAAAAGATTAATAAACTTGGGAAATCGGTAAGCAATAGCATTTTATAGTTTGCCTTTAAGTTACTTGATTTATTTTTACACTCTGAATTGGAAATAATTATGTTCACACTTTTTGACAAAATTAAAATGATTTAAATAGACGTGGTTGAAATAATTCTGATTTTGCTTTGTACTGAAATAGATTTGCTGCCTTTTTTTTGCGCATTAAACTGTGATTAAAGTTTGGTATCGTACCGATTCGTACGTACTAATTTTAAAGCTAAGCAAAAACAGGCTGAAGGTATTACATTTTGTGTTACAGCGGTTATGTTTCACAGCTACCATAACATGTAATTATAAACCAAACCACCCAGGTTTTCTTCAATTTTCTGGCTTTTGAATTGTTTTACAATGGTAAATGCACACTTTTTTTTCTGAGAATGACTGTAAACGATGTTAAGATTAGCTGGTTTGATTTTTGCAGCTGATAGAATTGGCTGCAGTTAAGAAAGAATTCCGGGATACTGACGCGAAAGTCGCACAACTGGAGGAGACGTACGGCCGGACGATGAAAATCCAGAATGTCTGGCAGTATCAAGAGCGGGCTGGATTGGCCGCTGTTCTGGGCATGGATCCACAGTCCATTATGAACACTCCCCATGTGTTCCGCGACGAACACAGGCTGTTGTATAATTCGGCTTACCCGCGCAATCGCCATCGGTCGCCGGAGAAATTCGCATCCCCATCGACATCTTCCCGCTCCGCATCTCAACCGCCTCCGCGCGCTCGTACTCGCTCGCAGCTTCATGCGGAACAGATTAAGAAGTTCGGATTAAGCACTTCGGATGACGAAGATTGAAATGTGTGGAAAAGGCGGACTGTTGGTTCGGCTAAAGTGTAATGTTCCTGCAGTTGTTCATGGGAAATTTAGGACTACCTCTACATATATACTATGTTTAATTGGTTGGTTGGTATTTTCTTAGTTTTCGTGTGTTTTGTTTTCACGGCGTGTAGTACTTTTATTTCAGTATTCTGCAAACCTGGTATACGTAGTTTCGCAAAAGCTCGACTTTATCGTTATCTTTGGTTGGTTTTATCGGATGCTTAAGCGTCAGATTGGGTTAACTGGGGTTTTACATTTTTTAATTGTTGTGGTTTATTTTAGCGTTCTTTGCTGTTTTTTTTACCGAAGCAGTTTTTTTAGCAGCACAATAGCTGTTGTGGAACGGATTAAAAATTGAATCTCTTTTAGTACATTGAAGTATTATAATTGGCAGCGGTGAATGAAAAGTGTTTGAAATTAAGTGCGAAAACAATTTTCTACCCAGAAATTTGTTTCGAATAAGCAACCAATACTTATCATGAATAAGCTAACAAAACACTAAGCTAACGCGTTATGAAAATATAAGTTGGCCTTACCATTAGTATTAGGACACTGAAGAATTTGACAAGTTACAAAATTAATTATTACATAGCCAAATAATTATTACATAGTTGGGTAATTTGCTGGTAGATTGTCGATTGTCAATGTACGGAAGTTTTTTTAATAATGTATGGTTTTTGTTAGGCTGACGATATATGCTTATTTATTTTATTTATACGTAAAACGTAAAAAGCACAAATGATTAATACGCATTTATTAAGTGTGGCCGTGGGAGGAATGATAAAAATGCAGAAGATACGGTAACAAAAGCACAAAAATATTCCCATGCGGGGAATCGAACCCCGGCCGCCGCGGTGAGAGCGCGGAATCCTAGCCACTAGACCACATGGGACTTCGCCTTATGTACAATGAATCAATTTTTGCGTGAGCTTGACTAACGCAGCTCTGCGCTCTGCAACGCAGACTTGCTGAACATGTGCATACAGTAATTATACCATATTAAATTTTGTAACTTGGACGTACAAATATCAGGATGTTATTGATTATGATCACAAATTATTAATTTCTGTTCTTGTGAAGTAGAGCTTTTAAGCCTTTCTATCATGATAACAGTGCTAATATTAGTGGGTAATCCTCGGAGTTCAGACTCAGTGAAGCTCCAGTAGTTATCTATACGTACGAGTATTTGTACCGCATGCTGATGTTTGTTAAAGTTGTTATAAATCAGATATGCCTCTACCGGTAGGTGTCAGAATGTTGCGAGCCAGCCGCAACTAGTGCAATATTCCAACTTCCCCTTCTATCAAACGACACCTGCAAACAGTTTCCATTTCTTTTACAACAGATGCTGCTTTGCTGTATTTCTTAAAAATTTTTAGTAGGGCATTCCTGTATACCATTATGATACTGATGGCAGATGGCTGTAAAGTGTGTAATCCCCGGTCTAGAAAAGGTAGAAAAGGTTACCCAACTCAGCCGCATGAGGCGTTGGACTTGGATCCTTTTTTTTGCGCGCTGAAAAAACCAGCAAGCATGTATTTGGGTTAACCGTAAAAGCATCGGTCCAGATAGATTTCCTGTGTAGAAATTTACAATGATCTACATTTGATGAACCCCATGATAACATTATTCATTTCTACCGGCGTGCGCAGAATAACCGCAGCAAGATGCGCATCCACGTATGGCTGATGCATTAATTCCTACTTAATCCTAGTTACAGAAATTTGACAATAGTTTTTATTTGTAAAATAGTCGTTTCTCTAGCTAAACGGAGTTTCCCTGAAATCATTACACTAACAACTTTTGAACCCTTGTCATACGTTATTGTAAAAAGCTGGACGGAGCGCATTACATTAATTTTATTAGTAATCATCCCAACTGACTATCGATCTGCATATATCTGTATAATAAAGCATTTTCTTTGTACCCTACGCGCAGTTTAGCAAGCGCAAACGTTTCCACAAAAAATTGCGGAAATTTATAAAAATGTTTTTGCTAATTAATCCAAAGATTCTATGTTATGCATGCATGCTTACTGGAATCATCGCCGCAGAATCGCCGAACAAACTGACAGTTGCCACCATAATTGTGAGTATTCATCAGTAAATAATCTGATTATCTGAGTCGGTGTATGGCAGATAATACTCATCGTATTGGTGTTAGTAGCAAGTAATATTATGCAATTAATTAAATCTGTACTGTACATCTGTAATTACTTAATGTATCTACATTAATAATAATTGAATGACCATAGTAATTTTATTCATGTAGTACAGATACATGAAAACGATAAAAAATTTACTCAGCAAACCGGGTTGCTTGTGTAAAGGAAACACCGTATGTATTCTGGAGCGCCGATTCCCCAGCGCACCACAACACTCCCCCGGAACAACTCCAAGGAAACACCCGCTTTGATGGTTTTCTAATAGAATTACTGGGCAAAATTGCCACGAAAGCCAATTTTACATATGCTGTGCAGCTGGTAAAGGATGGCCAGTACGGATGGGTGAGAAAATTAAAATTTAAAACGTATCTTCATGATGATAAACTGTTATATTAATTAGCAAAATATGGACATTACGTCGCATAAAATTGCAGTTGCAGTGAATTCTGTCTTTCTCAAATCTTTCTTTAATTTACGTAAATCGGTTTTGCAGGTGGACGAGGACGGTACGCTATCTCGACTGGATTAATTACGGAGTTATAAGCACGTGTATCTCTCGATATTCAGTAAAAAACGACTCGTATTCCTTTTTTGAAAATTAGTATAAATGAAATTTGATGTAAAGGTTAAATTGCAGCCAGATACTGCATTTCCTGAAAGGACATCGTAATTATGCATAATAAATATGTAGCTAATTAATTGTTCATTCATATGATCAATTTCTTTCTTTAACTACCGACAGGACAATGGAAAGGAATGATCGGTGAGCTTGTTAGAAAAGTAAGTAAAACATTTTTGGTTAACAACCTACTCACACGCTATACAACCATTTACGATTTATTGGCAATAGCCGCCCATACATACGCCCATACAACCATTTACTTACTTATCAGTATACAACCATTTACTTACTTATCAGTACTAGTGATGTTAATTTAATTCCAAATTCGTTTTCGTGCTCATGCACTATGGTACGATCTGAGTTCTACAGGAAGTGGACATCGCCTTAGCACCGCTGACCATCATGGACCAAAGGAACGCAGTGGTTGACTTCACAGTGCCCTTTTTGGAATTTGGGGCTGGTATTCTTACGAAGAAGCCACAAAACAGTGATTCTAAAGGTAATTTTTTCTTTCGTACCCTCGTAGATACTTGCCTTAACGACAACATTACATGACAGTTGGCATACCTTTCTCTTAAATTCAAAACAATGCAGTGAAACATGTTTTGATTTTTTAATTAATTTAGGTGCGATTAAGAGTTTGGCGGAACTGGCCAACCAGACTGATGTGGAGTACGGTGTAATTGGAGGCGGTGCAACATTTCATTTCTTCCGTACCAGTGAAGCCGAACCTTTTAAAACAATGTGGACTTTCATGAACAGTCATCCCTACGTTTTTGCTGGTTCGTTTTTTGAAGCACTAGATCGTGTTCGGCAGGGCAACGGGAAATATGCCGCAATACTGGAGACACCGGTCATAGAATTCGTAAGTTTTGTGAATGAAATTTTAGAATAACACCATTAAGTAAATAATTTTACCATACATTTCACATGCGGAGGTTGTTCTCGATTGCATGCATACGATTTTAGAAATCGGTCAAATATTGGTTTAAGTTAACATAGCGAATATTAATAGCTTTGCAACTTAGTCATTTTACTTGTACCTACATCTACGATAAATTCCCAAGTCTGCTTTTCGCAAGTATGCCTGTCATTGTTGTTGCTTTAATTTCTGGAGCGTGTCTTATGGTTAATGTAAATTAGGTAACTTATCCAAGATGTTTGTGTTAGGCAAGTAATCATCTTCCTTGTGATACTGTGCGAGCGATGTCAAAGGTAATTGCTTGAAGGTAACTTACGAGTGTCATACAAGGTAACTGGTTAGTATGCTCGTATTACTGCACAAGGACCGAGTATCAGGAGCGTAGCCATTCAGGAGCTTTGCACAAACAGTGCAATGCATGGGAGCAATCCGTGGTATTTTAATTTGTTACTATATACATACTGCGGTTTTTTTTAAAACTGGGCTTATTTGTACTACTGCGGTTTTTTTGCGGTTTCGTTGACTTGGCTGCTTTGTACATGTCGAGTTAATTTGGCAATTTATGCTGTAGTGAGTCTACTGACTAGCCAAAAAAATTTCGCTTTAAAGCTATAACATGCAAGCATATGGCATATATACGAGCGGCAACCGCTACTGACGAGCGGCAAAGCTTATACCCGCATCGCTTTCGATTCCTACAATACGTGGAATTATGCAGTTTGCTCTACTTTTATACTTGGGCTGATCAAGCCGCTATTTTTCTGATATAAAGCAGCACACGAAAAGATGCAAATCAAATTATATGACCTTTGCAGCGAAGGTTCAGCCAAATTCTTGCGATAACGAATGCACGGAAAACTTCCACGGTACCGCTGATGCAGTGCGTTTACACGGCGCTTTTACTTCCACTAGAAATCAACATTTATGTTTAAACAAGTGTGTATTTATTAAGTAGTCAACAAAACAGCAGTTTTGTTGCATATGGGCTGATTTGTTGGCTTTGTCATAAAAAATGTTGGTTCTCGGTCTCCTGTCTGTCATTGTCGCAGTCCAGGCGGCCTGGATCGACGCCTCACCAGCCCCAAGCAGCAAACCTCTGGCAGTTACCGCAGTAATTGTAAGTTTAAATTTTTCGGGCTACATTGTGTTCACATCTAGTCTATTTCATTTACTTTACTCATTTCGTTTCATTGATCTGGAGTATTAGCGGAATGCTTTCTAAATTTTAGCGTATCAGCTTGAAGCTATTGCTAGCTTTCTGCAGCATATGCAGCAACCTGTTACTCGTATTTTCTGGTTGGACTTACCATTAGCGTACAAACCGTACGACTTGCTATGGGTAGTACTTCGAGTAGGAATCTGATACAGTACCGCATTTGTATACGGCATTAAATTAAAAAAAACTAATATAAAAACGTATAGATATGCGATACTTCGCCACGTCTTTACGCAGCTCCAGCCGAATTTATCCAGTTTTTCGAATTTGATGCTGGTCGTATTGAAAATCGATCCTCTTTACGTAAACCGTATCGCACAAAACGATTATGACGTATCAGTTAAAACGATATATTTATCAGTAATTATCCTTATGCATTACAAGTTTGAAACCACAGGCGCCGCCATATGTGTGGGAATGCAGCGGCCAGCCACTTCCCGAGAACTGTATCTCGGCCAGTTTCGACGGAAATACCACCCACGTCAAAGGTTTTCTTGTGGATCTACTGAAGAAACTTGCCGAAAAGGGAAATTTTCGATATGAGGTCCATTTGAGAAAGGATGGTCGATACGGCTATGTACGTGAATTTAACGTGCTACATTTAATCGTAAGCTGTTTCATAACTGTTGACTAGCATAGTTTTACAATATTTTGATCGATTTACTGTACTTTTTAAGTACAGTTGTAATTTTTTTGCGCATAGCTGCTTCAGCGTCAAACATTTGCAATTATAAAATTTAATCGTTATAGTCCGTACTTTGGATTAAGCAGCGTTGTCGTTGGTTCTCAATTTCAAATTAATTAAATGAACTTTGCATGCATGCGTTTTATAGAAAGATCCCAACTCAGGTATGGACAAAACCCTAAGTGCTCGAAGCGCCGACAAACATAAGGAAGTATACACGGCTCTTCAGGAAACATAGATAAAATACGACATACTATTGTGAACCTTGACAAATTATCGTAAAGGCATGATTGCATTTTGTAGCTAGTGGATGGACCGGAATGATTGGCGAATTAATTAAGAATGTAAGTTATCTCGCATATAAAATATAATGATTAACTGCGATACAATTAACTACATAGTGTGATGAGTTTTATCTGATAAATTTGCAGGAGGCTGACCTCGCTCTAGCGCCTTTCACTGTGACAGATGAAAGAACGGAAGTTGTCAGTTTTACTACACCGTTTTCGGAACAGATTGGTCTCTCCGTTCTTCTTAAGAAGCCAATATCAACGCAGAGTTCAACCTGCGTGTTTTGTACAAAAGAAAAGATGATGAGTAAGTTGGCGAATCAAAAAAATATGCAGAGCAGACATTACTTATTCAAAACGGTTTGCTAGTATTAAAAGGTAATGTTGGACTGAAATCACGAAATAAAACAATATAAATTTGAATAAATGCTTTACAATTTACACAACATGCGTTCACAGTCTTTCGTAACTGATGATCAGTTAGCTTGTTATGGTAATTTTGTAATTAATTCATGGCAGTTCCATTTTCGAACGAGGATGACCTTTCGATGCAAGCGGCTATCAAATATGGTGTTCTCGCCGGTGGTTCCGTGTACCGATTTTTCCAAAACAGTCAAGTGGACCCTTACAAAAAGATGTGGAGCTTCATGAGCGCCCATCCAGAGAAGTCATTCGTAAATAATACCAAAGACGGAATAGACCGAGTTCGAACATCACAAGGACGTTTCGCCTTTATCATGGAAAAGCCGGCGGTACATTTTGTAAGTTTCAAGATCGCGCCGAATAGATAGTTGTGCGTTGTTATCCACTACGCAATGAAGTTTTCGTAATTTTACAGGTTAGCAGTCAAATCCCATGCGATACTGTGGCTATCGACTTTGACAGGAAGGATTATAATACAAAAGGTATGCTTAAACTCAGTACTGCACCCACATTTGATTGTCAAGAATTCTTGAAGTAACAGGCAATATATTGCGCTTCTTGAGGTGGAGGTATGAAAAATGTGTAAAAGCAAACGGGTATACCTTTAATAAGTATCGTGACAAAAGTACAAACTTAGTACCAAAACAAAAAGTACTTAAGCCATGTGAACTTGTTAGAAGCGGTCTGTGATATCTTAAATTTGTACGTATATATTTTCATGCAAGATATAATATATCTTGCATGAAAATATATACATAATATATACCATTCATTATGCAATTATTTTTTTATTGTTTGTATCGTCTTCTTATGTACAACAGTAGAAGAATGTTTGATGTATTTAAGTACTTGCAGTATGCGCGCTTCGGTCATTCAGTTGACTAGCACAATTTTTTCCTGAATTTGTCACTTTTACAGTTTCACTCTCGAATTTATGCCACGAAGTAGCAAATCTAAAAACAGAAACATAGAGTAATTTTTTGGAAATGAGCAATGCATCATGGATTCGACTTTGGCAGGTTACAGTCTGGCCCTGCCGGTGGGTTCAGCATGGACGGAAACGTTGTCACGCCTAATTGATGAACTGCAGACCAATGGTTCTATCGTTGCCATGTACGACCAGTGGTGGAAATCAACAGAGTGTGTGTAATAATTACCGCAGATAGGAAATAACGGAAGACTGAAATCAAGTATTTCGAACCTTTTTTATTCCAGTACAGAAGTCTGCGGTTTCGGTATCAAAAAAGAGAAATGATACAGACATACAAAGCCTTGCCGGAAGCTCTGCTTAAAGTAACCACCAAAAACTATGCTATTTCACTTATTGTATGCTGTGGAGCAACTAATGATTTAAATGTTTATACAAGCTAAAATCCCTGGAACACTCCACACAAAATCCAGCATAATAACTAAAACAACGAGATCAAAAGGCACCAACCCTATAATTTCACCGCAAGTTTTTGAAAACCACTATTGCTCTTTTTTGAAAAAACTATCCAGAGTCAAGGCGGGTTTTTTCGACAACGTTTTCTTTTTTACTGGTATGTCCTCCAAAGTAAGCTTTCTTTTGGGGGCGTTAGGGTCCTTCTTGTTGATTTCCTGACTTAACTCCAGTGCCATGTGATAGTCGCTGTGGTCTCTCGCCATTCGCGGACACCAGATAAACATATCACACTTCTCACAGTTAAAGGAACGATATCTCCACGGTTCTAAACACGTACATACAACATAATACGCAACGTCATAACAACACGTACATACTAGATGCATTCATACCTGTATCAACATTGTTGTCTGGAGCGGAAACTGGGGACGACGCTTTACGATTGCGATTGCGCGATCTTCCATCTGATGTTCCAGGTTCACAGATAACCTCTAATTCATCATCTTCCAATTGATCACCACTACCATGAGCGGACGCTGGAAATGCATTCTGATTACTGCTAACCGGCAGGATTTCATCATCACTCGACGAGTCGATTTGGTGCTCATCCATAGCTGGATTATCGGTTTCCGCAGTGCTCACGCCGGTATCCAGATTCTCGGTCTCAGATTTAGCTTCTTTATCGAACATAGGGGGTGTGGATTCAAGGTATGAATTTCTATCCTCCACTAGTCCATCTTCGTTTTTCTTAACTTCAGAAAAAAATGAATCTATTCTCGGATTAGCGGAATCCTTCCCGTCCTTCATTTTGGACGCAACGAGGCCCATGCTGACCAAGGGATGGGTGTACTGACCACGAAAAAATCCCAGGCTCGACATACATTTATCCACCGTAGCAAATCCATCTTTAGCTAAATCTGCAGCTTTGTAAGATGTCAATGGACAACACCGCGACAAACTTTTCCGGTCGTCCTTTTCCATAAATGTCATATGAGCGGTCAATAAAGTGGCTGTGCGGTCGTTCTCGTCCTGATCTTTCTTAAGCCTTGTCTGAAAAAGCAGTTGCTTGCCCAATTTACTGAACAGTCTTGAACAAAAGGCGTCGAAAGTTTCATACTGAAATAACAGTACTTGTTTACCGCACTCTAATTAGTAAAAAATACTGGTGACAGTGTCGCATGAGATTACGGAAAGGTCCACAAAGCCCGGAAAACAATGAGAGTTACGACACTTACAGCAAGTTCTTCACAAAAATGGCCCATCCATTCTCGTATTTCGTCTCTCGTTTTTAAAGCTGCCCTCCCGAGAAAATTCTTGCTGCAGCCAATCGATTTCGGCAAGTCTCGCGCCTGCACCGGCTCATTATCCCATCCAGATGCCACATCACACAACCAATTAGTGGTTTTATAGGGGAAAAACCGAAAAAGCACGCCCCTCGGAGTCCTACATAACTCGGACATATATTTAATGCGCAAATAATGGACGACCTGCTCTCCCAGCTTGCCGCCTAACAAGCGCACATCCTGAATCTCCGTCTTTTCAAACAGCTTGAAAACACGATCGCGGGGAAGCACGGTCTGCTTCTTGGGTTTATTCAGACCACAGCATAATTTGGCCAATGTTTTACTGTAAGAAATTCCCGCCGAACAATGGAACTGGGTTTCACTGAGTATTCGCTCCCTCAGTTCCTAAAAACCATAAAAAATTCAACTAAAAATAAATCCATAATAAACAATTCCGTAATAAATCACTCGCTGGATTATTGATTTTATGTAGGTTCAGAAAAACTAATTTTTACCTAATCACTTTACTATTTTAGGCAATTCAAAATTCTCACATTGATCAGCTTCGCCCCGATTCCCAGAGCGAGATAATTGCGATACATGTTGTTACCCGGACCAGGGATGGCTTCTTCTCGATGGAGCGCAATATAGTCTAACCATGTTTCTAAGGAACTCCATTCTGCGGGGCAAGTGGCACCCAGCTCCTCAACCGATAAGGACGACTCCCCGGATAAATAAGCCGGAAGCAGTGCCTTAATTTCGCTCGTCAGATCCACGTACGCCTCATCGATACTGGCGCGTTCCACAGTGGTAAAGCACTGCTGCATCACCTTAATCACTTCCGAACCGGCTTCCCTATATCTACGGAGCAAGAATTATTAAAAGCCGGGAACAGCGAAACCTTTTCATTCCGAAAATTTCAACAACTCCAGCTTTCTACCATGATTTGATATTTACTTCAGGCACAATCGCGGCGGCAAACTAGGAATTCACAACACTTAACATTTTTTCAAACGAGAATTCATAAGAGTAACATTTTTTCAAACCGGATGAGCTTTTAATGGGAAACCATAAAAAATTCTTGCCTGGTCAGATCAGCTTTTCCATTCAGCTCCGGAACAACAAATGCCTTAAAATCCGAACATTTTTCCTTCGCTTCAGCCGCACGACACCCCCTTTTTACTCCAAACGCACGAGCTTCGTAATTCACCGCAATTAGCCTAGAAAATTAAAATGAAAAATAAAAAACATGAAAATGAAACAGAATTATTTATAGTTAAGTTATTACCCTAACTCGCTTTGGAGGCACTTCGCCGTTTTTTTTTGCGTTTGAAATTTCGAATCAATTTTTTATAACGCTATCTGCTCTTGAGACTTGACGGTAACCACAAAACTGGTTACAGAACTTACCCTCCACCTTTATAACGGGTAAGATACTGTGTAACTCCAGCGGGTCTGCCCCGATATTGGGGTTGCAGGCGCAGTTCCACCTGCACGTAGAAGCAATCCATATCAATCAGCGCGATAACAGGATCAATGTCCAGAGGATCATTAGGATCGCGCAGTTTATTGTGATCGGGATCATCGCGCGGAAATTTCCAAACATCGTCTTCCACCTGTCCATCCATTAGCTTCACTATAGCCATCGCTCAACAAGATCTCGCACCGTACAGAGTAGACAGTATCGCAGACACAATAAGGAACACGCCTGGGTCTGGGACTGATTAGAACTTGGAACTGAAAACATAAAGCTTGCTCAACAATGTCTCGAAAACTTTACAATCGAAAGGCTCGAATAAGGGAAGTTAAAAGATCCACGAAAAATAGTAAAAGTTTGGATTAACTCGAAAGTCGGCTACGGCGTACCGACATTTCGGCATAGGGACATTTCGGCATAGGACACTTCGGCATAAGACATTTCGGCATAAGACCATTTCGGCATAGGGACATTTCGGCATACGGACATTTCGGCATATAATATTAATTTTTGTAATTTTTTTGAGATACCATAACTCTGCATAAGGATTACGGAACTGCGGCACACATTTTTTTGTATGGTTATTGTTTGAATTATCATTCGCAACTAAAGGTACATAAAAACAAATCCATCCACCAAAAGTCAAAGACAAATAGCAAGTTATAGTGGGAAGGAGGAAAATCATAATGATAACATAACGAACAAATTCAATTGAACATCTCACAAAATAACATAAGATAACAATATGCTAGCACTTGAACGTACGCAATTGTATTCGCAAGTACAAAGTACTCGTACACTTATACAAAGACAAACATTATTAATGTAAAGGGCATGAATGTACAATAAACACACAAAATTAATCGAATAGTAACAACTAATAATGATAATATTAAAACTGGTCCTAATACTTGATTCTAATAACTAACACACAATACGCCCACAAATAATAACGCGAACATTAAAGATACATGAAACAACCACCAACAATTTCACACACCATTATTTCGGCAAAACGACACTACGTCATTTAGCCACCAACATTAACGGTTCAAAAGAATTTCCAGATTTAACGCAATCGATTGCAAAAAATCCGAATGACCCATTATGTCATAATGGGCAAGCACGTTTTTCAACCGCTGCGTCAACTCGGCATACCTACGCTTTGGCTTAGGGCCGGATGCACCGGCCATTCGATCGGCGATGCTAGTTTCGTGATGAGAAATCTCTAACCGAATTAGATCCACAAAGTAGAGATGGCAACGGCTTAGCCGAGGCCGGCTAAGCCGCGGCTTAGCCGGCTATTGGCCAGCCGGCTGACGGTTTTTGCAAGCCGTAGCCGACGTCAGGCCGGCTGCTTAAGCCGGCTGAGACTTCAGCCAGCCGCGGCTTAGCCGGCGGCCGACTCGGCTGAAGCGGCTTGAACGGCGGCATCGTTGTGCAATTTTTGGCAGTAAAGATGGCGCCACTGAGTCACTTTGCGTCACGTTTTCTTCGGCTTGCGCCTAATTTCTGTCGCTTTCGCTAGTAATATTGTTTAACTTGGTCGTCATGATGCCATTTCAGTAGCAATGACGCCATTAATTGTTCAAAATTATGGAATTTTAACTCGTTCAGACTCGGAATTCCCGAATAATTGCTGTTTTTTTTGCTTCAAATGTGTTCGAAAACCGTGTTTTCACAACATAAACGGAACAGCTTGTAGTTTTTGGTGATTTAACTGCACTTGGCAACGTTATTTTCAAAATTTTGCGAATTTTTTTTAAAGCGAGAATATAAACGGCTTAGCCGGCCGCCAGCCGGCTAAGCCGGCTGGAAAATTTGGTCAGCCGCTCTAGCCGGCTGAGACTTCCAGCCGCGCTGAGTTAGCCGGCTAAGGGCTTCAGCCGGCCGTCAGCCGAAAGGTCAGCCGTTTAGCCGGCCGTTGCCATCTCTACCACAAAGTCGTAGATCCCAGGATGGTCTCGATTAATGGTGTCTGCAAAAGCACGGTGCCATGCTTCCAGTCGGTTGGTTGTTCGATGGACATCATTAGTCAGCCTTTCGACGCAATTCCAAACTCCACCGGGTACAATGGCTTTTTGAACAGTAATCCATTTGGTGTTACCACTCTGCGGCCCATATAGGTGTTGCGTAAATAATGCAGAAACGGATCGTCTGCCGGAAACGGGAAATCTTCCGCGAAAGTCAGTTCTTCGAACCGTTCGGACACGTCAGACGCTGGTACAAACGCCAAAGCTAATACCTTCCGACAGGCTAAGCTAAATGCTTCGTCAGTTGCGTATGCCGTGCCATGACCAAGGTCAACAAGCTTCCGGTGGACACTTTGACCGAGATGAAAATTGCACCCTGTATAAATTAAATTTTGTTACTACTAAAACGGAATAAAAATGAAGTGAAATTATGAAAAAATTAAAAAATGCTTAAAACATAAAATTCAAAATAAAAACTTAATGACAACATAAGGAAAAATATAAGAAATAAACCTTAAGAAAGCAACAATTCAAGCACAAAAAACATAAAAACATTAAACATAAAGCATAAAAAAACCATGAAAAGAAAACAAAAACTAAGAGACTAAAAATCGAAGAAAATAACTACCATTAAAAAACACTAAAAATAACGAAAAATCAAAAAATTAAAAAAAATTTTAAAACACAACTGTGCCGTTAAAATAAAATTTAAAACAAAAATAAATTAATGAAAAACAATCTGTATCTCGGGCCTTCACAAGTTCAAATAAGATCTAAATGTACATACAGTATAACCTGCTGACTACATATGAACACACAACTGGTTAACGATATTTTTGGTATTACAATTATATTCATTATATATTATATAAATCTAATGTGTGTCTAAATGGATATATACATATGTATATTACACATAAGTGAATGAAAAAATATATAGAGATGTATGTATTTCATTTTAATAACTGCTGTATTAATCATGCAATACTAGCCAATAAAATGTAATTTTTGTTGCAGTTTATTTTTTTACGAAATGTAATAGAGCAAAAACATCGCTTTAATTCAAGTAAATCAACAACTGAAAGGGTATTAAATTTATTGACCTCGCAAGCGCCATCCTGGAAATACGGTCCGAAAGACTATAATCGCCGCTTGCTCGAAGTCCATGACCATCCACTTCGGACTTACTGCTTCCACACCCGCTTTTTCAACAACAGCATCGTGGACAATGTGGAAGAAACGTCGGTAACACAGTTCTGATTTTTTTGGCAATAGACCGTACACCAAAGGAACAGTAGCGCCGAAGACGTCAGCATGAATTGTGTATAGCTGAGTGAACAACGGCGGCGAAATGCTGAACGTTCCATCACTCATCCACACCTCTGCCTTCCCTAAATGCTGAATGCCTTCTTCCGTTCCAAACGCAATAATCCGATCCGAGTCGTCGGCACCAGTATCAGCAATAAGTATGAGGTGGCCACGGTCTGTCGGTTTGTTTAAATAGCCGATGTCAATGTCACTTAACGCTCTCACTTGTGTTGTTGGCATTCCCGCTACTTTTCGTTGTCGTCTAATGCAACGTGCCAAGGCAGTGTAGTGCGGCATTTGAACTGCAGCAGTGACAGAGACTCCGTTCTGGACTTGGCTGATAATTTGTCTGGGACGCTCCATGGTACTGGCAGCTCGGGCCTTGATAACCTCTCTGGAGGAATTCGCTATAACTTTAAACACATCCGGTGCATGAGAATGCTGTCTTTTCTCACAAGCGACTTTCGTGCTGTAGCTATACCGAAGCTGAGCGCCGCAGCTGTCTTTACAGCGACATCTCCAGTTAAGACACTCGCCGGTCTTGTCGTCGCCGTTCTTCCAGTGCTGAATGTACTCATAACCTTTGTAACACAACACCTGCTTCTTGCGATTAGTAAGAGAGAATGTTATTTCGGCCATGACTACCAAATTAGCTGGAAAATAAGTTTTTCGCAAAAGTTATCCGCAAATATGATTGCAAACGCCAACGATAAAAATGAAATAAGCGCAACGCAGTGAACTTGTTGAGTTCGAAAGTGTCACTTGTTGCGGGCGCCTATACTGTAAGGCACAAGCAGGCTCGCATAGAGAGAGATTCGAATTGTTGCTAAGCAACAAAGGTTTGTGATGCGAATGCAGTACTTATTTCATTTACATAGTACATGTCACATGAAGCACATGCATTATAAATTGTGGATCTCTCAATATGTACATATGCTGCGCTCAATATTAACAATCAAACGAAGAATGTGTCCAAATTAACATGAGAGTGTGCTGCTAATACATGCATTTAATATGCAGTGGCAGCGACAATAATTGTAGTTGCAGTTCTGACAATAAGGACACGGTTTCGGAAACGTACCGCGCAATTTTGTACATAAACCTATGTTGTATGGTGCATTTCTGCACACAGATAGACTTTTGATGTCTACCCTTTTTTTTAAATATTCTACGTATTTAATTTCACATTAACTTCAACAACGATCACGTTAAGCATCAACCAACAAAGGCGGCCTAATCACAGAGAAAATTTGGTCTAAATTTGCCCTTATCGGTGATACATGCACTGTATTAGCAGCACAGTAATTGTACTTACTTATTATTATTGTACATCATAATTATAATTATCTGGTAAATAAAGTACAGCATATATAATATATATATATATATATATATATATATATATATATATATATATAATTATATATAGCTTATATATATAGCACATATATATAGCCTTGGTATACAGTATGATGGCGAGTGGTAATAATTATTGTCATGCAAATTTAATAAGTATAGTGTAAAGTGCCAATACATTGTAAAGTGTGTAACTTGTAAATACATACATACCCGTTGTATTGTGCCGATAGTTTGTTAAGTGCCCATACATTGCAGAGCATCAATATACGGTACAGCACCCGTAGTGGTGCGCACCTACAGTAAGGTACATATTTTACGTATCGGTACCGACAAATTTTTATTTCTTTAAAGTAAGTATGCCGAAATGTCCGTATGCCGAAATGTCCACATGCCGAAGTGTCCTCATGCCGAAATGTCTTATGCCGAAGTGTCCCATGCCGAAATGTCCCTATGCCGAAATGGTCGGACACGTCGGCTACAGCTGGTATTGAGCCGCAGTCAAAACAACATGTTTTAACATGTTAAATGGAATGCACACTGCGCCATCGCCCATGCGCCTTGCCGTATAACAGCGGAAAGTGACGTTCCCGCGCGCAACGGGTAGCGCACGGCTGCACGCATTCACTCCAAGAGTAGCCGAAAAATTGTATTAACTATTAAAATACTTTTTTCTCATTAAAAAAATCAGTGAAAGATTAATATCTTCGTATTACAGTATCCTTCGTCAAAGTCCGAGTTTTGAACAAAATTTTGAAGATTTATTTTCTGTTACCTGTTGACATTCAAAGTCTGGATTTGGATTTGCTACATTCATTTTCGGATGGGTTCATCAGACTCGTAATGGACATGCCGTCCACAGGCGGAGACTGATTGGTTTTCCAGCTTCCGTGTTTTGGGTTTTTGAATCTTCCCTTTTATTCACGTAAACGATGGCCCAGGAACCGGTATCCAGCATGGAGGATCAGCTTATCGAGGAGCGCGAAATTCTTCGCAGACAAATTGATCAACTCCAAGGTATCACGAAACTGCGGAAATTTCCGTCATTTTATATCGGAAAGCATTTCACTCGGCACGTTTCTCGAAGACCCATTGATCACAACAAGATGCTTTTGAGTTTTGACTTTGGCTTCCTTCAAAAAGCTTGCTGTATCGAAATCCAGTTTTTAAAAAAAATTTGTATAACAAAATTCTAATGGGCACTTTGATTAGTGGAGAAACGCAATGCGGTGGATCGGATCCGTAGCGAATACGAAAAACAGGTGCAGGATGCCAATGCTACCGTCCGGGAACTTCGGAAACAGCTGGAAAATGAGCGTTAGTACTGTCGTTTTTGATTTTATCTTGTAATATCGCTGCATATTTACAACCATAATTATTTTCAAATGTTGCTAGTATTTATTTAAGTGTGTGTACAGAGTACATGAAAACTGAAATGGTGAAAGTGGTGGTTATTTCAGAACGCTCGAGCCAGAAACTCATCCAGCAACAGCAGGAACAAACACAGCAGAATATCCAGCTTAAGGATGCCTTGGTGAGATTGCACATTTCTGATAACACAAAGCTTTAGAAATTAATTATACTTTTTATACTGAATATTAGACAATTTTTCTGGTTATACAGACTGCTAAAGAAAGACAGATTAGCCAAGTATCTATGGAAAAACAGAAAGTGGTGTCGTTATTGGAGACGTCGCAGACCGAAATAGCGGCAATTAGAGGTGTGTTTTAATTGATATTACATGAGTAATAACTTATTTTAAGTTACTCTTGCTGTGACAGAATGTTTCTTTGGTAGCGAAATCATCGCAGCAGGCCATTGGCTTGCAGGACTTGAACAGTGAGATTGGAATGCTCAAAATGCAGATTCTGGACGCAAGATTGGAAGTCGATTTAGCGAAAGTGAGTATTTAACGGTTCTCACAATCCTTATTCATGGTTATATTGCTGTGAATGGCCTTATTAATATTGGCCTCGTTAATGAGTTTGGGATGTCTTTTAGTACTGTTGTTATTTGTTGTGAAACGAAATTTTTTTAGTAGCTTATTTTACTTAGTATTCATTACGATTTCCGTTTTAGATCGGGGAGAAAAATTATCGAGCAGAATGCGAACAACATCGAGCTACCGTGGAACGACTTCATCGTGATCTATTGGAGAAGGATAAAGATATCAATCAATCCCGTATGGAAGCCACGCAGCAGGTCAAAGCACAACTGCAGAAAGTCAGCGCTCTCGAAGAAAATGTTTGGATTGAGAAGCAGAAACATAGTCGGTATGAAGAGACCATACGTTCCGTCAAGCAAACTGTGGAAGAGCAGAAGATCAAAATTGAGGAGGTGAGTTTGCTGAGTTTGCTTGAATTATTTTCCACCATCCGGTAAATATCGACGTAATACGGAACACTTTCGAATATGTTAGATGAAGAAAGCAGAAGCGAAACGAGAGGAAGAGGTCGAGGCTGCCGCTTCATCATATCGTGTGAACGTTGCCAAACTGAAGGATCAGATGGAGATCTACAACCGACGAATCGAGTTGCTAGAATCCGAGGCCAAAATCAACGAAAAAACTATTGAAGATTTCCAGTCCAGTAAGTGCATATGATTTCCTAGGACATGTTGTTTTTGTGTGTACAGTTGTAATTTGTGGAATTCAATAAACATAATTTGATTTACAATTAGCGTCGGAAACCGGGCTTCGCAAAGCGCAAGAAGAAATTACCCGGTTAAACGGTGAGCTGGAACAGCAGAAACAGTCCATGTTGGATTCTGAAGCGGAATTGCTGAGTGCTAGAGAGCTAACGGCATATTTACGACACGATCGTTCACGGGTGTTTTCGCCGGAATTACTGGATCTCGTTCGCAACGAAAACTTCTCGGTTGTACGTTTGTACTACGAATACCAACGGGCTGTGAATAAATTGACGGAAGTGGAGGCTGATCGGGAACGATTACAGGAAGATCTTGAAGTGAATCAACAGGTAGATAAACAGTTACCAACTAAGTACTGTGTTCGCTTTGCTTTTTTAACTTGATCGAAAACTACTGACAGACCTACCAAGCAGCCACCGAAATTGAGGAACGTTACCAGGAAGAAAAGACAGAACTGGATGCGACAATAGCGAATCTCCGATCAAGTCTGACCCGTTCGGAAAATGTGAGTCGGTGAATTATATGAGGTTTTGCGTTTTTGTTAGTGTCTCACTGTTCGGATTATGTGCAGGAAACTCGACAGTTAGCGAATACTAACCGTACTCTGAATCAGCATCTCTACAAATTTGAGCGCGTAAATCGTACGCTTGAGGGACGTATACAGATGTTGGAAAAATTTATTGAACCCTCTGGTTTTGACGAATTGCATGGCGATGCTTCTATAAACGGAAGGTAAGTGACGCAAAAAAACTTATGAAAAAGTTCAGCACGGACTATGAATGTCTGCTATGTAGAAATCCTGCCAAACTGATTGAAGTTAACACCTCGCTGATGAATATCAATGAAGAACTAAATGAAGAAATCCAGAGTCTGAAAGACGAGCGAGAACAGTGGATGAGGTAATCATCAGTTTAACATTCAATTGCGTGGTCCATTTACATAATTTAGGTGGTATAACTTTATTATTCTGCCATTTCATTGTGCTTTGCGCTTGAATATTTATGATACTAATTCTGCTTCCTTAGTGTTGCATTTATTATCCGTGAACTGTTTTGGTGATATTTAAAATACTGAAACAATATTCGTTCCAAATATAAAAGGAAATAGAACGAGTAATAACGTGCAACTTGGTAGTTTTTCTCCTTTGCTAAGTCAACATCAGCTGCGCGTTTACTTCTGATGGTCTACTGCTCGGTGATAATAGAGGTCAAGATGGGGAGAAACTCTGACGAGATACAAAGCACATTACTACATGTGTTTCTACTGCTCATGAGCATGATTGTATGGTGCTGTTAATTTTAGTCAACGCGATCAGTTTATGGAAAATAAGGAAAAGATTGATTCCATGTTGAACGATAAAGAACAGATCGATTCCCGGATCCGCAAGTTGGCCGAGGAAGTTAGTCAGTATCGTCGAGCCAGTGAGAATCCGTTGTTCAAAGATTTCCTCCGTTCTTTATCGGAAAACGACGAACTTCAGAAAGCTGTGATTGGAATGAGTGGTGATGAGCGGATACAGTATGCGTTCATTCGGGCTAACGGCGGAGGCGAAGCACTGGACCGCATTTCCCGTCTGGAAAATGATCTCAGCGCGACGAAGCAACAGTTTAACAGTGTGAAGAACGAAAATGCTGAACTGAAACGCGAAACAGAAAGTCGAAAGGCTAAATTCGATCGGGACTTTATGACGGTTCAGAGCGAGAGAGATAAAGCCCTGAGTGAAGTGGAAGCCGTCCGCAATGGAATGGAATTGGTGAAACAGGAAAATGCTGCTAAGAATGCTGAAGTGGCCCGACAGATCAGCAAGGTTAACGAATTGTTTGAGAAGCTGTGTGAACGAGAGAAAGATATGACACTGCTCCAGAATGTAAGTTGACAAGCATAGTGGGTAGATGACGTATAACGTTATTGTTCTCATTGTCAGGCCTATCGTAGCATGTGGTAGACTGAAACGTATGTGAGCAAAAAATTAAATTATGTAATATGATAATTTGCTGCTGGTAATGGACAAATAGTGAATATGCTTAATAATAATTACACTATTGAATATGTTTAATAATGCTGGAATAGTGAAGAACATTTTTTTTAGGCTCTTGAGCAAGAAAAGGAGAAAAATGCGCGTACTGCCGCTGAATTGAGTATGACAACTACGGATATTGCATCTCGAAAGAACGCAATCACGGTACTGGAACAGCAGCAGGCTATTCTGCAGCGCTCAATCGAAGAAAAGTCATTAGCGCTACAATCTTCACAGCAAAAGACGGTATGTACAGTTGAGTTGTCGCTGGGTTTTTAGTTTTAAAGTATTACATACGCAAAAGGCAAAACTATTATTATATCTTGGAGAACGGAATGATCAAGTGGAACCGGTTTGATGTTTTAGGCGGAACTGACTCTGGAGCTTCGTCAGCTGCGAGCTGAATTGTCTTTGCACCAGTCCAATGCGGTTGCTCCAGAAGAACTGGCTGCGGAAAAACAGCGCCATGAAGCCACTATTCGGCATCTGCAGGAAATCAGTAAGCGTTTGGATGAAGCCCTGCGTTCTCCGCGTGCGGAAGCGCCGGATCACCAAGCGCCCAGCACCTCACATTCCCGTTCATCCCCGGGGCCGGGTTCTTCCGACTTCGCCATGAATATCATTCGCCAGTCGTCCTTGCAGCAAGAGCAACTGCAGCAGCAGATACGAGACTTACAGAGCCAGCTAGCCAAATCCAGGGATGAAGTTGCCGCGAAGACCGCTGAACTGGAAAAAATTCAACATGAAAGCGCGAAGAAGGCGCAGGAAAGCAGTGGAGCAGCAAATTCCATGTTGAACAGTATTGGAAAAATTAAGGAAGAGCGTGATGCGCTGAAGAAACAGGTGGATGATTTGCGGATTGAAAATGCCAAACTGACGGCTGAAAGCCATCGGTTAGAGGAACTGGAGAAACGACTGCGAGAACAGATCCAAGAATTAAATGGTCGTTGCGCGGATGAACTAAAGGTATATTTATTTATACTTCTTACATGTTTTTTGTTAATTCTCAAAGTGATGAATTTGATCCTTTTGAGCTAAGGCGAAGAGAATGGTTTGTCATAGTTACTCTGATTTTTATTCGAGTATTGTTTTTTTCGACCATTTTTAACACATTCGTAAATAATGGTGATCTGATTTCAGGCGCATCAGACGTCTCAAACGGCGATGGCGGAACTGCGAAAAGAAATTGATAAGTTGAAACAGACGTCTAGCTTGTCCAAACGACGCGAGCAGGAGCTGTCCAAAACGATTGAAGAACTGAATAAAAGCTTCACAACACAAGAATCGGCTTTAAAAGAGAGTATTCGTCTCATGGAAGAAGAACGAGAGAATGCTATTAACTGGAAGCGAGCGCTGTATGACCAGGCCAGTTCGTCAACTTCCACCCGGATGTCGGATGAAGATTTGGATTTGTCGATCATGGTAGATTATCAGAAGAAAGAGAACGACAATCTCACCAAGCAGTTGCAGCTTGCCAAGGAACAGTATTTTAGCACTGCTGCTCAATTGAGAACAGCGCAGGTGAAGGTCACCCATCTGCAGGAAGATTTAAACGCTAGTTTGCAAGGTAAGTTACACGGTCATTGCTTTAGATATATCCATACTTTGTTAAACGCAGAGTGTTGTTTGTCATGCGTTAGTTGCCTTACAAAAATATGTTGGAATAATTGGCTGCAATAATAATCTGTCATGTGGAGAACGGTATATGAATTAGTTATTTTAATGTTCAAATGCGTTGCAGGAAGAGAATCCAGTGGTGATTCTTCTAACTGGCGCACGAATTACGTGGAGCAACATAGTATTCTCGCATCGACGATGGAGTTAAATTCCAAACTTCGCCATGATCTCACCTCTACTCAGAGCGAAATAAGCGGATTGAAGGCTGCGTTGACGGCAGCTGAGCAGAAAGTCGAGCCTCTCAATCAACGCATTCAGGAACTGCAGCAAGAAAATCTGCATGTGCAGCAACAGTATAAAGTTCTGAAAGATCAAATGGACAAGTGGAACGTGACCCAAAACACGGCAGAAAACGATTCTCTGAAGCGTCAACTGGCAGAGGTGGATACTAAGATCAAAAATGAAAAGGAGAGGTTGCGGGAAATGTTTTCGAAACAAGTCAAGGATAAAGCAGCCGAACTTAACAAACAAATCACTGCCAAAAATTCGGAAATTGTGACCCTTCAAAGTACACTTCAGGGGAAAGATGCGGAAATAGCCGAGTTGAACGCACGTTCTTCAGTAAGTTGGGGAAATTTTTCGCTACCTTATTTCCTGGTGCATTTCGTTTTCTTGCAGAATGCATTGCGAGATATGGAAAATTCTATGCGTAGTTTGTCTGAGAAATCTGCTGAAATAGCGCGACTGCGTGAGGATATGGGTCGTCTACAGGACGATCTAGCTCAGAAGAGCGAACAAATTCTCCGTCAGCAAGCCGTGATCCAGCAACAGCGCCCCGAACTGGACGAACCGAATACTGAATCCGCGCCTCCCGCTGCAGCGGAAACTAGTCGTCCCAGCTCAGCTGCTGGTATTCCGGCTGCACTGCCGCGCCCCGTACAACAGCCTTCCCCCACGCATGTCAGCAAATCGACCGCGGTCGTTACTCCGCAAACTCATGGTCAGCCGCCGTTGGTGCAGACTCAGCAGCGGGGACGCGATCCTTTACCGCGTGGTTCCAATCCACCCATCGTGGCCGTGGCGCCGCAGGCTCATGAGCAGGGCGCGACAACGCAAACTGGTAAGGAACTGGCAATTCAGTGGTTTTCTGACAGACTGTACTTGTGGTGTTCTATAATTTCTGTATTATTTACTGTAAATATTTGTCAGTCCTGTTGCTGATTATTTGATAAAAGCTTCTACTTGTGATCTTTATATAGTTGTATTTGTTCTGCTGTCTTTTGTAGTTTATTAATGTTTTAATGGTCGTATTACATATAATTTTAGTGTTATTTTGGTTTTTTATATGCCGGTTTGAATTTGTTCTGTAATCTTTGTGTAATTTATTTTAATTTTATTACAGCGGCAGTGGCGCCTCATATCGTTGTGGCGCCTCACAGCAGTGGCGCCTCACAGCAGCCCGCTCTTGGTGTGCCACTTCATGCTGATCATTCTGCACCAGACCCGGAAGCCAGCAGCAGTGGAATCGTTCCAAGTACATCGCATGCCACTGCCCCAATGTCCACGATGGGAACTGTGCAGGGCATGCAGTCGCGACGCCGACAGAATCCCGATGAGGAATCGTCGTCCGACACGGTGTCACCCGAGAGGAAACGTCCGCGTCCCATTCCGGGACGGCAGCTGCAGATTTCGCTGCGGCCACCTTCGCCCACATCGTCTGATGTGACCAGCAGCACCGCACCGGGCACGCAAAGCGCCGTGGCCCTGCCGACATCCGGGACGGGCGAAACGGCTCCGCACCGGCCCCGCTCGCGGTCCAGTGCGGGCGTGCAGCAGCCGGTGGAGCAGAACGCCGGCGCGTCCAGCAGTCAGACCATACAGGAGGAAGTGGGTTTTGGAGATGATGGAACCGGGTCTGGTGAGGAGCGGGCGGTGGATTCCAGTGAGAATGTGGCTGTCGGACAAGAACAGGAAGCCATGAGTGGAGGAGATAATGCCGCTGATGTGGAGGCCGATGTTATGAGCTCCGAGGTAAAGATAATGGCTTTTCTCGAAATACATAAGGGAGTTTGTAGTAACCTTCCGGTGAAAGGCGGAAATGATGAAAAATTAGACTATCTGGAATTTCACGATGATAGCTTTTCTGTCATAGTTACTCTGATCCGCATCATTACCTCAGTAGTCAGTGCTGTGAGGTCTGTCGTTTTATAAAGAGGTCCCTGGAAATTATTCAGGGTTGTTTACTTTCGTAGGAACAAGATGAAGATCCCATGGATGCTGATGAAAGCGGACAGGCGATGACGGAACCGCCATTTGCTAACGCCGGAGAATGGCCGGGTGCAACTGTTACTGCTTCGGACGATACTGCTCAAACGTCTCCGCAGCCGATGGTTTCATCTGAAGCAGATTATGCCGAAGGTGAAGACTGCAAAGTTGTGTTTTGTCAACGGAGACAATTTTTGTTGCATTATATTTTGTTTAGTTCAATTAAATCTTGCCTCTGAAATCTGAAAGACCCGTTTTTTAAATCACAGATCAGCGCCAGGACGAAAACATGGAAGGCACTGGTGGTGAGTCGCTGTCGGATATCACGAGCAGTGAAACGCGACCATTAACGGAAGAAGTCCCTGCGCCCCCACTGGCCGCATCGCATTCAGTTGCTCTTGTTTCTGCTGATACCGAGAATCGTACTCGCCCTCCGGATGTGGATGCTTCGGTTGGACTTGAAGACAAACAAGAGGATGACGAAAAAGACGTGGATACGGCAGATATGTTCTCTACTAATCCAGTGGATTTGTCCGAATCGGCTTTCGAGGAGATTCTGCAGGGCGCTGGATCCTCTGCACAAACTGCTGCACCATCCGGATCGGCATCAACCGTCTCTGACATTCCAGGTAATTCTGATATTCCGTATGATTAATGTCGGATAATTATTACCGCAGTGTTTTCGTCGGTTGCACTTGGTGCCAAATTTTGACCTTTTGCAGCTCAAAGTGCAGAAACGCCGGCTACCAGCGTCTCGGATTTGTCTACTGGGAGTGGGCCTCCCGCCAATCGGTTAAACATTCGTATGCGACCGCCGCCTGGCGATATTGCACCGCTTCGCCTCACGCCACGTTTCCCGTCGGCACTAAACAGTCCCCCGCGTCAAAGACTTCCGCGGAAACCGATATCACCGCCAACGCCAAACCCATCAAATACAGCGGCGCCAAGAGCGAACCCTGCCAGACCAGCTCTGGGTGGAGGTAGTTACCTACCTCCGCCATTGCGTGAAGGTCAACAGCGCCCACGTGGTCAGCAGGGTAACCGTCAACCGAGGCCGCGACAGCCCGGGCCTAAACGACAGGATCCTTTCTCCTAAAGTAATTTGATCGAGTGGGCGGTTAATTAATTTGTGTTTGTTATGTGGTGTTTGTTTCTTGCCTGTTGGCTGATTCGGCAATGAGTTTGGAAATTTTTTATAACGATTTGGATGTTTTGGCTGGGAATTCTGTATTACAATTTTGTAGATGCTTTGGCTGGAGTAACTTGAACGATGCTGTTTCTTAAATATTGAGCTGAATTTTCCACTGGAACACTTTACTACATTTTTGTCGTATCTGATCCGCCGGGCGCCGTGTCCATTTAACCTCTGATTAGCCCGAACGATATGGAGAGGCTACAATTCCATAGAAGTTTCCACAGAAGATTGTTTGTAAATCTTTCTGGGCTTGTTTGCACATTCTTACTACTGCAAATGGACGCAGCGATGGGCACTCTTCATGGACGAAGAAGAAGAAAGTCGAAACTACGAGTACCATGTCAAATTGCATAGGAAAGGTGAAAAACAAATAAGGGCAAAGCGTTTTTCATGAACGAAGATCTAGTAGGCCCGAAGTAATTATATGACAAGTTTATTATTTACTATTTTAGATGTATTATTTCAAAATTTGCATACGAGTATCGTACAAACAGTGCTTGGTGTTGTTAATGTATGATACAGCTTCAGCTGATGCTTACTATTAGCAGTGATAGCACAAACGACAAAATTTTGGTTTTCCAAGCCGCGTTTCCGCCATCCGTCATTCGTAGTAGCCTGGTAGATATTTATTTATTATCATTAATTTTCCTGGCCTAATTGAAATGTTATGTGTACTTAAGTACTAGCAAATTTTTATGCATAACCGTTGTATTTATTGTATGACTAGGTAGTCGTAAGTCGTAACAATGATTTTTTTTTATTTTCATCTGCTGACAGTTCTTATTTTTATCCTTATTTCTTTCCCACTACACTTGGCGAAGGTCTGCTAATGGGATTTTTCTACTTACCTTACCAGTTAAGTTGAATTAAGGACAGAGAGAACGCGTATATAATAGGAGTACGTAATTTGCAAATCGACTGTATTTGTGTTGTACATCGGTCCTCTTTGCAGGCAGTTGACTTTTGTGTCTGCCTGTTAAACAAGTCAGAAGATAAAGATCTCTTTGCGGCACAGTCCTGACAGTCAGCACGACAGGGTGCAAGTGATTATCAGAGCCATCAAGGGCTACTGTGTTTGCTTTCGTGTTGTCGCGCTTGTAATCCTGCATGCCGCCGTTTCTGTCTGATGGTTACGGACAGGACAACTGCATTTGCATATAATTATTTCCGCGCTGGAGCAGTGTAGCTGTGCTACGTAAATTATGAGTATCTTGTTTTTATGCGATCCACATGCTGCAATATTTTGACACAAAGTTAGTACACATCTCCAACGGATACCATCATGGCGAGCCAGGAATTCAACGCTAACTGCACGCGCTGCCAGCACAACAAACTGCCGTGCTACATCCACCTGTTGGAGGCTGCCGTCGATCCAGGCGATCCCGACGAGCGGATTGTGATCCTCAACACTGCAGCCACTGCGGGTAATGTGTCGGCCTACATGGAGATTACGCGGCCGGAATACTGGGAGAGCGCGTTTAATTCCCCCGCAATCCGACGGACCATTCAGCGCAAACGCTGCGACTTCATGAAGGAAAAACGTGAAGGCTGGGAGAACCCCATGGCATTACCAGTTGCGTCTGATCAACCGGAACACTCGCGGTCGGATCACGTTTTCGGCAGTGATCCACTGGAATTTGCAGCCAGTATGTTTCGGCATGCAGCCATGCAGAAAAAAGAGATGAAGGAGCAGATTAAAAATCTGCATTATCAGCAGCTGAATGGGCATGATGACGTAATTGTCTTGAATGGAGATGCAGAAATGGACAACGGTGCTGTGCACGCAAATGGACACGGCACTACAGGTAATTGCGTGGAGCAGCACAGTATCGCATCGACGATGGAATTGAATTCTAAGCTGCGTCATGATCTCACGTCTGCTCAAAGTGAAATAAGCGAATTGAAGGAATCCTTGGCTGCAGCTGAAAAGAAGGTCGAGCCTCTCAATCAACAAATTCAGGAACTGCAGCAAGCAAATCTGCAGTTGGAACAGCAGCATAATGATCTGAAAGAACAAATGGACGAGCGGAACGTTGCCCGGTACACCGCCGAAAACGATGCACTGAAGCGTCAGCTGGCAGAGGCCGATACTAAGCTGAAAAATGAAACGGACAAAATGCGGGAGATGTATTCGACACAAATCAGGGAACTTAATAGACATATTAATACGAAAACTTCCGAGATTGCGAGCCTTGAAAGTACAGTGAAAAGGAGAGATGCGAAAATACTCGAGTTGGACACACGCACATCGGTAAGCTGCGGACAATTTTCGCTGCTGTGTTCGGTTTTTTTCAGTTTTTCCTTTGATTTTCACAATTTTGGTATTGGTGTATTGACGTACGTTTTTTAGAGAGCCTTGCGAGAAAAGAAAAATTCTGTGCGTAATTTGTCCGAAAAGACCGCCGAAGTAACGCGACTCACCGAGGAAATGGGTCGTCTACAGGATGGTCTGATACAGAAGAACGAAGAAATACTCGGCCTTCAAGCTCTGACCCAACAGCAGCACCCCGAACTGGATGCGCCTAATGCGGAATCCCATGATGCACGGAAGCGACAAATGGCGGACGCAAATGCTAAGCTGAAAATGCTACGGGAAACATATGCCAAGCAACTCAAGGATAGGATTGATGATCTGAGGAAGTTAATTGCTATGAAAAACTCTGATATGGCGAGCCTTCAAAGTCTCATTCAAGAGAAAAATGCGGAAATTGCTGATCTACGCTCTGCGGTAAGTTATGAAAAAATTACCCGTGAACATTTTTATAGGATTTCAACTACGAAGCACATGACCTCAGGTACATACGTGTATATGCGTATATGCGATAAGGAGTGCGGGATTGTGTAAAGAGTAGTGTAATTCGTCTTTCTCATTAGCAATTCATCTCTCTTTAATCTGTTTTTCATTTTAAGTTGCTGCCTGATGCCGAAAAGGTAGGAATACAAGAAGGTTTGAATGCGCAACTACTAGCTAGGACGACCGAACTGAGCAAGGAGCTGGAAATTAATGTGGGCCTGAAGAAACATGTTCACGCAATCGAGGGGAAATACAAGGCTGAAGTTAAGAAGCTTGAGGTAAAATACCGGTTCTAAGATAATAGTCACCGATTTTCTCTGTTAATTCTAAATAACTTCCTAGGCCACCTCGCGCGAGCAGGACCGGCTAACGGCAGAAATAACCAAGCTAAAGAAGGAACTACTCCAGAAGAATGCGGGACAAGAGGAACGCATTGTGCTTCCAGGTGGACCGGATGTCCAGAACGCTGCATCAGAACCGGCACCGGTACCGGCTGTGTTAACATCCAACAGTGTTCCCTGTAGCAGTGCTTCGGCAAGCCATGTCCCTCCAGCCGTGAACGATAATTTCGTTCCAGCAGAAGCAGTTTCTCCGTCCAAAGCCAGCGCTCTGGAACGGCTGGGTGAAGTCTTTGGAACAACGCAAACTGGTAGTTACGATCTCCTACAACGATATTTCCTATAATTAATTGCATCAATAATAATGCATCTAGGTATAAAAAAAATTATAATAATCATAATAAAGCAACTACAAAATTGCCTTAGTAATAACTAATAACACTTCTGAATTTATACTACCTAACTTTGTTTTTTTTTACATTTTAACTTTCAAGTAGTGTGCCAGCGTTTGCAGTTATTTTTGTTAGTATGTACCGGCATAGAATAATTGTATTCTAACTAAACCTCAAAATGGTTTAGTTAGAATTCGTTTAGGTATAATGACGTTGTATTAATTAATGATACTCCTAAAGTATGTGGTATGTACTGTAAGTCTGTTAATACAACATCGTCGTAATAATGATGTTGTAGCGTCTTTGCTATCGTTTGTAGAAACGCCTCAACATTTCGCATTTGGATTTCAAGATCCGAATTCCAATAAATCTGTTAATCTCCAAAATCCCAGCCAGCCGTCAATCTCGCATCCCACATCCGGAATCTCTGCAACCCCGGGCCTCTGGCAAATCCGCCGTGACGGCAGCATCGCTTTTGATGCACCTCCATTTCCACGTTCCATAAACTTTACAGGATCTCCACTCCGTCCGACCATCAACAGTGATATCAACTCAACTCCGGGCACGTTTCGTGTGCCCCTATTCGGTGCTGCCAAAAGCGATACGGCGGTAGGATCCGCGATAGTAACACAACCATTTGCGCTCTCTACATCCGGAATTTCCGACCCGGCACCCGAAATTGTTAATGTTATCACCGTAGACGCAGAAAGCCCACCGAAACCGTTTTTTATGAACACGAATTTCAGTGGTGTGACGTTACCGAGGCAGGAGCATGCCGATAGTGGCAGAAAGCGAGATGCGCCGGTGGAATCAAAGCCGGCGAAAAAGCGCTGTCGTAAGGAAACGGATTCGCCGGTTGAGGTGCCGCTGCCCTGGCCTTCCACTGCCACTCCAGAGCGTGCGGACTCTGTGGTTGCGGCTTCTTTTGGCGTTTCTGCATCTTCATCCGCTTCGGAAGAGATTACTGACGTTGTTCTGAATTTTGATACCATTGCCGATCCCGTTCCGGCAACAGCCGACGTTGCGGCTTCGAGTGGCGAAATACCTCTACAAACCTTATCGAAAGAAATTACTGGTGATTCCCTTTCTTCCGCGAATAACGTATCTGCTCACACACCGGAATTAGCGGCTATTGCGTCTGCACCGGAAGCGCCACATTCAGCCGCTGTGGAAAACGTTTCTGTTGGTACAGTGTCCGTTGATAAGCCAATTACTGCCCAGCAGATATTGAGCAACGATGTCCCGATGGTGAATAACAACGACAGTCGAGAAAACGCGACAGAATCTGCAGTGCCTGAAAACCGGAACGACGTGACGGTGTCCGCAGTTTGCAGTGACGACAACGTTATCAGCCCTACCAGTCTAAACCCGTGTGAAACAGTTGTGGTGAAGAGCGAGATAGCAGCACAACCGGAAACATCTCGTGGCATTTTCTCCGATATACAGATGACTCGCTTTGGCGCCAGTATTCCCGAACAAGCTACTCCTCCAGCACAGAGCCCACGTAGGTTAATCGAGATTCACAAACTACTACTAGTTTATTTTACAGTATTTAAAATTTAAGTTACCTATCATACGCACCCGTCTCGTACACTAACATTATTACTGGTAATATAATCTGGTTTTCAACAGCGAACAATGTCGATGCAGTACTGATTGTTTACTTGATATTCCCCTGGACTTGAGAATACTGCGATAGCGAATTCCCCTATTGTTTACTTGAGATAGCGAATTCCCCTGGACGCATAGCGCGAGGATTTCACGGAGCGGGTTAGAGGATTTCACTGTCTTTGGTGATCCAGTAGATACAGTAATGATTATGCAAAAAATTTTCAAATGGATAAAGTAACTTGGAGAATTAAAGTATCCATTCCACGGGCTTTTTTACCCGTACGCTATTCGTCAGAGTTACTTATAAAAGATATTTTGTACCTGTCGTAGAAGGCGCACCGCGATTTCAATTGGTCAATCAAATTCCGTCTCCCACTCCCCGGCCTGCAACACCGCGTAATCCCTTCGAAGCTACGGGCCCGCGTCCACCGCGAGCATCTCCTGGACTCTTAGGCTGTCGCCCTCGACCACCTGGTAATCCGCTTGAGCATGACTGGAATGACACTTACGGTATGAGTCCAGTATACTCTCCTCGTTATCCTTCGCCACCGCGTTATCCTTATCCCGGCCGCGCTGGTCGCGGACCTCGACCTCGTCGGTAAAGGTTAGAAGCATTATAATCTGCTTCATACGGCAGTTTCTTGCATGCTTTTGTTTAGAGATCATTAGGGAACAACCGATTTCATTTTTATTGTCTTTCGTATGCCTATTTTATCCGGTAATTTTTTACTTTGTTTTTAATTTTGCTCACGATTAGTAAAGCATGGTTTTTATTAATCGGTAATTACTTGAAAATGCAGTAGCCATAATTTGCTATGTGTTGTTGTGTTCGTTGTTTAATTATACCTATATGTCTTCAAATCATGAAAGTACGATTAAATACTTTTGTTGGTTTTATGGCTTACAAATTATTGGTATGTGTCATAGCAGCTGTAATTGACCGAGCACTTTTGTGTTTTTATTATTCCGTATTCACGTTTGGAAATTATATGCTGTATGCTTTCGCCTTTCCGGCATCGGCAGCACCTACAAATGTATTGTACAAGTATAGAATTTAGAGATACGGTACATGCATACATAGTGCAACACCGGTAAATGTATTACAATTTACTGCATGAGTAATTTTACGCTCGAACACGCAACAACTGCCAGCCAACCTTCGCATGCTTATACTCTTCGCAGCGGCAATTTTTTTCTTAAAGAACAAGTACCCTACCGTTGAGAAGCAGTGTGAGTATAATGTTGCCGTATGCTGGTTATTAAACCAGCTTCTGTTTAGCACACTCGCCTAGTCATTCAACTCCGCCGAGACAAAACGACCTTCGCATTGACCAAAAATGGCAATTCACTTGATAGCCATATTATTACTATTTTCCATTGTGCAATCTTCATCCGCACAATGTCCACCGAAGTGTGTTTGCTCAAAATTGTCCAGTGACGATGCTCCAGAAAAACTGCAAGTTGTCTGTGATGGAATTTCATTGGCGGAAATATCAGAAAAGTTGACCAGTGCGGATCCGGTGGATTTAATTGTCAAGAACGGTCAATTTGATGAATTACCCAATGCCGCGTTAAAGAAGATTAATCTTGGCAAATTGACCTTATTACAAAATGGCATTGAAAGGATCGCGAACGGAGTGTTTAAGGATCTATCGAAAAACTTCCGCGAACTGCTTATACGCGATGCGGCACTGCAGGTTATTGAAAACTCAGCATTTAATGATCTCCAGTTTATTCAGAATATTTCCATTCAAGATGCTCATTCGCTGGAAAAACTGCCCAAACTACAAAATCTACCGGAATTGCGATTTCTGGGAATTAATAATAATTCTGTTCACTTTTTGGAATCGGGATTCCTGTCGAATTTACCAAAACTCAAAGAGATTAGTTTGAGAAAAAATCGGATAGAAATTTTTGACATGCAGGCTTTTGCGAAAATTCCTGCGGTTACTTCGTTGGATCTAAGCGGAAATTTACTGAAAGACATTTCGTTTCTTCCGTTGGTTCTGCGGAGTTTACCATCTTTAAACTTTTTGCTTTTAGCGCAAAATAAAATTCAAACGATTCCCGTTAATTTCTTAGACGGTTTATCATCTTTATTATTAATCGATTTGCGCCGGAATGAAATTGCTAAACTTCCGGAGCGTTTGATTAGTTCAGATAGCGGCAATTCGGTGCTACGGGAATTGTATCTCGGACAAAATTTTATCAACGAAATCCCGGCTGATTTTTTTGATAATCTGACGGGACTGAAGACGCTGAGTTTTGCCAATAATTCGCTGAGTTTAATCGGGCAACAGTTTGCGCCTTTAAAAGATTTGCTGTATTTGCGCTTGGAAGGTAACCGGCTCCAGCGAATCAGCAACGACGCCTTTGCCACACTGGCTCGTTTGCAAGTTTTGTCATTGGAAAACAACCATTTGACACTGTTGGAAAATGGCGTTATTACGGATAAACTGGAATTGCAAACTCTGGATTTAAGCCGAAATTATCTTCAGGTACAACAATATTAATTGATTTTTAATTTAATAAATTATGCCGGAAAAGTCCACAATCTGGATCAGTAAAAAATTTATTACATATCGTTTAGCATTACATTTTTATTACTTCAAGTATCTACAGTACATATATCTTCAAGTTCTATTTTATATATCTGTGTTCTACGATATATGCGGTTATACACCATATTTTAATAATTTTTATTTCGTTAAGTACTTTAAAGTGGTGTGTAAGTATTTATATTTTTTAGCACTGGCCATGTACGCAGTTAGGAGTAGAAAGTTCTGTGATACATATATGTGCAACAAAGGTTTTAGTGTGCTTTTTTTACGTTACATAATTACGAGATCACAATAAAAACACGTCTACAAATAGCAAGTTTTAATACACAACCCATCGAAGCGTAAAACGCATTAACCGATATGGACATATCAAGCTGCGCAGCGGTAACATGAAATCTTCGACATGTGCTTTTTTGTATGGTTTATTACCAGCGTAACTCAACCATTACGGCATCTAAACATACGGAAACTGCATTTACTCTACTATAACCCCCGTTAATGAATTGTGTAGGAATTTCGTGGCACGGAACTGAAGAACCTTCCAAAACTGCAGAATCTCTTCCTATCGAGCAACAAACTGCGTAACCTTTATGCCGGCTTCGAGACCCTGCCCGATCTGCGCCGTCTCGACCTGAGCAGTAACCAAATCAGCAACATCGACGACAACACCTTCGCTAATCTGCGCAACTTAGAAACCCTTCAACTGGAAAATAATTTATTCATGAAGGTGCCGATGAACGCCTTAACGGCATTACCGGCGCTAGAACGTCTGACATTAGGCGGTAATCGTATACACTTCCTCGCGGCCTTCAAACCGATCGGCCGGCTCAAGTACCTATCGCTGGATAAGAACATCCTGCAGAACATCGACACGGACGTCTTTTCGCAATTATCCGAACTCCGCCAATTATTTTTAAATGACAACCAGATCAGCGTCTTACAGCCGGGCGCTTTTGGTAACCTTTACACATTATACATTCTGGATGTTAGTCGGAATTTCATCCGCACCGTACCGGAAAATGTCTTCCATAATTTATTAGCTTTGGAGACACTGGATTTATCGGCGAATGAAATTGAGCGGCTCGGTACCGGTTTGTTAGGGAATTTGCCGTCGTTACGCAGCGCCGATTTCAGTCAGAACCGCATCGTATTATTAGAGGACAATGCCTTCACGAAAACGCCCAATCTCATGCAATTAAATATTAGCCGCAATCAGTTGAACGTCGTGCCGGGGATTATTGGGAAGCTGGGGAAATTGCGGCGATTGGATTTGGGTTACAATCAGATTCGTCGTGTGGAGGATCAGAGTTTTGACGGGTTGTCGCAACTGGAGATATTTTTTCTGCAGAAAAATCCGCTGTGCTATATTAGCGGAGCGGCATTCCGGAAGCTGGACAAACTGACCAGCTTGGATCTCTCGTCGACGGATCTGCGCTATGTACCGCAGACGGCGTTCAAACCGAACCAAGATTATTCACAGGTGCGGTACTTAAACGGCTGTGAGTTATGTAAGTAGACTAAAAACGCCGTGAGCAATGCAGGTACGCTGCTAATTTGAACATTATTTTAATGAAGTATTTAACAACCTTACATAAGGTATAGTTAATCATTTCTTGTCGACAGACAAAGTTCACTTTTGTTTGCTTAAAGATTTGTGAATGCGGCATCAGTTTTCTTTTTACTGGCGCGCGAGTATAGTTAATTATGTGATTTGTGCATGATGTTAGCGTGCTAGGGTGAATAATTTGGATTTCAGCTAGTTTTGATTTACCTGTGTATTTTCCCAGTAATCACGTAGCGTGAGACAAAACTTCTTCATAGTTTTTTTTGTACTCAGGTGTTTCTATATAATTGTTAGTGTATATGCTCGTACTGTAATAGATAACGAGTAGCTGCAGATTTAGTTGAATGTGACATTGAGCATGACCTTTGCAGATCAACATGGACGGCTTAACAGTGGAATGCGACTGTAATATGAGGTGGTTACAAGCCATTAAACCGCTCGTCCGCTGTGGATACGTTGGTTCGGTGTCCGCGAATCGGATCTCGCAAATCAGCTTCGACACTCTTCCCTGTCCCAAAGGCGATCCCCTGCAGCATGCCAGCGAGGAATGCCAAATCCAGAATATAGCCACGCGTCCACCGCGTACCGGCATGCAGTCACCGTTGGACGCCGGCGCGGACTCATCCGCCGGGACGGAACGACCGGATGACAATAAAATCCTGATGAAAGGCTCGGCCACGCAGGCCTGGTTGACGGTTAACGAGCACAAGGAAAAAGCCGAGGAGCTGGCTGCCATTCAGGCGGCCAAACAGACAAGAAATCCTAATTCGGGAGTACTTTTAAGATCTGATGGTGGTTTGTTGGCGGCGCTGGCTGCACTCTTCTTTGCCCTAGTCGTATTGTGATACTAAAAAACATGACCGAGGTGTGATGGTGTTCGCCGTAGCAGTTTATTGCTGCTTTCTTTTATGTTTTAGCTATGGTATATAATTATTAATAAATCTTGCCAATGCACACTACAGAATATGCCATTCACGATCACGAATACCTTCGCAGCGGAAGTATTCTTCATGGGCGTTGTTGCCGCGCATGCAACATTTACTTTGCATGTCATATTAAGGCCGTAATTAGGTAAGTAGCTGATTGTGGGTAACAGTGTGAACACGGAATTATTTTCTGTAAATCAGTCTCGAAAAGCTAAACAATAAATGCTTTTTGCATTATTTTAAGCAGGTTAGTACGTGCCGTGCAGAATTGCACTACAGGTTTGGTATCTAATGTTAAATGGTCTGATAAAGGAAATTTTTGATAATTTTTTAAATTAATGTGTTACAGGCGTATTTTATTAGACTTCGACATTCTGCATTGTCTACAACGTACGTGCATTTTTGTACAAACAGTTTCAATACTTGTATAACAGAATCATACTTTTCTTATGGTTTGCAACCTTTATTTTTTTCTCATACAAACGCAAAATAATAGCTTCGTATGCTTTTATTACAAGCAGCGCTAGCAACTACACAGTAGTCCCAGTACGTATACAGAGTCCAGATACATCACAAAACTTGTTCACGCTCTTGCGGACTGAGGTTATTACTGGCGATCCTTGTATTTCTTCACATCTTTCTCGCTGATACCAAGCTCCTTCGCAATTTCCTTGGTGGACTTTCCGCTGTTGATGAGAGATTTAACCTTCTCCTCCAGCTTATCTTCATTCTGCAAATATCAGTCACGCTGTTTTGCATTCTTAAATAATTATATCATGCAGATATCAATGCGGAAAATGAAAAACTGCTTCGCCGCCGTGGTAAGACTAGCGAATGCCTGTAAATAATTTACCAAGTTACGAAGCAATATAACAAAATTCATCCAAGAAAGATATTATGTGCTAAACAACATTACCATAAATATGTGCTGCAAAGTTTTATTGAGACTACTCTTTATTAATAATACGCTGGTAATTATCGATTTTCTAATTTTACGTATATTCTTAAACTCTGTTAGGATAGAACAATGTAACAACAAAAATGTTACTTACGCTTGTGCCGCGGCCTTTGTTGGAGGATCCTTTGGCGGCATCCACTTGCAGGAACTACACAGAAAAAAAGCAAACGGTAAAGGTCGTCGTTATCATAGGCGACAATCACAGCTGACCACAACTGCATCTCCATTCCAATGCCAGAATAATAGTTTTAATACACGTGGTTAATACTATCCAAAGTTAATATTTTATACAAAAAAGGGGCTTACCACAGCGGACAGGACCACCAGCAAAAGCAAGCACCAACGCATCAGATTCATGGTTGAAGAAGTTTGTCGGAATGTAAAATAAATCACAAAGTCACAACACGTATGGCCTGTATCAAAATCTGAGAATCTGTAAGATTCGACTGAGACGCTGGTAAAAGTTAAAACTGCAAGATGCAATTACCTCCGCGTCGTTTTTATATCACAACCTAAAAGTTTACTCCAACTTCTGCTTTCTGCTGTGTCATGGTGCACGATAACTCCCGGGTATTTCTTAGAAATACGAGTATCTACACAAATAGACAGTGCAACCTCCATTTGTGAACACCTGTGATATCCGTCAGCTGTATTTTACGCACTCTATTATGCATTTCGGTACATGGACCGGACCAAGAGATCGGCTTAACTGGTAAGCTGTACTTGCAAAGCATCCGGGAAACACAAGCCTTAATGGCACGGTGTCCGCGTGGGGCATGTGTAATAGATTTTTCGCCGTTAGTATTTCTGTTTTGAAAAGAATACGGTATTAACATCACAGCCGATAAAAAGTCGATAAATTACTTAACCTTTGAGCAACGAGTGGAGATAGGTAACAGAATTAAATTTTACACATTGAGAATACATTTAAAATCGCTAGTATTATTCATGAACTTAGGACGTATTAACTTAAATATTATTGTCCTGATTGTTGTAGACATTTAGCTGATAAACAAACAAACAAACATACTTAATGCATTAATTTGCAGACGTTTTGCATTTGAAAACCCGTCAAAGTGTACAATACTGTAATAACTGTACATACGTGTTGGAAAGTGATGTTGCACGGAATATAATTTTTTGAGCTTTTGCACTTATACTAACCCAGTAAGTTTTTAGACCAGTTACAGTAAAGTGCTGCTTCTTATGGTATAGCGTTTTCGGTCTTGTTGATTGTGACTGCTGTAAATTGTAATTAATGCGCTAGGCCCATTTTGCAGCTGTAGCCTGTAGAAGTATATTTAAGGGCAAACCGTTTACCATGATCACCCCTGAACCACGCACAAGACAGTGTGTACCAAGGCTGTTCGAGGTTGGCAGGTTTCCCTATATTTGTTGTGGGAGTAATTTTTTTGACCCAGCGACTGTCGCACTTGCCATACTTAAAAATTAATAAAAAAATATTTGTTTCAGCTTCGGACAAACAATTACACGAGCACGGTTCAGTTTGTTATGTTGTTTTGTTGGCTCCAACAGCCACGGGCGGGTTTGCCGGTCAAAAACATATTTGTAACACAGTCGGTATACGATAAGTAGTTGACTTAGTCATCTTTATGAATTAAATGATGTATTGCAGTTCTACAATAAATTGCCAATTTTGCACGTGCGCCGTGACATTCATCAACATTCTCTTATTCACCTGCACGTTAAAAAAGCGGTTACTTGAAAAACAGGAGTTGTAACAAACCTCAAACACTGTTTCGCCGGGGTCGAGTCGCGCGTAACGCAAAATTACGGCAGTTTGCCAAATTATGGGAATTTGGCATATACGGTACGATTAACTTTTGACATAAATTATACAAAAAAATTTTATTAGTTAGATTTAGTGAAATATATAACTAAGTACTCGTACTAAAATTATTCAGTTTAAATGTTGACCAAGAATTCCAAATGGAGAAAATGATTGCTGTAGGTATTTCACCGTATTTGTAAACTTCCAATTCTAATTAGCAATTTTTGTTTTTTCAATATTAACGTTCAGCATATCGCGGTGAGCCACTGAGCATGTGCGCCTACCGGCGTTAATATATAAATTTCAAATACTATAGTAAAGTTTGGCACAGTTTTGCGCGATAATCAGAATTTAACAAAGTTAATATAGATATAGCTAGGCTCTGAGGTGTATTGTAAAGGTACTACAAGATGCAGAAAAAGCATGCTGTAAGACTTATACTGACATATTAAAGTAGCAAAAAAAAAAATGCATGTACATACGCGAAAAATTAATACACAAAGAAGCTAGAAGCAACAAGTTGTTTCCGCGAACGAATGTTCCACGTAAAATAAGTATATATTATGTAAAGCCAAAACATTTTATTTATAGTACGAAATAATATAATGTTACCAGGTAACTGGTTGCATCTGAACTGTTTATAAAAACATATCATAGTGATAAATCTTTTCAATTCTTTTCATAGAAAAACGGAAGCCACTGTGTCAATAAATCACACCACCAGTTGGTTAAAAGATGTCTCTGCACTCAAACTTCAAAGATAAACCATAAAAACCCAAATTTAAATAAACGGCTACGGTGGTATTTAAAACTGGTTGTAGTAATACACAACGTGTTTCTTCGGTTTCTGACTGCGCTTGGCTTGGGCCGCTCGCGCCAGATCCTCCTCCTGCGATTTTTTAATAATATCGAAGATCTCCTTAAAGAGTTTCTTATACTCGGGCGGTCCGCGTTGAAATCTTCCCTGTGTGGGATCAGACAGATAGTCGATAATCAAACCGGTGTCCGTCTGCGTAGTCTTGCTTTTTAAATGGTGGTCTTTATCGTCCTGAGATTCCTTCTCGTGATCCAGCTCCTCCTGTTCCCGGCGGAAATCATCCAGAAAACGGTCCCGCAGTGAATCCGCAATCTCATCCAAAATAGACACCTGCGGGGCCGGCGCACTGCAGGATGACAAACTGGAAAAGTCCTCGCTGATGTCGGTATCGTCATGGTTCCCAGCGGCCACGCCCTGCCGGTCATTACCGCGCTGTTCGTTAAAGGCGGCAATCTCGTCGGCGTATTTGTTAGTCAGGTGTTCCAACTTTTCCCGCCAACTGGCCGCTTCTTTTGTTACATGGTCTAGCTGTTGCCACAGGGAGGTGTTGTCGGCGACAACGTGTACGACCTGATCCTGAAGGAGCTCCCGCTGTTTGCGCTCGTCGGTAACCTGGCGCTGGAGGACTTTGATTTTCTCCTTAAGAATGTGCATCTCCGGGCCAAGTTCACTGTCGTCGTCGTCGCTGTCGTTGGGGTGGGATTTGGAAGCGGTTTTCAGGGCCTCACCATGGGATATACTGCGGGTCATCCCGCCGCTGCCGGTTGTAGCCGTATGGGAGGATGTGTTGCTGGCGAATTTGTCTTCCCAGTTCTTCCGCTTCATTTCGGTTATCTGGGTCTGCAGTTCTTCGCAACGGGACTGGAGGACTTCAACGGTATCTTGCAGTCTAAATAACAGAATAATGTGTCTATTTCTCTACGGTTGCAATTGCATTTCTTTGCGGTGCGTTGCAGAAACGGTAATACTGCTATTAACTCTTAAATCCAAGGTCTACACTTTATGGAAATTTGAAAGTACGTAATTTTTTGGTTACGAATTTATGATGGCAAGCAAAATTGTCAGTAAACGTGATCAGGACCATTGGACTATTAGTACTGTCACTGCACATGCAGCCAGTCACACTGCTGTAGTAATCGCTTTGCTACTCGCTTGTTAGGCTTGTATTATTAATAAAATAAAGCAACCTTTTCGATACTTATTGACGCAAACTTTTACGTAAATTAAATAAAATTCACTCCTTCTAAAAAAATACAAATACAACGTGAAACACAATGCTTGTTGTTGCATATGTCACATTGATATAGTTATATAATATGTCAGTGATTAAGTTTTTGTTAAATTTTTATAGAACAGGTTGAGCAGTTATTTTAAGAAACCTTGCATAGAGCAAAAAATATAGATGATAATTATGTAAGCGTAAGTGAAAGTTGTCCAGTGGAACACTTTGAACTTGCTGGCATAGTTCGTAGACTGAAAAAGCAAAACGGGTGACACCAACAATTAAAATACGCCAGAAATGATTATAAGTACCGCATACGTATGGTACTGACAGGTTCCCACGATTCCGTACCGTACTCATAACGCGTAGCGGAAACTGCGCTGGTCAGTGCAACGAAACACATATCTGTATAAATCTGAATTTGAACACTGCTTGATATACATATAATAAAAGGCACGCTCCGCTACGCATTTGGTTGTCAAAAAAAGTGGCCTAATTATGGCGTTTATTGTGTAATATGCAGCATGTGTTCAGTGTTACTATACCTATATGATTTTTTGGCCAGCCATAAATGCACAGCCAGACAGTGGTTTTTGTACGATTTTCTTCTGCCGCGAACATTAAGGTAACGTCAGTAGCCCTCATAAAAATACTCGTTACATTACTGTTACTATTTTTGTAAAAAATAATGGGCGCTGGCAAAATACTACCCGTATACTAGCGCATTTCCCTGCACAGTGCATCTGTCTACACCGGCACAAGACTGCTATCGTTCAAAATTTCAAATAATCTGTTAGCAAACCTGGTGATGCGCATGTAATCCAAATTCCGCAGTTCCTGCAGATTGCCTTCGCTGCGTTTGAGCTCCTGCAGCTGACTTTCCAGCATCTCACAGGCGGCCAACCGTGTGCTGCTCTCATCGCGGAGAAGATGCACTTGCTTTGTTAAAAACTACAAACATCAACAAACAGAACGCTTCTCAGTAGAATTATTCAAAGGCAGCACAATTTTCCAAATAAGGTCACGTATAAGTCCAATACGAATAAAGAACTGAATACCAGGGAAGCGTCAGTAATATCGCGCTAAACAATTATACGAATACTATTAACTCCCGCCCATGGTCATAACAGGACCGAAAATAATCAAGTACAGTATCGGCAGATAAACTGCTACTAAAAGATTAACGCAACCCACGTGAGCCTTCGGTCTGTCTACATTAACATTGTCTACAAACACTGCATTGTTCAAGCCCAGTTGTAGCGGAGGATAATACGAGTATAACGCGATAACCGGTATTGTAACGAAATCCGTAGTGTAATAAATTAAAGGCATAATTTTCTTTGATTTGAAATTCTTACTTTCACTGCACCAAAATTGTAAGCAAACTGCATTAAAACAATTTTAGTTATGTACTGTTGCACAATTGTAGAGAAAACAAAATTTTTGACAGTATATTTGGTTTGATTTTTATCGACCGATCCGCAATGGTGATTACAGAGAATTCTGTCTTCGAATTCCAATTTAAATCTTCCCCTCCGGGCACATTCCCAGTGTTCAAACACAAACATTAAGCTGTACGGCTTTCCGCCGGTCTTAGTGGTGATAGTGAAAGATTTGATCCATAAAATGTTAATACATAATTAATTTCTTCTCTTATCGATCAACCCACTTTCGCTCAAATTCGCATAACTAAAATAGTATACTGGTGTATATGTAGCTATGTACTGTATATTCACAGCATATTATTATCAATAGAATAGCAAGGAAGTTTAAACAGTTGCCGCAGTTCTCAGCGCACTTACATCGATCTCTAGAGCCTGATCATCCGCTAAATCCTGATATGTGGTGAGATCGGTTTCCAGCTCTTTGTTGCGCTGCAATAGTGTTTTGCCCAGCTCGGCGGCCAATTGTAGATCTACAATTACAAATACACACCGGCATCATTGACAAAGTCAACAATACATAACAATTACGACGGATAAGATATGCGGATATATTACAATTGACGGCAGACACCTTTTATACCAATAAATGGAGAAGGTGGTACAACATTTATCCAAATATGAATGCATGTTTTAATGGCTATGCTTGGTGGCTTGACGTATCTACAGGAACTGGCCATTCGAAGGCAGAAACGCAGATCGCAACAATGAAACTCTGCACCAATATTAGTATTGAATAAATGGTGGCTGAGAAAATTTTAAAAAATTTATTTTAATTAGCACTTATTATGTAAAGTGCAAGCATCACAAGAGGCAGTCAGTTTTGGACAGAAAATAGGTACTTAACTGCTTTGATAACATTTCGGATATGCTTTACTTTTTATTCGAAAAAAACTTCATTTTGTTTAGTTCATAAAATCTGAATAAAAGCACTATTAAGGCATCAAATTACTGTACTCGCGCAGCGATTCGTAATTGTTTATGAAAACTGGAACATCTAGCGTGCGACGTCCACCACTTGCGTGTGTACACGCATTAAAACATCCATGTTATTCTTGTTTGGTAAATTAAATTAAATCTCAGTTGAAATCGATTTCGTTCAAGCACCATTAGCACGCACAAAAACTCCCGACCCGGGTCAAGAAAATTCTCCTGACACCGGCAGATTGCTATACAAGCGCGACTCTCCAATCGCCAATCCATTTACATCCCTTTGCATTCGCCCCACTTCACGGCATACAAAACAGCTGTAATAGTAATGACACTCCGGCGATTGATATGGTAATTAACAAGTTAACTTGCTCAACTGCGAAATTTTTATAAAAGAAAATTCTAAAAATTAAATAGCGTTACAAGCGTGTAAATCTTACTCGGTCCCGACGTATCGCGATACGTGCACTGATCATCCGACAGAATCCATTCGGTGTCATGATCATCATTAGCATCCTTGTCATCGCAATTATGCTTATGATCAGTAATAATCCCTTGTGCGGATAACGATGCACTGCGTGCGGAGGTGGATGTATAGCGGATATTACTAGCCGAATATTTTACACAACTCACCAATCTCATACGTCCATTCATGATGATGGAAAAGATGATGTGAGTTATTAAGATGACTGGACAACGACGCCGCCGACAACGTTGCCGGATCCGAACTGATTTCCTCTTCACCGTCCGATTGCAGGCTATTCATAGCCGTACCGGCGCCCGGTGTTCTGACGGTGGGCGATAACGATGATGCTGATTTGTTGGCGCAATTTTTCATCATGGTCAGAATATTGTGCTGTCCATGCAGCCGCAGCCAAACACTGGTTGCGCCAATCAGTTGGGTGATTGATAAAACAGTCAAAATTATGACGTACAGAAGGGCTTCTCTGTTGATAACTGGTTCTGTTTGTTGAACGTTGAACCGCTGTGTGTGGAGCTTGTATATTTGAGAAGCAAGGTTAATTTACGCCGGCGGGCGGATGGTGAAAGTGGATCCTTTGATTTGCGGTTTTACGGCGTAATGCCTGCTACAAAATAAACCAGCGGTACGTTTTATCAAAAGCCGAGGTGTTATCAAGTTTTGTGAAAACGATTGTATTTTATTTCCCCCCTGACACTCGCCTGATCACTTGTATTCATTCATATTCACTAGCCGGCAATTTATTCTTGTAAATTCACAACCGCAACCGGCAACTTCCGTACGCCATCGATAAAAAACACTTCGCACTTATTGCTTTATCAATTATGCATATACATAATTGCGACCGTATGCAATTTTGTTTATTGGCCTTATAATTATGTGCGAAACAATTATGTAACCGATCGTCAGAAAAACTCGGCATCGCCGATATGTTGCGGCGCGGTGTGTATGCATGCCCGTCTGTGGCGGAGACGGACAGAGTTATTCGCTGTACAGTCAAAAAATCAACACACTTGTACAATATGATGCCGGCTCGACCAGAATCACCGGATTCAGCGCGGTAATATGCATATGAGCTCCCAACAGAATCCTCACTTGATCTATTAACAGCTATCCTTCTTGTCAATCAAGACGCACTGCCAACTTGTTAGATTCGGCCGCAAAACTTTGACAAATCACCTGTATTACTCCGTAACGAGGTATATATGCATGTGAATTGTCTACTCCATCTTGCATTGTAATACCGCATAACAAAATGGATATCTTTGTGCTCGTGTGCGAGTTTATTCTAACAACGCCGATCAAAATTCAAAAAAGATGGTTATTAACCGATGTTACGAAATTTAGTTCAAACAGTGCGGTAAACACATAATAAACGAAAATGGTCACACTAAACTCCAAATAAGTTACATATATTTTTGCTCCTAACTTGAATTCCCTGGTACAGTATGGTACCATTTTGTTGTGACAAAAAATTACTTATAAGTATACAATTTTTCTTTTAAACGCTTACAGCAGTCTTACCGGATCACATCTGTGCGCACAGATGAGAGTGAGATGAATCAGATGATCCCCACTTCCACGATCGCAAGCATTATGTAATCACTAATAACAGGAAATGGCAGTTCGGCGTCCACGAGAGAGCTTCCAGACTGGCAAACCTTACGTGATCTGTAAATAAACCAAAAGATTTAACAACTGTAGATTCAAGCTTAGCAAAAATAGCACGATAGTGGCATACAATTGATGGTTATCTACTTACTGCAGGAGAAAATAAACACTGCGGTATCCTAACGTTTGGCAGCTTCGGGATGCCGATCAAGAGTAAGGAAATCCTGCTCCGCTGTTTATGGCATGGAATGGGATGAAGGGCTGAGCGCAGCAACATATGGGGAATACGGCAGTGATCCATTTGTTTAGATATCGCCGGGTTTGTCATTCCCTACCAGAAGCGGCAGAGCCGATCGATAGTGCAGGACGCAACACTTCCGGTTGGGCATACACATTCTCGTCTACCAAGCCGTCCATTCGTACTGTGTATGGGTGGACTCAGTTTTCAGTTGGCAGTGGAAAAAGTACTTACTAATTTGTTTTTATTGTACGAGTAATATAGTTCCGCAATTACAGTCTGTATACTACCATAAATAAATAATCAGCATATGCAATCACTACACATAGTGCCCACATTTTTAGCGCTTATGGTTAGCCATGTTTTTGAATGTTTTTAATCGTTGAATCGTGCTGAATGAAGCTTCCCTGAATATGACAGGAAAGTTGTCCCCTCATGGTCAGATTCATTTATGCCAGCTATTCTTCGCGTCTACAAACACCGGCTCTTCTTTCTCGGAAAGAAAATATATAGTGTTAATTAAAGCTTCTATCGACTATGATCCCACTACCTTACATGTATATTGTACACAATTTGTAAATCTGCAATTTCTGCTCACCGGTCAGTACGGCGTATGCAGTTCAGAACAGACAACCAAGGTACGTTAATTTCGACCCATCACGGTCAGCAGCCGGGGTTCGGTCCCCGCTTCCGATTCCACGGCTGTAAGAAATCCGACACCTGCAACATGCATGGGACTTACGGTGACTTGCACCATACTGGTGACTTACCATACGCGAGGTTCCCAGCGAATCGGTCCTTTTGCGGCAACTTACCCGTACACCGTCCCCAAAATACGGTTTTCCACCATATGCATTCAAAGATGTATTAAAAAATGATCTTACTACACTAAAAGTTATTTTCATCGCGCCAAACTTATCTCTGTTAAACAGCGTTTCCGTTTGCGACACCCACGACGAGAATTTATTTTTTCAACGCACTCAAATTTTTAATAAAAATTATATAGCGCCGCATTTCGATGGGGAGGCTTCGGTTATTACAACTAAGTATAAACTATAAACCTTAATTGAATTTTTCGCTAGGAAACTCTTGTTAACCGCGCAGGCGGCCTTTGTTGTACGAGGTTGCAGATGACATCAGTACGAGGCAAGCGACAACTCTTTCCCATCGCTTGAGTAAATTTTATCACTTTCCCTGCTGCATCTTACCCGTGTGCAGGCGCTCACGCGACACTTGATTTTTGCCGTCACGTCGGTTTGCAGCTACCGGGTGGCCCAACAAAATGGCGGTCTCGTTTATTATGGTGTACTGGCCCGCCCAACGTCCGATGGGCTTCGTTATAGTTTCATTCGAAAGAGCAATGTTCGTAGCATAGAATTATTTAATCATACTAACCGTACATAAAGTTTCAACTTTGTAATGGATTATTTTAATAAAATAGGTGGATTTTGACGGTGTCCCAGAGCCGAAAATTTGGATTTTCCCATTAGCGAATTAAAAATTGCTATTGTTCAGCTTAGTAGATTAAAATTGATCACTTTAGTGTTTCGAGTAGAGGGTTTGTTCCTTGTTTTTTTAACGTAAAGAGATACGGTATTCTGGTCACCGCGTTCGGTCCAGAAACTAGAGAGCTGGAACGCCGCAGATTAAATTTTCGTGAAATCCTCTAGCAGCTTTTTCGAAAATGAATTTCACCAACACAAAAAGAGAGTACCTAAATTAAACTTTGCCTTCTATAAAGGCAATACCTTAGCTACATTTAAAAACTAAATTGACACATTTTGTTGCAGCCTGTCAGGCAGTAAAAAAATTTTAATAAAATAAGTCGAAAATTGAACAAAAAAACGGCATTTTTTCAAAAAGTGAATCCAGTGCATTGCTTCCCCATTGAGTGCTCCATGGAAACCGTTTTTTTTATGTTGAAAGGAAACGGCCGTCGCTACATGAAACAATTGAAAAAACTGAAATAGTTTGTATAGATCATAAAGGAGACAAAAAAAGCTGGGTCACTTTACATTTCCGAACAACTTCAGTTGGCACAGCTTTTCACGAGCGTGTCATAACTTTTCGAAAAATTGTTTTTTGATTTCGGTAGCTAATAAAATTTGTAATTGAAAGAATCCAAAACGGTTATGGTACGACAAGCGGTTCAAAAACAGCGAAACAAAAACGGAGACCGCCATTTTTTGGGCCACCCGGTATAATTGATTGAGCAAACTGATAAAGAATACGCGTCCTCAATCACCTCTGGCTTTCTTATCTCCGGTCTGGTTTTGTTTTGACCAGGATTATGATTCATAACATTCCGAACCGATCTGTTTTTTAACTGGTCGAAGGAAAGATACGGCACGTTTTACAAATACCCGGGTGAACAGCTCCGTTTTGCAAATGCGCATCACGGCACCAGGCAGCAAGTCACGAAAACAATAGTCTTCTACGCACATACACTTTAATACATATATATAAGCGTCTAAATGAGCAATTAAAAATTAATCTATTATCAGACTATTAGGTAATTTATCTGCTTACGTTAATTACAATTACAGTTTGCACTGCGCTAATTAATTCATAAATGTACTGTGCCATGTCGGCTAACAGCGGTAAACTTTTCCAGTTTAATTCAGCGCCACAAAATGAACTGACACTTAATTAGCAACTGATCTGCTTAATTAGTTAATTGATCTGCTTAATTAATTAATTTTTGACTTGAAAAAGGCGAAGCTTTTTTTACGAAAAATATCCCAGCACATTCTTTAGAAGAGCGGTGCAAAACATTCTGATCCATCGCGCTAATTGTTCCCTCTTATACGTGCAATTAGCGACTTCTCTGTAAAAAATTTAAAGCAACACTTATTTTGTAAGGAGGTTTTATTATGAGGTTCTTTTAGTCAAAATTCTTGAAGTATTATTTCCTGCTATTTCTCATTCCTTATCCCTTCGCTGCTCTCCGAGTCTCGGGTGCCGCTCATGCAAATCGTCTTACGATAAATGCATTTTACCGGTAATGCGTGACTAGTAAGCGTAGCATTCAAACATCGCTCGCATAAGTCCATCGGTATGTGTTGTTATTGGTTATTGCTTATCTCTTTGGACTTCGAACCAAAAAAATTGTTAAAGCAATACCAGGCTGGGAATGATAAAGCTGGATATGCTTGAGGTCTGCTAATATAGAGAAGAGCACGGCAGGCGAGATTTTATCGCCGGCTCAGTAAGCGCTGATTACAATGGATACGATATCAGTATCACGTGAGCGCCTGCACACGGGTAAGATGCAGCAGGGAAAGTGATAAAATTTACTCAAGCGATGGGAAAGAGATGTCGCTTGCCTCGTACTCGTACTTACGATTAATACCCGTCTAGCTACGTCCACTTCGGAGTCAGGCGGTCTGGACACACGCGCTTCGGCCGTCTTCAATCGCGTCGGTAATCTCCGATCGACGATGAGTCGTTTCGCATCGGGCCGTAGCAATCAGACTTGGCACACCGGCGTCATCGGAACACCCTTGGCACACCGGCGTCATCGGAACACCAGTGCAAGTGCAGAAACCAGGTCGCTGCCGACGGCCACCAAGATCTGAGCTGTAAATTCTCAGTTGGAAGACAGTCCAAGACACGAATGCGCAAACGAAATTTTGAGCGGAACACTGGGTTCGTCAGGCGTTCCCGCGGTGACGGAACCCAGTGGCATGCATCACGAAAACGAAACACGCTTCGACGGGAACAGTACCTTTCCATGGACAAGTTCACAATTAATATTAAGAGGACTGTGTTTGGCATGGGACATAACCAGCGTCGATCGCTGTCGCGGCGTCGCCCGATCATCCTGAATGATACCAGTGTAAATGCCGGACCGGTAGCCAACCAGGTTGCCGAGAATGCTGTTTTTCTTAACCGAGATGTCGTTGTCTTGGAATTGTTATTAACTTATTGAGCATTTTTAAAAATTAATCACTCCAAATGCTAATATCATTAAAGATACAAAGGATATTACAGCATAGCGCGAATGTACGGGTAGCCACCCAGGGAGGCACCTGTGTCGCATGAAAAGCAAACGAACAGGCAGCCCTCACGTCCGCCGTCAGTGTGTTACTAATCAGTCGTTACAGTATTTTTCAATTTTTAAGCGATAATTTTGACAAACTTTTTTCAGAATCAGAAACCTTGCGTGGGAAATTTTAGTAAACTTTACATATTCATCAAAGTGAAAATATATACCAACAACGGCGAAGAGTGACTGAAAAGTTAAGAGACTTTTGTGGCTTCCGTCATCGCTACTTGGTTATCTTCGGTTGTTTCCCAGATTGCACTGCATTGGAATGGAATGCGAAAGTCAGCAGTCAAGACTCAAAGTCAAGATCGTATGACAAATTCTGCCACTGATGATCTTCGAAAATCGTGAAGGATTCTGTTCTCATTTGAACATCCTTTTATCTAATGCTTCAGGCATATAATACAAACTTTTTTACACATTTTGATCGGAACTTTTGTCGCGCATTGATACGTTCTTGGGTATAAATCAGTCTGATGTTTACTGTGAAGGCTCCACTATGCCAGCCATAGATCCGACATCAGTGCCGTTTGATTATTACCTCAGAGGACTTGATTTCGTCGCAGAAGATGGCTCGTCACCGTCCATCACCGTCACTCCACTGCCCACCACCACCGTGTCGGATTTTCCGACCATGTCGCCGGGATTCACTCCCGAAGTGCACTGGAGCTTGACGGTGGTGTTTGTGATCCTGTACACAGCGTTGTTCATCCTGGCGTACATTCAGTTGTGGATGATCTACTACTACCGACACAAACGATTATCATATCAGTCGGTTTTTTTATTTTTATGTTTAATTTGGTCAGGATTGCGCGTGACGTTGTTCTCGTTTTATTTCCAAAATGTCAAACTTGCCAATGTGAGTATGCAGAAATGTGATAGGAATGTGATGACACGGTCGAGACCAGTTTCCTGTACAGTGTGTTGAACCGCTACGGCGCGATACAGGGTTTTATGCTGATTAGCTTTGTTTATTTGTATCAGCAGTCTTTACTCATGTCACATTGCGTAAGGCTATTAAACTTAGGAAGACTGGAAGATTTTAAATTTATTAAGTATTAACTTAAAATTCAAATGTGTTGTTGCAGGATCTCCCGATATTTGCGTACTGGTTATTGTACTGCTTTCCGGTCTGCATCCAGTTTTCCTTACTGTGTTTGCTGGTCCTCTACTTTGCTCAGGTATTCGTATTGTACCTTGTTTTGATTTGTAATGCAAAATGTAATCCAAACCTTTTAACATAGTGTGACTTAGAGTACAAAATACAGAAAATGACATTACGTATGCACTGCGTAAGTGCTGTAAGGCTTAATTTAACTCTTTTATGCTTATTTTGGTTATTGGAGATACTTTTGTATATTATGTGCTTCAGTTTCTGGGAGAACTTCCGGTTAGTCAGGGAGTTATTCGGGGAAAGTCGTGAACGGATATTACGCAGTTCAAGAATTCAGACAACGGCTGTGATGATGTTATCGGCATGTTCAGCCGCGCAACTCATTGCAGCGGAACCGCTTTAACCGAGTGCACGCAGTCTAAACCTGTTGTTAAACTGAAAAAACCAAAACACTTACACATGCCGTGCGCCGGAAAAGCGAAAATAGACTGGGCGTACTGTTTTGGAAAAGCACGATGATATCAGTTGGCAACGCCGCAACTTCGCAAAATGGCACACTTTGAGCTCGTATTATTTTTAAATCTTGCCGAATAATGGTTCGTCGACACACGGATTTGTGGAAGCTGTTGATGAAGTTAATAGGAAAAAGAAAAGGGGACGTATTTAAAACTGAAACCCGATTGAATTTGCGGTTTTAGTGGGTAATAGTTATTCTTCTTGAAAGGCAGAGGCTCATTTTTGGGTATCAAAATTATTTTCCCTGAATGTACAGTACACATTCAAGCATAGAAGTATGGATTGTACTGGGCAGGCATTTACTGGAGCGGTTCGTCCGCGTTACACTAGTCGTGCAGTTCTTTGATTGCCCAGAAACTGATTTTGACTGTCTACATCTTTTTAAAAATGTAATTACACCGGCTTTTCTTGCCAAAGCCTGATAAATGAAAATCGGTTAGATGACGTGATTTATGGTCGAATGTGTTATCCTACATTGTGAATCACTATAATTAAGAAAGCTCCATTTGAACAATTATCACCGGTATTATGTGATTTTGTTACGTTTAGGTGCTGATCAAAGCTCGCGTGCGATACGGAGGACCTCGACGCTATCGCTTGTATCTGCGATTGGGCATGTTTGCGGCCGTGGCCATATTCCTGTCAACGGATGTGTCTTGTGCCATCCTCAACAAACTCCATCAAGACATGACACTGTTTGACATAATCCTTACGCGGGTTATCATCTGTGATACCTTATTTATTCTTGCCAGTGTTGCCTTATCATTCTGCGTCTACAAATTGGCTACCATGTCTTCGGCCAATATTCTACTGGAAGCTAAGGTATATATCAGCGACTATTTTCCCGTAAACACAGAGCTGTCAGTCGAAATGGAATGCATTCTTTGAAATCGTGACGTGAAATCAGCTTACTCTGAAACACTTGTGCACGCTCTTTGACAGTGACATCTGCACCGTAGTTTATGGCATAGGCATCGTGAAAAGTAATGAACAGTTTACTTGTAATTTACGCTAAGAACATGTTGCGGCGACATTTTTTTAAATTGAAGTAGTTGCTGTTATATTGGTTTAGTTTTGCTAGAATTGTGAAGTTTAATATCGGTGTTTTAAAGATCAGCTTAAGAATTTGAAAAATAGGCATTTTGGACAATTTGTTGAAAAAAAGGCATTCATGCACAACTGGCAGATGTGGTAATATTATTCTTTTATTTATTTTTCAGGGAGCTACAGTAACACAGGCCAGCTTAGTCTGTGTCGTGACAATTTTGCTGTACATTTCCCATGCAGTGTACGACCTGATAGCCATATCACTGCACCAAGTAATACCCGATTTCGGACTGGGTTGGATCAACGTCTCCGACGAGGTCAGACAGCTATTTCGTCACTACACGTGTTCTTCTGACTCTACAGAATAAAGTCCGCACATGTTTACTGAGTTTATTTTGCAGGGATATCTGTTCAACATCCATAAAGGCTATGGTTATCTCAGCTTCGGATTAGTGCTATTCTTCTGGGAGGTGTTACCCACATTCACCGTTATCATATTTTTCCGAGTTCGCAGGCCGAACATTATCGTGGTAAATGTGACATAATAATATTCGCCGTAAACAGCTATGTGTTTATCTCGTTCATTAATTTTTCTCGGTTGATATTATGCAAATCTGCACTAAAAGTGACAGTTCGATAGCTTCTGTACGGATAAATAACCCAAGAAAATATGCGTAAAAAATGAAATAAAATTACTCGTTTTAGAATTTAACGTTTTTTTTGTGATGTCATAAAATATCAATACCGCTATTATGCTTAATAGTTATCCATGCCCTTTTGCAGACAACGTCTACGATGAATTCCGGACATTCTGTCGGCTCGTACTTCTTCAATCAGCCTCGACGGTTCAGTAGCGACGAAGATTTAACGCGCAGCACATCCTCGGTGCCGGCACGCTCCTTACCCGTGGAAGATCCCCGTTTAACCCGCAGTTTTAACGCCAATTTGAGTAGTCCGCGTAGGCCGTTCGCCTACCGTCGTCTGAGTGACCGCATCACCATTACGCAGAGTGTGACGGAGCAGGAAGAGCGCTCCGGCTCGCCGCCCGTTCAGACGCTGGAAACAGCGGGAACGGTCAACACGGCGACCTCGCCGGACGAGTGAACGGCGGTGAACGTGTTTCGTTTTAGGAACGCGATAGTTTTTTGTAGTGTGCAGATGAGATTATTACATTGTTGACAAATGTGCAATTGAATTTGTAATTATACTGCTGTACAATTTCTTTCGGCTGTGGTTCTTTTGGCTTTCCTGCCCGGATCTTATACTTCCTTGTGATTTTTTTGGTTTGGTGACGTACTACATGCATTTCGACTTCATGTGCTTGTGTTTTTTTCAGAGTATGTTGGCTGCAGTCGTTTGTTTACTGCTACTCTGCTTTGTACGTATGTCTTGCATACTTCACAGTTTGCGTTGACATTAAAATTATAAAATTTTCGCTGGGTGGAAACGAAAGGTAGCATCGTAGCGCGTTACATGCATGTTGGTGTTCTTAATTATGCCACCGGTGTTGTGACAGACAAGTTAAAACAATAATAATCGTAACCAGCGTTGAAAATATTCATCTTGCAAAAATTTAAATTTCGAATTAGCTGTGTCATGCATACCGTTTGTGTTATAGATTTTTGCATTGTGTACTATCGATTACAAGTACTTACAATACCGCCTGCAAGTAGTCGTACGGATTACGGAATACACTCGCCGACCGATCACTGAGTATTAATTTTGGCGGTTGTTTCTCGGCTTTAAAATATCCTAATTACGAACGAAATTTTCTGGCACTGACACCATCTGATATTCTGCGAGGAATCTCAATACACATTTTACTGCTTTTCAATACATACTGTACTTATCACATATTAGAGACAAGAATTGAGAAAATACAAAATAGTTACGAGTAAGACATAAAATAACGAAAGGTGGTATGTCGCGGTTTGTGAAAATATTCAAAATCCAATGCAAACGACTGTGCACAGCTAAAGCCTAAACCATCGTGCAATGCCATCCAAATACTTGACATAAATGCGCTGGTCAATCGCTACACAAAAATGAAACGTACAATTTACAAAGATAACAGTCAAACAACAGCTCCGTGGTAAAAGCGAACCAGGAATACGAGAAGCGCTCGCCATGCCGACACCAACAACATTGTTATAATCCACCTGCGAACACAAAATACAGCCAATACTTAGAAAGAACTTCACCATCGCATAAATAAACATTCCTTTTTTTTCCGTGTGATCCACATCTACTTACTGCATTGTACAATGGTGATCGGCATCCCACAGGCCTCATACGAGCCTAGCTTTCGAACAGTCTCCAGACCCTGCAGTATTTCCCCAACAATCACATTGACGCCATCCAGCCACGGCATCGGCGAGAGGGTTATCATAAAACAAGGCCAATTATCTTTGGATACCGAAATCAACCCGGCTACTGAGTGCGCGAGAGAAGCAACAGGAACCTCTGCCGGGAATGTTGGGCGATGGCTGAGCTGGCCACGGCTACCCGTTGTGCCTTGATATCCTTTCGGGCGGAACCAAACGGCTCGTTCCGGCATTACACGGAAGATATCCCCTCCCGTGAAGTTGTAAGCTTTGTGCTGACCAATGCTCATATTGTAAAAGTCATCAGCAATTTCCGGGATGACATCCGATCATATTTTCAGAAGAATAGGGTCCATCTGCTTTCCACCCAGAGAGATAACCATCTTCACCATGGCCACCAAGGCACTCATTCGCGGAGTGGCCGGCAAGGAAGGCGCCACAGCGGGCAATGAAAGACGCCTGGCATTTGTTATTTCCTTCTTCAAAGAATCAACATCGGTGCGCAAATTTTGAACCTCGCTGTTGTGGGTTGATGAAGCCTTTTTGCAGACGTCTTCCATTTGTTTGAGGCAACCCTGCGCCTGATAAAAAGTCACATGGTTAATAATTACTGTAATTAAAACAAAAAAACTGTTCCAGTGGTGGACGATTGTAACGCTTATGCCTTCTGGTTAGGAATTGTGCTAAACCGATAGACTGACCAATTTCCTTACAGTTTTGTCACACTGGGTCTTGATGTAGATGTAGTTGACTGCCTTGTCGGATTCATAGTCACTGCGTTGGACCAATTGACTGATGCATGGCTGGCTTTCCTATACACAAAATAAATACAGTTGCATCATAAACGCAGCACGAACAAAATCAAACTGGAACTTGCTTACCATGAACGAGTTGGCTTTCTTCACATCTTTTCTCAACGCTTCCACCTGGCCCCGAACTTTGTCAATTTGATCTCCGTGGCTTGCTAAACACTGTTTCCAGGTGTCCTTCGTTCGCTTGTTACAGTCCTGAATCTACATAAATAATCCTCCCGGTAAAAGTGTGTGTTCAAAGCAACTTGTTTCCGCAAATTCGGGAACACTTTACCTTGGTTTCAATCTCGTTCAAAATTTCTGTTTTCCGAGTTTCTTTATCATTCAATTCGGCTTCCCAGTCATAATCGTAATCGCTGCGGCAGACGAAAGTGTCCGTGCATTCCTAAAATTAAATGAAAAAAAGTGCAAGTAAACTATTCTGCCTCAACGTAGAAGTGACATTTCTCCGCCACTTGTGGTGGTGAATGTTATGCGTCATAACAGAGCGCACACAGACAGCTGCTTCTACCAATGTCTGACCTTTAAGATGGCTTCGTTCAAGTTCTGCAACTTATTCCCAAATTCTGCTTCCATGCTCGCATATCGCTGCTCCAGTGTTCCTTGGACTTTTTCAACGCAGCTGAAGATTTCTTCTGACCGGGAACGCAGATCTTCCGCGTGTTTTGCAGAATTTACTGACTGGGCTGTAAAAGCGATAAAATAAACGGTATGCCGTTTCCATTGCTACGTTAGGCTAATCGTGATGCAGCCATAAAAAAGGAATAACTACGTATCAAAATAAAAGTAAAAAGCTACAAACCGTGGCGCAATTCGTCCAATTCAGCTCGTATATCATCCATCTCCTCTGCGTGCATATCCGTAACGAGGTTTTTCTGCATTATACCACAAAAATTTTTAAGTTTGGATACAATAAATCCTTCCGTTACTCTGTACTCTGCTTAACGCATCAAATAGTATCACGTTAGAAACTAGCAACATGTTAACAATTGTTTTAAATATTAGCCGTTAAGTACAGAAGATACTCGTAGTTCACCTCTTTTTTCAGCGATGCGATCTCAGAGAAAGCTTCCTGCAGATCCTGACGCAGGGCAGCATTTTCATCTTCCAAAGCCTGAATCCTTTTCAAAACCATCTGCGCGATATCCTCTAGACAAAGGAGCGTTTGTTAAACAAATACTACCAATATCAACATTAATATCACCAATGTTCTTATGTGCATAACTGCAGTATAACCCAACAATGTAATCACTAATAAAAACACAGAACAAAGATTACCAGGCCCATACTTTGTTCGTACAGATGCAGTGAATACTGAATACACAAATTATTAACAAGACGGCGTGATAGCGGTGATACCTGACAACTGAGACGGGCTTTCCTCTTCTTCCTCTTCAGCTGGATAATCTTTGCCATGTAGTTCTGATGTTTTCCCTTCCTCAACCATGGTAAACGATTCCGCATCGTCTTCCATTGTACATTCCACGCTCTCCAATTCTTCCTCATCATCGTTTTCTAGACTGCTTTCCACGGGAATAGCGTCACTATCATATTCCACGATACTGTCGATCTCTACTTCATCGTTCGTAATAATTTCTTCTTTCTCACTTCCAAGAGTCACAACATCGCTTACACCATCCTAACAAAAAACACAATTTCAGTGCTGGGAAATAATCATTCGTCATGGTACACAAGACAGCATCACACAATGCAAATCAAGTATGACTCACAATCAGAACTTAACCGTCTTAACGGCATCGGTTAAATTTTAAATCTGTGTTGTACGGGAAAACGATAAAGTACCATTTCAGACGCGCCCATAGCAATACTCGCTGTCTTATCCAGAATCGACATCGAAGACGTATCGGCACAATCAGGCTTGTGTTCGACAATTTGCGTAGAAATACTTGTAGTGATATCCAGAATCGACATGGACGAAGCATCGGCACAGACAGACTCCCAGTCAGTGGATGGCGAAAGGGGTTCGGCTTTCATCTGGTTCTTCTCATTTATCCAGGGTCGTTCGGCTCGTTCCTAACACATAAATTCCAAAAGGTTACTCGAATAAAACTTATCCACTACATGCATGATGACCTTACTAGCTACTTCACAAACACAGCAAATTACACTCTAAACATTCGTCGAATTCCACACTCTCTTAATTAAATGTGCAAAATTTATTATTTCCATGTATTAGTCACAAAAATAAAGTTTGTCATTATTTTTGCATCTCAAACTGTTCTTGCACAAGTGTAATTATTACTATAGTTTCATCTTTATGTGTTTTTGTATGTATTGTACCTTTTCTGAAACGACGGTGTAAACTTCCGCAGAGTGTGGCGACATTTGTGGTCCAAGCTCATTCCGAGATAAATCCACTGGTTCGGAGGTTCTTCCTAAATAAACACATAGAAACTGAATTTTTGGCTTTCCTCATAGCGTGGCACCAGTGTAAAGGGCATTACAGAATTCTTGCCAGCAAATTACTGCAGTAATAATATGTACTGTTACTGTACTACTGTACATATTCTACAGGCAGCACATAAAACAGATGTAATAACGGAACTAAAAAATAACGGACCTCTTACTTCTCTAAAATTATACCTGATTGGGGAATGACCACTGATGATCCAGATTCTTGCATTTTGGCATTCCGCAGAAGGTTTTCATAATGATCTCGCTGGAATCGTATAGCAGCTTCGCACAGCCCTGTCAATTAGGATAAGTCATACACAGTGCAGGATAAATAACACTGGACGTTGGAAGCCCACGAAGCCCAATAAAGTTGTCAAAACTTTCCAATCCAGTTTTCTAGGGATGCGATATTCTCAGTTAGAGGTAACCCACCAAGGATTCTGCTAGTATTTTGAATGAAGATTCCGCGTTCCTGCATCAGCTGTTCTTCCAAAGTCTTTCCCTCCATGATCCTGATCTGTTCTACAAAATCTTACTGACTGCCTGAAATTCTCTCAAAAAGCCAACAAAAGATTTTGTAGATGATCTTTAAGAAGTGGACAGTAAAAATATTCAAGCAGAAATTTGCAAATAAAATGGTAACAAATTCCAGCTGAACCCGGAAGACTGATGCATGCAAAGTGACGCTTACATTATGGATCTGCTGCAAACCTGCAAATGAAGAAGATCAAGAACTGCACTGTCAGCCTGTCAGCATGCCTGGTTCTGTCGGGCTGCTTGGACAAAAAACCAGCATGGTCAGCCGGTCACTCTGTGCAGTTTCCAAAGCTCATCCCTTCGTTGAGCCGAGTCAGTCGACGTCTGTCAGCTGTGTGCAACTGCGCATAAGCGGTGACGTGACGTCATTTCATCCGATCTACCACGTACAGTGCCGGTACCGGTGCCGGAAGGAAAGAAGGTTAAAACAACTGCGTTAATTTCTGTATCGTTAATTTTCAATTTTCGTTAATTCTGTACAATTATGTGCAGAGTTTAATAATAAGTACAAATAGGATTATAAAATAACAAAAATTAATACGATTATTCTGGAATCTGGAGTAACAAAGTACGTATACTGCGTATATTATAATAATGATTTGAGGCTACCGGCTACCACTATGTACCATTATTGTGCTCTATGATAATTATAATATTGCTCTCGTAGGCCGTAGACAAAAACGTTAGATTTTTATTGGGTTACTCTATTATTTTTTACAATTTTGTTATTTATCCAAAAACTGTTCCATGAGGACGGTATCCGAAATAAAAGCACTGTATTTAGCCGGAAAATTTTGACCATCTGGTTTTTCCCGCTGTTCTCTATACCGGCGCCAGTTACGTAGTTATTGAACTTACGAGTTACGAGTACTTCAATACAATATCACCTTTACCTTCTATAGTGTTACCTTCTAATTATATAGTGTTACTTTAGTTTTAGCGAATTTGAATGTTTTTATTCCGAAAAAATATTACCTTTTCGCAAGAAATTTTCATCTGCATAAATGACTGAAACCGGTATTGTGCATTTGATATAGTGAGCCATATCTGACTGCGCTTATGCTTATGCTTCGTATAAAAGAACACATGGTATTATTATGCAGAAAATTGTTGGATTAGTGTATTGTACGTAGTGGTCAGTCAGTTGTACCTCCTTTTTGTATGATAGGGTTTATATTATCGTCCTGTATGTAAATATTTGTAGAAACCTTAAAACATTAAGTAGCTATAATTCATAAACAGATCTGTACATCTTCGTCTTTTAGTAACTTACCTGTAACATCTATTCCTATAGTATTATTAATGTGGAATTTTACGCAGTTGTTGAATATTATGCCAATACTCGCAGTATGCAGTTGCTTATAGTAAACAGTAGTGTTTACACAAACACACTGACAGTTTTTTTCGAAACATGATTCATTGCCATATCCGTATGCTTTTCCGTAAATGTATATTGCTCCTCTTTAACTGTATTACACCAATGATTATGCAGTATTCGAGTGGACAACCTTGCGGCTAACCAAATCTTTACGCTTATGATTTTATTTCAGTTCAGATCAAAGGAGGGTCTTTCTAGTAATTGCATATATAGATGTGTGCTACGGAACCAAGCCAAGGAGACTTTCTTATCGACTTGTCAGGACCCTGCACTAAATTATTCAGATGAAAGCAAAATTAACTTCAGAGTTCTTGTCATTGATTGCGCACAAAGATCTATTGCGCACATTATGTAGTACTTCTACATAATGTGGTTTAACAAAAATAAGCAAGCAAATATTGCAGCATATTAATGGAATGTGCAGAGTTACAACGGGCAGAATACTAAAATACCATTCAACTGACTTTTTGATAAACTAATGGTAAGGCTACAAAATGTGGAAGCTGTTAAACGTTCGTAATTATTCATACTAGATGCTGTCATTAGTCTAATTTTAACAAGGAAAATGCACCATCGTTTAACATACAAGCTATATAACAATAATCAAATTCAGTAAATTTGCTAACTTTTCAGGGACTTTTTACTTTTATTATGCGCACGATATGAAAAAATTTTCAAGGGAAAACCACTGGTTTATACAAATGACTAATATACAATTTTTGACAACGGATTATGCATTGTCATTTTGCTGTGCTTGAGAAAAGCCGCACTAAACGATCCAAACGTGGATAAAAGGTTTTCCCGTTGTTTACACGTTTTCACCTTTTTGTGAATAATGTGTTACAACTTACAACCAGGCGACTCATCCCGTTTCATAAATCACACCGGGTTGGAAAATAATAAATTTTTGGTTAATGTTCGTTGCACGGCGCTTACCGACAAACTACCGGCATTTAACTGAATGCATGAATCACCAACATTTGAATGCACAGAATAAAAATTTTCATGTTAAGTGTACACTTTTTTATTGAGGCTACTGATGCATGGTCAGCAAATACACATTAAACATTTAACCATGTATTCGTCCACACACTTTTAACGATAATAGTGCGGAAATTAAACTGTGTACTATGTGACGCGTATTGTTCATGTTCTACCGGGAAGCGCTTGACTTGCCAATCCGTAAACTAACAGATAAATCCAAGGTACTTCGTGTTGATCATGACATGCTTCCGATACATAACCGTATCACATTACACGCCGGTCTGAGCATGTTTGGTGTGGTGGTTTTATGTCCCTGTTGCGAATTGAAGGATCGCACCTTGTTTGTAAAGGTGAAAAATCATATATAAGAACATGAACCGTTTTATAATCATTCATCTTTGCACTAAACAGCAACCAGCTAATTTTACAAATCAATTTTGTATTTAGCGTTGAATATTATTAAGGTTTTCGTTGAACTACGTACGTTCCCGTTGTTTGTACCTTTTGTCTTCAAAAGGTTTTGCTGCAAGCTTTCGAAATGGACAGCCGTCTCGTTTCCGCTGGGATTTTCCTTTGCGTGGTATTGCGCTGCGCTTACAGTTTCATGTTGCCCACGTATGGATGTAAGTGTGATAGTACGTACTCGTATTAATTATACAACATATGGTAGTTACGACTATGGTCGTGTACATTTTTATAAATTGTATGAGAGTTGACTACCTGTATTTACAAAATTGAGATTGTTTGTTAAATCTTCACATCTTGTTATCTCCTGTGTGCCATGTTAACATGTGATATCTGCGGGTTTAACGTATTTAGCCAAATTATTTTGGTGGCGTGTTGGTTTTTAAACTGCCTATGAGTACGAGTATGGTCTTTGCTTTTGGCGGATTTCAGTTGTCAACTTTGTACTTATTTTTAGCTAACAACTATCTGCAGCCGATGCAACCCATGAATGGCTTCCAGCCAATGCAGCCCATGCAGCCTCTGCCCGGCATGACGTCCTACCCGCCGATGACCTTTGATTTTGCCGGTCAGCAGCCCAATCCCAACTTTCCCACTCTCCACTTCCCGCAGATCTACGTTCCCAGCGTCCAGATTCCCAACCAACCGGGTGTCAGTGTCCTGAATAACTCGGCGTCCGCCCAAGGGCCTAACGGCGCCGGAAGTGGCGTATCCGTCGGGGCCAGTGCTTCCGGACCAGGTGCGCATGCCGGCGGATCTGCCCAATCGAGTGGTTCAGGCAGCAGCAGCGATGGCTATCAGAGCAGTAGCCACGGGATGTCCTTCATGTCCAGTGGATTGAAGAAAGCGTATTCCCAACCAGCGTATCCGTATCAGTCAAACTATCTCGGACAGATTACTGCATGGGGACCTAGCGGATACTACTAAAGGTTATCTATTTATAATGGGTATCTGTGCAGCAGATCTGCCAAAAATGTTGTTCGTAGATTGATTAAATCTGGTAAATTATGATTTATTAAGTAATTTAACACTTTGAGCCTTAATGTATTTGCGCTGTTATTTTCGTTCTACCGAGAAATGTGTGAAAGTTCCTGATTATTAGCACTTCCTAATTAAGAGATCTCTTTTTTTAGCTTGAAAACAGGAATAAAGCTTACTGCACATCACTATGCGATAAAACAAATGTGATATTTCCGGTAATAGTAAGATATGGTGAAATGTTTTGTACAACCATTTCCAGAATGTGAGAAAAGTGATTAAAATAAAATGCTGGCGATGACTAAGTAGCAAAGTACACATATACTTATGCATGCAGTCTATTACTCACATTTGATGTACATCCATATTTCACTTACTGAACATACAATCAAATATTTGGCGGAAGTGTTTTCCGCCAGGCGAGCTGCTTGCTGCACGAGTGTACGGAAGACTGCTGTGCAGTCGTTAGTACTATATGAGTCATGGGTTCTCTGGCTCAATATGTAATTTTACTTCTTGTCTAGTCTTAGCATATACTCAGATATAGTACTACCGTAAGGTATATCGCCGAGTTGGGTTCGCTATTATAAATGGGCCCGCTTTTACGGTTTTCTGACGTAATGGTTTTTGATTGGGAGAATGAGAATGCAGTGGGTTGACATTTCTTTTTTATTGGTGGTCTTGTCGAGCATAGTGTGGTTTGGGTATATAAAGGAATTCGGAGTGCGGTTGGAAATTAGTTTGTGAGTTGGTTGTTTGGAAGTTAGTCTATAAAATGTCTTGTTGTGAGATACGATTGTGCTGATTTAAATGCGTTCAAAGCTAGTAATCTTGTTAGTTATATTGGTTATCAGGAAATGAGAGTTCAATAGTAATTTCCAGTAATCATACTGTTATATATTACTGGTTAGTGCAAAAACTGCTCAAGTTGGGAACAGATAGCGGAAATTTGAAATAATAACAGAAGCTAGTGGTTTTGGAAAAAAGGTATGTTTGTATTGATAATGCTATTTTTGTAACTTTGTTATTTCTGTATTTATGGTATTTCGATATTGTTATGTTTTAATCAATAAAAATTTGTTATTTGTATTGTTTTTCAAAATGTAAGATTTTATTAAAACAAAATGTTGTTGTTGTACGTATTATCTGTTGTTAATTTATTTTTTTGTCGCTACTTGTTGTGTAAAATTATTAAATTAGATAAATAAATTTAAATTGTCCAGATAAAAGGTAACTGAATAACGGTACAACACGTAAACCATTGTTTCGTATTATTTGATACATTTGCTTCAGTACCTTCTAAATCTTTTTGCTTCGATCGGCTTTGTCACCTTAGGAGTCATTTCGGTGAACCAAATTAACAGTTACCTTTGTAAGGAATTTATCGCACTTCTTATAAGAAAGTGCCCCTCTCCCCCTCCTCATATTACAGATCCTTGAGGATAATTAACCATTGTATCGTACTTTTTGCAGTTAAATTCGTAATTTATATCTTAGAAAACAAAGAATTACCAGCGTCTTGAATGCCACCTTTTCATATAGCGAGTTATAACTTACTCGGATATGGCTAAACTCTACAAAAAGGTGGCAAGTTGACTCGATAAGATAGTAAATATTTGTTGGATTAAACATTATATGCTGATTCGATTTGAACAAATTCGGACAAATTTTCTGCTTGTATATTGAATCACTTTTCGTAAAAGTGATATTAATTTTGGTGACTGCGCCCCGACAAACCGGGCGCATAGAATTCAGCTGTGCGCCCGAGCACTCAGGGCGCACAGCTAAATCTATGCGCCAATTTAATCGGGGGGCCTTCTGATTAATTTTACCGGTAATATTCCAACTAAAATAAATCAAAAATGAAAATAAATTTTTTGTACAGTTTTAGAGTGAAATTAGACGTACGTTTTGAATGTTAGAGACTTCGGGGGTCGCGTTGGAATTTATTGCATATCACATTGCCCATGTGGCATTTTATCATGATTGGTTTTTCCTTTAAGATATTAAGCGAAACTGTTTGGGCATTAATTCGTAGTTGTTGCGGATTGCTGATTTTCTTCGTAAAATCTTACAGGAACTTTTTAACGAAATTTCGCCATAAGAAAATTTGACATAAGAAACAGGTGGATGCAGTCATGCGTTTCAGTAAATCGTTTCAATGAGCCGTTTCAGTGAGTCATTGAACCGTTTCCGTGGCTGTAAAGATTTACTATTCTTTTACGAGATTTGGAGCTTGAATACTGAGTGTGGAATGCTTGTTTGGTGAAATGCTTTCGTAAGTGTATTTTTGAAAGAATTAATGAATTGTAAAGTTGATGTTAATGTTGCCAAGAAATATTGAAAGATTTTGAATAAAATGAAACACCGGGAAGAGTTGGATTCAATGATCCGTATGATTTGCCGGCTGTATTTTTGGCTGGCGTTCTATTGACGCCCGAATAATTCCCGATTAAATTAAAAATTATATCGTTCAGTCAGAATATCAGGCACTAGAGTAGCACTTACTTTGCCACATTCTCATGGCAAAAATTAATTTGAAATTCTACTGTGCGTGATAACAGATTTAAGTCCGTTTTTAAAGTTTTTAAGTGGTGTTGGCATTTTGTGAATGATAATACTTTGTTTTAACTTCTACAAGCGAATGCCATTTACATTTAAACTCAAATCCAAACTATTACAACTCTTTTAAACAGGTAACAGTTCCCAGAACAAATGCGGCATTCCCGCGCTTTTTTGTTGCTTTTCAGTTATTAACTCGATGTTATTGCTGATAAGTGCCTACTTCGTGCGATCGTGGTAGTAAAATAGTATTGTTGGCAACCACAGTTTGCAAATTATTACATTTTCGCCGCTAATTTACCACACGCAATTCGCGGGAGATTCGCTACACTAATAAAGGTAAACGAAAAACCAGAATATGGACAATGTAGATTTCGCCCCACCATTTTTGCGTTTGTTTCAACTGAAAACAAATTAGAACTACTTTCGTAAGTTTCCAACCTGATAATCAATTGATGCAATTTAGAAACAATTTCACCCGCCATGGAAAGCTTTGCAACTTCAAACCTTTCAAATCACTGCGAAAGACTGCTCCTTACACTTTTTAATCGTTTCATGCTTAATGACTTTGGCAAGTGCACTTGATTAAATCATATTTCTTTTCCTAAATGAAAATAGTATAAACGCAACGAGCGGTGATGGAAAAGACGCTCTCAGCCTAGCTAAGTTTTCCGTCAGGCCTGCACACCGTTGCAGGGCCTATATACTCAATGAGTGTAGAAAGTAGACTTTCTTAGACGGCTTGTATCTGCACGGTCTATAGGAAATCTGTAACCAAAATGTTACACGCCTGTGATTGGGACAGTTAAAGGGTGTGGTTTGCGGTATGTATGCCTGTTAATACGGCCACGGCCATACTGCATAGCTGTTGCTATAATACGAGGAATGGTTGGGCGAACAGCCTAATATAGTAGTATTCCATGTGGCTTGTATCCCATTCCCGTTTATCCCGATTATTTCTTTTTTCCACCCACGCCCGACGGAGCTACTATTTCCGCAGGAAATGTCACGTATTGTTTTTATTATATGGTTTATTGCAGGTAGTTATTTAGTAATAATTTCCGTTTGATTACCAACTCTAATTTCCTTGGCTTCGAGTTCTTTCGTTTTTATCGTGTTTGGTATTTATAAATTTGACTTCCTGGAAGGTTGGGCGGTGCATGATAAGAACACTGATCTGAAAATTAAGGAACACATTTAAGGAGCATATTGTACGAGTACAGTTTAGAACACATTGAAGACTGTCCTCCTACAATGTGCTCGTTAAATGTGTTCTGTAAGAGACCAGGAGTACACCTAACAGCACGTTTTTATTCAGTATTCCATTTCTTTCATCACTCGTCAGTTCACCACTAACCTGTGTAGATTTACAAGCTTAACCTCCGCACTCAATTCATGGACAAATATCCGCAACTAAAAATTTTACATATCATAAGAATTTATATTAAACTTCAAATCGCTCGCAAAGAGAAGCGCGCATATTTATAGTATACACGTTACTCTTATGTCCCCTCCTTCCAGTTGGCAGTAAGTTGTTAGTTTAGTTGGGCGCAATTGGGCGCATATTTATAACATACACGTTACTCTTCATGTCACCTCCCTCCATATGGCAGTAAGTTGTTAGTTTAGTTGGGCGCAGTTGGGCGCATATTTATAACATACAACTTACTCTTAATGTCACCGCCTTCCAGATGGCACCAAGTTCTTGGTTGGGCGCAGTACAGCGTATATTTATATTAGCGGTAGCACATTATTGTATGATATTATACGACTTATGTATATGACGATATTATACGACTTCCAAATGGCAATTATTTGTAATTCAGTTGGGCGCAGTTGGGCGCATATTTATAACATATACCTTACTTTTTCTGTCACCATCTTCCAATTGGCAGTCAAGTATTGGTTAGAAAGTACTAATATAACGCACAGCATAATCATATTACTTCCATTCATTATAATACTTTTATTTATTTTACAATACTTATTATACACAGATTTTAATTTATTGTAAAATAAAAATTTAATTAATTTTTAATTACACCATAGTCATGATTACACCATAGTTAATTACACCATAGTCATGATTACACCATAGTTAATTGCTCGCAAAGAGTACCATTTATGTATAACTACATTGAACCATATCTACTGCCGTAACGTCACACTCCACGCGGGTGGCGGTACAAAGGTACAGTATAGTGTTTTGCCCCTTTCCATTAGCACTATTGGTTATGTTTTGGTGCAATATTGGTTTGGTAATCCACTAAAACATTTTCAACCGAAACAGTCCTTTTAGAACTCATGATACTCATCCTGAAAATATTTCCCGCCTGGCGATTACAGACTGCTCACGAGCAGGCTTCCCGATAGGTTTTTAAATATCACATTAGACAAATGCGATCTAATTATATGCTAGCCGCTTAATCAGCTAAATTTTACATGTTACTAATTATTGTGAAACACCTTCGTGCCTACAGAACTTGGTAATAAGATGCAGTTTTATACGTAAAGTAGTCTAAACCCTTTGAGTCCTTTTAAAACAAAGAAAGCGATCTTTTGCGCATAAATGATAATATTAAAATGAATCAATCGCGCACTTCAACCCGGTAAAATACACATCCGTAAGACCCCATCGTCAGATACATATAGTGCAAGTTTCTTATAGTCTATTTAGCTAACTATCTAAGCAACTTATCAACAAGGGTTGAAACAGGGGCGACGGATAAACCGAAAACAATATTAATTGTTATTTACATTAAAATATTTGTTAGACTAAGTCCGCAGGACTTTGAAATAAAAAGCATTAAAAATCGATATGAGCAAGGCTCAGGTACAAATATATACAATACAATACTAGTAAACCTAACTATATGCTAGCACGTACTGCAACATCTTTGCTTCGTTATCGGTAAAAGGCAATAAGATGTACTATTTAATTTTATTTTGTGATCCAACGTTTATCATCTTTTCAAGTCCTATCATTCAAAGAATTCAGCTTTTCCGACAAATTATGGTTTTGCAGATTTCATTGATGCTATTGCATTTTCGCTTATTTTTAAGCAGCTACCGTATGTGATATGGGTAAAAGCAAAATTTTTATAATATCGATACAATCATAGAGACATTATATATTAAATGGATAGGAGGCGAATGGCTTCTCATTATTGTGCGCCTTATACTTTGTAGCTAACCGGTAAGTGCAAGCTCGTCTTGCTTCGTGGCTCTGCTACCGGTACAATTACCGCATAATTGATTCCCGCAGCAATATAAATTTTTCAGGCGTAATAAATAATCAGTCAAATCAGGTGCCAAATTTAGCAATCGAATACAGCTCTATACTAAAATAAATCGCAGTTTTCAAACAGCAACCCTTGAATTTCCACCGACAAGCTCACCGTCAGACGCAACAGACTGGAAGTTCTAGGTAGTCTGCTTTGGCATTCGGAATTAAACGTGCATACATTTAATGTCCGCTGTTATTCTCAAAAATCATCTGAAAAACTTCTGACATATGCCTGCATATAACATGATGACTTGAAATCGGTGTATGTATTCTTCGCAAAAACATTTTATCAAACGGATTATATTTTGAAATCGGTGAATTGATTTACTTATACAATACCACCGAGTAGCGTATAAAATTAGGAAGCACTGCTACAGCGCTGCTACCCATTGTGATATTATATTTGTATTGTCTGTCAGCTGTAAATACATTATTCGGACGGTATAGCAATCGTTCCAGCTTACTGAAGTTTGGGAATTGTATTGTGCATGTAACGTTGACGACGCGGAATTAAGCTCGAACGATGAATTACTTAATTATTGCGGTAAGTTGAGCGCCACCATACTGTATTGTACAGCCTGCACTGTAGTAGTGATTATTCTAGCTCAACCGACATACAAAATTTTGAGAACACGTGAATACGTAATTCCCTACTAAGCATGAATTTTCAGTATCTTACACCATAGACAGATTTTCAAGATACTGTGACTTAGCAAAATACGTCTGGTACATCTGTAAATTCATCTGTTACAAAATCCGCTGCGAAGGTTTTGTGTTTTATCATGCGAATGCTAATCATGCGTAAAACACTTTTATTTTCAGAGTGATTAGTTTTGCATGGCTTTCTTACAGAGCGTCTTTTTTCTGCTTAACGGTGCTGATACAGCCGATGCAGATGCCCAGCTAGCAGCAAACTCAAATTCCCCAAGTCCTGTGCCTACAACATTCACCCGGACCCAAGCTGGCGATACTAAAAATGTCTCAACAATAACATATTCACGTCTGCCAATTCCCCATGGGCAGAGTTACAATATGACATGTCCACGCTCCTTTGATCCGCCATTGCCCGTTGCCGGTAACCAAACCAAGAAGGACAAGTACGAAGTCGTACTCGCGCAAGCCAGATACAAGAAAAATCCTCCCAGTGAGGACTGCGATGATGAAGAGAGCCTTTTCACCCTGCAAGCCGACTGTCCAGCCGGAAGTCAGGCTTGTGGGACAACGGCCAATGATTCTTCGCAGGATGAACAGTGCAAGGAGCGCCCACTAGTCGTTACCTGGTTCTGCCGAAAAAGTGAGAAAATTAATTGACCTTTAAATAAATATATTAATGCTAAGAGAAAGTACGAGACCAGTTTACAGGTTGTAGTAAACATTTGTGCCCAGCAGAAACATTATCCGCTATATTCTATCTGTGCATTTATTAGATATTTTTAATTTTTCAGCTTCATGTGAAGGAGAATGCAGGAGAATTATGGTGATTGACATACTGGACTGATTGAGATTAATTCCTTTATGATTGACAAAAAAGCGAGCGGTCGTTGAGATTGTGCATTAATGATTGGGTTGTGCAGTCTTTTAGCATAATTCTCTAAAAACAATAAAATGGGCAACTCAATTTCATGGGTACTTCTGTCTCTGTTTGTCACACGTTGTTGTTGCAAATAGCATTTCGTCGCAATTAAAAAGTGTTTTTTCAAAGAGAACCAGTACGTATGCCAACGCGATCATATTCGCTGTCAATGAATTCGAAAGACCAGAATCAGTAGTTAATTATTTTTGATGAAATCATGCCACTGCAGCGAAGATGCAGCTACGAAGTTATTTCAATTTTACAGGTATTACTTTCTATTAGTAATACAAAGCTATAGTTAGCACATGTAGTGAAAGGTACCAGAGTAGCAATCATTAATAGCTGTAGTATTACTGCATTTAAAAGTCAGTTCTAGTTATGTCAACAAAGTAATACGCTTGCCGCACGCGGCAGAATTTTCACAAGGCATCCCAAACATCATGCCGAAGGCATAAAATGTCGTTGTTGCGCATGCTTACAATTAGTACGAATCATTATTACTGTTATACCGGTCACTACTGTAATTGCTATCCAGGCACACTGCTACGAATACGAATGTGCCGCTCCGACTATTCGGTGTATCACCGATAAGTGGTGGTTAATTACATAATTTCCGCAAAGCTTAAGCGTAATCAGTAGAGTAGAGTGGGTTTCGAGCTGTGTTGTACTACCTGCAACGGTTCACAACGAACCCTGGTAAGTATTTGTAAAGGCCGCACAACCATATTCCCATTAATATGCCTGCTTGCTGAAAATTTTGCAAAGCCCGAACCATGGCTACCACAGCAGCACTGCATACGCATGACCCCTACAAATGCAGTATAACACTTTTTGCACTAATTCGGTGTTTAACATTAACCGCAGAACTACTATATATACTCAGAAAATAAACTTCGTCATAATTTTTCGCGAAGTTACGTAAATGTTAGCGTACCCGCTGGCTGTTAGCATAGATATACAAAACAAAGTGATCAAATTTATACAAGATCAACTGTCAAATATGCAGACATACATACTGTAGCTAGCCGTTTCAGCAATTTTTGCTAATCTGTTGGATTTTGACACATCCGCTAGATAGCTACACTACTGCATGTAGATACAGTACTGTTGCCGGAAGTTACGATGCGAAACCTATTTTTCGGTGCTGAGCGGTTGCGCATTGTCATCGTACTGGTAAGTTCGTCAAGCGATAAGTCCTTGATCATTAAAAGTGGTCTATAAGTGGTTTAAACTAAATTAAATTGTAACTGAAAGCCACGTAGAACAGGATTTCATGGTTTACATTAACTTTGATATAACTCGATAGGAGTGTATAAATTAACTTCGATATAAGCGCTTAATATTAATAATTGTGAACCAATACGATTACTTATTGTTAAAGCTTATAGTTTATCTTTGATACGTCGTTTTACTGTTTGTTTTTACGGTAGATTGGTCAACTGTTTAGTATGTTTCGATAATCACGGGACCATAAACTGCAGTTTTTGACGAATGCTAACCTGACACTACCGTATACAGTAAACCAAAGTTTTTCAGGCACTAATTTCTTGTCCGAGTTGGATCGGTCGCTGCACCAGTGCAGTCGCCATAGCGAAATTGAATTCCACAGATCCGATACCAACGACATTCACCAGAGAAACTTTGTTTGGATCATTCCTGTATTCCAGGGTGGTGATTCCCGACGGGCAGAGGTATAACATCAGCTGTCCCCGTGCGGATGACCCACCGTTATCCGCCGAAGCACAGCTGAAACAGCATTATGGGGTTACAATGGCCCAAGCTAAATATAAAACATCATCCCCGACAAATTCAACTACAAGCTGTCGGGATTTTAATGCACTTGGTGACTTCAAAAAAGCCTGCCAGCAAGGTGAACCTTCGTGTGTCGTCACATCCAAGGATCCTGGGAATGATACGGGATGCAAACACCGACCTTTGACCTTAGCATGGTCCTGCATACCAGGTAAGAAAAACGCACGCCCCGCTTTCCCATACATTATGAACTCCGTATACTGAAGTTATGCTTTCTTGCCGAGTTTTGCAGTGGTTTATACTGCCCTTATTTTGAACTCATCGAAACTGTAGGAAAACTTGTAAAAGAAATAAAGACTCATTTTTTATACCAATATATCATTTCATAGCAAACACATGAATAATACGAGAACTATGCTATCGTTACCATTTGCCAAAGCACTTTTTTTTCCGAAGCGGCGCTCTCGAACGCTTAATACGGTCTCTGGAAAGTGAATTTGAAAGTTTGATACTTTCATATACTATCTCGGTTTTTTTCAGAGTCTAATTTCGACTCAATGCGCCGAAGAATTATGGTGATCGACATAATAGATTGAGAGCTACCCATCGTAGCACACACCTAGCCTCAAAATGAAATGTGCAAGCAACACCGCTGGTTAGTGCTACTCTTTCCACAGTAGTGGAAATTTACTGCATTTCCTATCTGCAGATTCCAGTATAAAATTATCAAATGCTCCAGATCCTTCGGCATACTTGTATAATACTCGTATCATGCAAGTATTGACCGTACTGTACATAAACATTTACAACAATTATGATGTTCACTATTACGATGTACCGGTACCGCTTGCATGCAGATTTATGTCACCAAGACTGAACGTTGCTTACAATTAATCAAATCGTTACATGAGCATCAGAAATAAAATATGTATGTACATCAATTTTCATGCATAAGTTGCGTCAACTCCAGCTAAATTTAAATGCAACAAAACAATACAACATTAAGGTTATGGCACAACAAAACTCAACGACCAAAATCAGAAGGAGATCGCAATAGCCCACGTGCATTCTTCAAGGTCAGTCTGAGCATACCGCATGGAGCTCGCCCCGCTGTCCACTCGAAATAATATTTAAAACTTGTAGGCTGTAATAAAATTTCATGAGCTCCACGACATATCCCAAACGTTGTGACCTTGTGGTTATGTTTTGTGAAAAATGCAGGAACTGTTATCATCAAACAGGGAACACCTGCTCGAACCGGCATTAATAGGACATGTTATGAGTACGGAACGTGAGTTACGAAAGAGCGTGCGAAAACTATTAGAAATACGGATCCAATTTTATCGACAACCATAACTTCAGAATACTGTACAACACTGATCGTCCATGAAAATTCCGAAGAGGAAGGACAATTACCAGTCATTTCACCAGTAAGTGCGGTCTCCCCAGGAGAAAGAATCGTCCGCAAAATCCTGAGGCAGTCCATGACCATGGCCAAAATACGCACCGTGATGTGGCGGATGCGGTATACCACGGTTCGAATTACCACGATATACGAGTTGGTTGCCTCGTCGGCGCGCGCCTCTGCCACGGGACGGCTTTGGATACGGTCGCGCTGCATCCCTGGCGGATGGATGTACCACGGGGTGTACCGGCTCAGTGGGCGTCGCGGAACCCGAAGAAGTGGGTTTCGATAATGATGCCGGTCGGACTGCCTCTACGGAACTCGAAGCGACAGGTTGGACAAACGAAGTTTTCGTTTGAACTGCAGATGTAGTAGGTAAAGTCGTTTCTGCCGACGCCGTTCCTGATACTGACTTCGGTAAATCCTTATTTAAAGTATGCGTGGCGTCCGATTCGACAACCGGAGGAACTGAGTCGTTCAATTTCACAGCCGGATCCACAGTGCGCGTGTCGGTGGCCGGTAGTGACTTTGGTTCAGATCGTTCGCGTGACTGGCGGAGTTGCTCCAGAACGCCCTGGAGACGAGACACTTTTTCATCCTTATCCGCTTGAGCTTTTTGGCAACAGTTTAGCTGCTCGCGCAGCTGAGCAATAGTGCCTTGAGCGGTCTCCAAATCGTTTGCTGCAATCTAAATGGAAAAAATGATAATGAGCTAACACCACTCACAGTAATGTTCTTAAACAAGCGGTATTTAAACCGAACAGACCGCATACCATGCAGCGCATATTTAGCTCGGCAATTTCCTTATCTTTCTTCGCAGTGACTTGCAAAACTTCGCTTGCCGAATTCTAAATGGAAAAAAATGAAAAATTAATGCGAACACCACTCACAGTAATGTTCTTAAGCGTCATCTAAATCGAAAAGACCGGCATACCTCGAATCGCAGATTTAGCTCGGCAATTTCCTTATCTTTCTCCGCAGTGACTTGCAAAACTTCGTTGGCCGAATTCTAAATGGAAAAAGAAAAAAAATGAAAATTAATGCGAACACCACTCACTGTTCTTAAGTAAACCGGCATCTAAACCGAAAACCGAAGAGACCGGCATACCTCACATCTCAGATTGAGCTCAACAATTTCCTTATCTTTCTTCGCAGTGACCTGCCAAACTTGCTCTTCTCGTTGTTTCAACTTCACCGTCAGCTTCTCATTGTCGGCGGTCAAATTTTTCGCACAAGCTTTCTCATCGCTAAGAGCTCCGCCAGTCTCAAGCAGTGTATCCTTCAGCGAGTCCAATTCGGTTTTCTGATCCGCATAAGCAGCGCGCAATTTTTTTAATTCTTCGTTCAAAGCCTTCTGAGTCTGCTGGAAACGCTCACGTTCCGGAACGAATCGGTCTTCTAATTTGTCGATGGTTAGCTTTACCGCCGCCTCCACTTCAGCGGAAAAGCGCTAAGCAGGCACAACGTAAAGGAAAACAGAATCAGTATAAAAACAAAAAATGAGTAAAAAATAATAATTTTTAAAAATAAAAAATGCATACTCGTACTCTGTAGTAGGTCCTAAAAAAAGCACACACAGAAGATGACATAATTACCGCGCAGCGTCCATTAAGGCTAGCAATTTCAGCAGCCTTCTTCTGAAGGCTGCCTTTCAAGTTGTCCAGGGCAAAATTCTTCGAGGCCAGTTCTTTTGCGGTTTCTTCCAGTTTCGTCGCCATGGTCTGAATCATCTTATCTTTCAGCTTGTTGTCCTGTACCTCCAGCGAGCCATCGCATTCGGTCACTTTCCGTCGCAGGGATTCTATTTCTTGCTGCTGTTGCGCAATAATAGATTCCCATTTTAACTGTTCTTCCAAACGTTTCTTATCCTTCTCCAAAAGACATAAATGTTCTTGTTCCAAGTCGGATGCCCGCTTAGCAAAGGATTGGGCCTTTTCCGTCAACATAACGATTTTCGTTCTCGCCGCGCTGATTTCTTCCTGTGCCCTCTGCCAAACAAAACAGGGAAAATTAGAGAATTAAAAAAATTTCGGTAAATCATTCAATCATAGTTTATCAGTCAATTTGTTAGAATAATCAATACTAGTACTCACATCACACGCTCCGCTCAGTACAGCAGTGGCGGCTTCTCTCCCATTTAACGTCGATTTCAACTGAGCAATTTCGGCATCTTTGGCGGTCAGTTCTTTGTCGACTTTATCCTTGCTGGTCTTCAGGTAGTTAATATACGTCTCTTTCAGCCTGTTCTTCTCGGCATGAAGTAATTGGTCTTTTTTCACCAGCGTTTCCTCAAGCAACGCGATTTTTTCCGAAGCTCGACCTTCTCGCAATCCTCAACATGACCGTTCGAACCTCCAGCTGACAACAGATTAGCATCGGAGTCGGGCTTAGATAACGGTGTATGCTCCTGGCGTTGTTGGGCATCGGCGCACTGGACGGCTTGTGCGTCGTTAACCAGCTGTTTCTTCAAAGTGTTATTCTGATTTTTGGCGGCGATAAGATCACGACATAACTGTGCGTTGATTTCCATGGCACCGGTAAGAACACCGTGTTGTTCCACATAATTCGCGCGCCAGTTGGATAATTCCTTTTGGTCCGTTGCATCGTCTACATTAAGATACAGTATTACATAGTCAATCTAAATAAAATTAATTTACATTAAAATATCTAAAATAATTCTGATAACTAAGATCTGAAACTTGGATAATGAAAACTGCATATATAAACGAATAGTTGTACGAAACATTTTTGTTTCGTACAATGAAACAACACAATAACAAAATTTATTAACATTAATTTAACTTTCTCATATTATTTTATATTTCCTCACGAGGAATGCATGTAAGTACTTGTACATCTTTCTACTCGCAATATTATGTCTCTATTGTTATTAGAGTATTAGAGCATCACATCTATGATCTATGCAACAATAAAAAACAATTCCGAACTCGTACTAGTAATACAAATATATTAGTAGCGCGAAAGTGCTAGTCAAATAACTGTACATGATAATCAATATATATTGATTATCGTGTACAGTTATGTACCAGCACTTTCGCGCTACTTTATTGCACTACTTTTTTGACACTTTTGCTCTCCTATGTCTTTACGTTCCATACATAACGCACGTACTTCTTAGTTCCTCGTGTTTCGAAAAAGCGTCGTTCAATAATCCCACAAAATCTTCATACTGATGCTCTCCCACATCCTGGAAAATATTGAGCAATGAAACTGGATATGTTTCCGGATACAGTTAACAATAAGCGCAGGCAACGGAGAATTTATATTACCGGTTCAGCAGAAGTCACAATTCCCGCTTTTTCGACCGTTTCCGAATGCACGGGAACTGCACATTCACCGTTAACATTCGCACCACCACGCACTATCGATGCATCTGCGCCTAAAAGAGCAAAAAATTATTACTGTAAAATGAGCCCGGCACGTCTCTATTGACTTTCGCACCGGATGACGTAACCGGTGTGCCGGGAAACCGTGCAGCGACTGCAGCCTGCTTCTCGCGGATTTTGTTCTCGTAATGCTCGCACACATTCCAGACGATACTGTGGCACAGACCTGAACATCAGATAAGTGAGATAACACAGCAACAATGATCAAGAACCAAGATCAAGACAGACGTAAAGAATCAAAACTAGAATCAAGATTAAGACGTTGACCCGCCCCTTGCGGTAAACACTGATATTTATACACATGCAGATACTGATAAATAGATAACGTGTTTTTTATTTGCATAATCTACCGTAGATCATCACTTCACAGTACAGGTACACAGGCAAAATGCTCTAGTCGGCACTCGGCAGACGAACCACGGTGCTAGCAAATTCGTTCGGTAGATTCGTTCGCGCAACATTAGCGCGGGTTTAAATCCAATACAAACCATTCGAACCTCACTCTTGTATTGCCATAGCACTAATGAAGGTCTTTTATATTATGAATCTATGCGCCTTCATTCGTGCTATGATATTGCTCATTTTATAATTCTGTATCACTATATCGATATTCTGCACAAATGGCCATGACATCAGACTTGTTTGACTCGTGCGTTTGTCTGCCCAAGGAATAAAGTATATAAACGAACTACTCGTAGAAAATGCAAGCAAAATTAACTGTCACCAAACCGGTTACTAAACAACTTTTATATCCATGGCCTTTACAGTGAATATTCTGAACCAATAAAAATACGATAACCACAAAACTTAATCAGAATATTAATGCTTTGACTTACTTAAGTAGAGTCTGTTTGTGGTAGAACAGTATGCATTCTTCTTCCGCTGATCCTCACAGGAGTCCAGAGTCTCCGATGAACTGCCATCTGCATCCATATCTCGTTACTTCCCGTAATACTGACTGTTTAAATGCAGACCAGAATGAGGTGGAACGGTTTCCAGCATCAAACGTTTTGGTGCTCAAAACTGGTCAGTTTCGAGTGGCATCGTAAAGCCACTGCGAAAAAACCCAGTAAGTACTGTATTTCTTAACACGCCGTAGAAAAAGTAAGTACAGTACCGCAGCGCCATTCAAATCATCAAAATAATGTGGTATTTACTTACGTCAATAGAGTAGTGCCAGTTTGGCTGGCGGATTTGCCTGTACACCAGAGACCGCTTGTTAAAATGCCCACTTCAATGCACAGATGCCGAATAAAGGAGACACATGCACAGTACAGTACTTGCAATAATCAAATACAACATAAAACAATGCGTCACCACTGGACCGCCTACTTTTTGTCATTTTTATATACAATCAGGCCTATCGGCCTCGAGCGCACCGTGACTTGCGTAGTACTCCTACCGACAGTTCGTACCGATCAAAAGGTATGTGTTATACAGTGCTTTAATTCTATCAGGTATTACACTGTACTTCCTTACTCTTATTTTTCCAAAATTAATAATGAGGAGAAAATATGCTTACTTGAAAAAACGGTATTAATTGCACGTATTGCCCGTTGCATCATAAAAACATAGAGACGGTATAATTATGGTAAATTTAACAAGTTGCAACCTTGCCGGTAAGATTCATGTGCTCGTGTCGCATCATGGGCTTATTAACTTATCGGAGATAAGGTCGGTTAATCAGGAGCGAGCGATATCCTCTCTCAATCAACTTGACGCGCGGGTACCAATAAAATTATGACGCCGAGCCAGATTTATTTGGCAGCACCGCAGCTGCAAGATGTCTTCTTGATGCTCATCCTGCCTGTCATAATTGCCTTGCTATTCTGTCGGTATTAGTGAACGTGAAGGCGCATATTAAGATTGCGCTCAAGGTACGCTGAACGCTCACAGTCATAAAACATTATTATCTATCTTCGATCCTTCGGGACAGGCGTCAAACGCGTTAAAAGCGGGCGCTTGCAGCCGGCCAGTTCTCAGCCGATGACCAGTTAGCCTTATAGTTGTAGCAATGAATGGTTTGAACACCAGACAAAACAATGAAAACATGTGACAGAAAGATTATGGATTTGCGATTATGGTTTTGCCCTGACCCGTGAGACACTGGAATTCTCTTGAGTGTACATAACAAACAAGCAGATGGTACAGCCAAACGCAAAGGTTCAAGGACGCTGGATATCTAATTTTCTTGGTTCTGGCATCTATCTATGTTAATTGCTACTCTAGGAGGGACTTCAGTTCAACCAGGGACAACCGCCTAACTGCATTTGTGATTAGGCATAAAATTGCGTTCATGCAGCAGCAGCACGTTTGATTCATCCAAAGTTTATTTCCGGCATACAGTTTATTGTTTTTCATTTGTCTGCTTTGCAAATTAGGCCATCCAAAGAAATGATTCACTACAAGTGCATCAAAAACATTCTGGAAAGCGAAATACCAACTTCCACCAAACTGCGCCTGGGAGCACTTGTACACTGCATATTATCTTGCGGTCGATAAAGCTGCTTCCTTCGTCGAAAGGGAAGTATTACATGTACATAAGTACATACGTTGACTGTATAAATTAAGTACGTAAGTACCTTTTCCCTATTCGTCATCTACCATGTCATGATTTTACCAGGAAATAATATAAGTATCTAGTGCAGCAACAACAGCGGTGATCTAGAATTCTAGATGGCAGTCGGACTCGGATATTACCATTAAGCGTATATACTTGTACATAAGTCTAATTTTTCACTTGTCAGTTCTTAAATAGAAATACAGATAGTAAATAGCGCCCGTATACTTGTAGTTGTGTGCAACATGTACCCCATACCAAACACCCATATTACGACATAGAATTGTAGTTTCCTGGACTTTCCTCAGCATGCAGCACAGCCGTTGCGTTAAGTTTTCCGCCTTTTATTTTGGCTGCAGAGTCGCAGACAGCAGAGCTAATGGTAAAATTAACAGAGTGGCATGACTCGTAAAATTACCACAAAATGTATACGTAATATGTGCAACCTTTTCCCGGGAACAAAAAATTAAAGTCTATACAAAATTTGTTCTCTATACATAGAAACCAATGCAGTTAGAAATACTTCATAAAAACATTTGGAAGTCTGAAGTCTGTTGACCTTTCATCTGCTTTTCAACATCACTTTCATGATTTCATCAGTAAGTTATACAGAACGTACAATGCTTGCAACCACGAGCAACAAAACAAAACGAACACCACCCGTAAACGCAATGGAGTCGTCTTATGGCCGATCGTCGCGGAAATTACTGTGATACGCGTGGGTGTCCGGATCATCGTATTCCATTCCACCACGGCGTGGAAAAGAGGTCGTAGCATCATTTTCGACTCGGGGAAACGCATGCAGCGGATACGGTCTGGCAATATCTCGGGTTGATGGAATTTGCCGGCGAACTGGTGCGGCACCCGCCCGAGTATTCCCATCTTGTTCGCGAGCCGGTTCCGGGTGCAGATTACCTTGAATATCCGAGCCTGGGCTTCTACTATCACGAACCTCTCTTGCGCGGCTTGATGACTTCGCGAAAAGATTGCCACAATCCGGTAGTTTTTTGTGCACAAACAAATTCATCATCTTCTCTCGTTGCACGACAAGCTGATTGTGCAGCTGCGCATTTTCGTCGCGAAGGGTCACAACCTCGCAGGCCTTCTCTTGGAAATCACGCTGAGTGCTGCTCAACTCATTCGAGAGCGCCTGTAAAGTGTACGCAGCATCGGTAAAAAATCAATACTCAAGTTTACGTATCCTACTGTGCAACTGCATAGGACGTTGTTAACGACTGGATCAGCAAAGTTTTTCTCCGTCTGTTGATCTTTTGCCTCACCTCACATTGTGCCTGCAAACGATTAAGTTCATCAGCTGGAGTTTTTTGTTTCTTGGTACTTTTGGTTAGATCAGAAAATCGGTTTTGAAGAGCGTCAAATTCTGTTTTCTGTTTGTAGCAAGTGGCAATCCGTTCTTTGAGACGTTCTTGTGCTAGTTTAATCTCTTCCTGTAGATGCTGATTTTTTGCTTCCACCGCTTTGATTGACTTCTCCAAATCCCGGATACGCTCAGATGCCGGTGCTAACTGTTCCTCCTTCTCCTGTAGAGCGAGCTTCAGCACATCGATGTCATGCCGAGCAATCTGCCAATGAAAACCAGAACTTTAGCATGCCATATTTATATTTATATTTCAGATTTCAAATTCTACTCTCGTACCCCGTATTGTCCGTTTATTCTAGTAATTTCAACGGTTTTCTCGTCTATAACATTTTTGAGGTCATCAATCTTGGACTTTTTGGCATCGAGTTCCTTTTTAGTTCTTCCACTCGAACTCCCGTCTCTAACGGCTTTGAAATGGTTTCTCGAAATTGTTTGTTGTCCCGTTCAGTCTTCAGCATATTCTGCAATTTAGCCACTTGTTCTTCCAGTAAATTTATTTTCTTAGTGGATTCTGGGCTTGTCGATTCATTCATTAGTTGTCCCTGCAAAATTATTAAGTTCTTATGGGGATTAAGCAACGGCTTCCTAAATTACAAAATTAATGTTAAAGCAGTGTAAAATACCACATACCTTTCGTTCTACATTGGCTAAGGCGCTCTTCAGTCCGCTAATCTCGCTATCGGCAACCTACAGTACATGTTAATAATATAATTATGGCAATAGTTTAATAAAGGTTTTATGTTGTAAAAATTGTGATGTTTTTATTAATGCACACTACGTTGTACCACATGTACAGGTGAATAAAGGTATATTATGGCAACTGTTAATTATTAACATATAAAAAAAAGTTGTACATCAGTTTATTTGTGTACAACTACGATTAAGCAAGTTTCGTACCGTGCTCTGCTTTTTTATAACAGCAATTTCCGCGTTGCTTCTTTCTAATGCATCCACCAGAATCCTTCGTTCCCTTTCTTTGGCGGTTAGCTTTTTTTTCATATCGTTTATGGTTTTGGCAGTTCTCTTTTCTTTCTCTTTTAACTGTTTTTCAAGCTTCGTTTTCTTCGGTTTTATGTGAATATCGGCTATACGAACCTTGACGGGTAAAACTGGATCCGTTTGGGATTCTCGGTCAATGGCCCTTTCGTGACCTTTTAAAATACCCCTATCGGCCCATTGTGTAGAGAATAAAGACGGTTTGTCCTTGCCTTCCTGCATGGTTTCATAGGTAAGAGTTTGCTGACTCTGCTCTACTTTATCTAGTTGTTTCTTCAGGTTTGCGATGTGTCCGTTGGCGGATACAAGCGCCATCTGTAATTTTGCGTTATATTCCATCGTCACCGCGAGAACTTCATGTTGTTCGAGATAGTTGCCGCGCCAGTCGATTATTTCATTCGCAGATGTGGGATCTGCAAACAGGACATGATAAATTTACAATACACTATAGACAAAGATTATACACTTTAAACAAAAATCGATATACAACTTTATCCAACTGGACGAAGCAAATGAGGAGCAGCGGTTCTCCAAAATTGACCAACATATTGTACATACAGTCGTACGAGTACTGTACAGATACCTACTCTGTACAAGTTAGACTACTACTGCCGTAAGTAGGTGTATCACATTGATATTATAAATGCAGATAGGTATTTTGATACAATATTACAGTTTGCAACAGTTATTATTATAATACACCCGCTCGCGATTATAATTATGGCAATATAGAAATTATAAACCAATTGTACAGTAATAGGTACAGGTACTTGTACAGGTACAGTAATAGATTACAAATACAAGTGAAAATTTGTTGTGTAAACCAGTTGCAGTGACAACCTTGCACGTCTTCCTTTTTCTTAAAAAGATCCATAATTTCATTGTACTGTCGGGCCTGGTCGGCAACCTGGAAAACTGAATGAATTAAATAAAATACTGTACGTGTACTGTCTACAAGCCGCCAATAACCCTTCAATACATATGTATTTCGGTATGTCTATTTGATAAGTTCATAACACAGCAAAGCCAAATTACAAAGTAATGTGTTCAATCGAATGCTTAAAATACAGGAAAAGCAATATTATAATTTTTGAAGACGAAATGTGTGGGATTCGAATATTTTAATAAGAGACTTCTACAATATGTTCGTAAATCATAGTTACGAAGATTCTGTAAGATAAATGGGCGAGTGACCATACCACCGTCTACCGCCTCAAAACATTGTATGTAATAATTATAATTACGTATGATTTATACCGTGTGTATGATTTATGTATAAAGTATAATATATGATTTATACCTATAATATTTATATAAAAATATCACTACAGGTATAAAATTATATAGCATACGCCGTACGGTACTAGACAACTACAGTACGTAGTACTGCAGACCGGCGTAGAATATGAATAGAATGGATAGCATCTCCGCGCGCCATCTCGTACCGAAGCCTCCGCGTCTGCAAGCAGCTGTGCTGTTATCGATTCATTGGTAAGGGTCCTAACATGGCAAACTTCTGCAGCATTTGTATCACCATGTTGTACTGTAAGTAACATGAACGCCTGGTTCAAAATGAGATCACTCTTTCATTTTGAGATTTGCTCTGCATGCTTCTATATGTATCGCTCTGCATAGTGCATTGTTATTCTACTAGTAGTACTACTTAAGTTATATCTATATAGAGACTACTCACCAACTGCCATCACCGGCACCGGCGCTGTGCCGGATGAGCGAGTCTGATTCTGCTTGAGGATCCCATGATAGTGTTCACATATATTCCAAACGATATTTTCGCAGAGAGCTGTGCAGATGCAAAACGTGAATTAATATAGCAATGGTCTCCTGTGAAACTTCTTGAATAGTACTGCACGGTGGGAATTAAAAAGGCGTAATTGTGGCTTGCGCGTTTCAGTAAGTACTCGTACTTCTACAGTTTACGCAACTACGCAACTTACTTTGCAACATCCTGTTAGCTGTGGAGCACGGCTGCCGTTTTTGCAGATCAACTTGTTCCAAACATTTCGTGACGTCCTTGTCGTTATTGCGATGTGCCGTTATTTCTGACATTTCCATGGTATTTGATAAATTTCCGATAAAATTAAGTTTTGGTAGGATGCGCAGTATACGAATGTGGATGTACTCCCATAAACGTATATGCGTATAATTGATAATAATTATAGATACTCGTATAAGAATTTCTTGCACGCTATTTCCCTTGCCAGTGATATCCGGAGCAACCGTTGGCCTGAAGTGCAATGATGTTAAAAACTGCAAACGGCCGAAGAAATTTGCAGAAATTTTAGGCAATTAAAATACTTAACTATACTCTGAAACCCAGGAAAGTGTCTAGTACACTTTTCTCTAACTGTAAGTAACGATCATCTTTATATAATATTAGCTCCTTGCATCGTGACGTCCTGACTGGTGAAGCACTGAAAATCGGAAAGATTTTCATAAGCATCGGACAACTTGGCAAGAAATAATTGTAGAGTATGTAGCTTCTGCATGCGTACCAAAGTCTGTACGGCACAGAGTTAGGGCTGTATAACTGCGTATTAAGCGTGCGAGATTGTGGCGGTAGCCCATTCGAAGTTTGTAGTTTATGTTCTCATGTCCATCACAATTTCACACAGTTTAACACGTATGTCAGCTGATTTGAGGATGCGCGGTACAGGTATTATATTCCACTATGCCGCAGCACGGTGGGCTATAAATCATTCAAGCGTTGTTCTGTACAAACTACAGACTTTGATTATACGGTACATAAAAAATTTACTTTACGCCGTCTACGGCCGGATAGCATTACTGTACAAACAGGAACACTCTAACCGAACAGCGCCATGCTACGGATTATGGCAGGAAACAATATTCGCTGGCATAAATACAGAATAATGGGCAACAGAAAAACTTGCTGAACTACCGCGTTTCTCTATCACTTCTTATATATTCGTATTAGTCGTATGAAGCGCGAGAAGTAAATAAACTGGAGCCGCCTTTGTCTTAGCGTTCTGTATTCTCGTAAAGTTATTACTTACTTTGTTTAGTTGTTAATGACAAAATAGTTATTAGTGGCGTTATAAAGAGGCAAGTGCAATTGTCTTGCAGAATAATATCAAATACAGCCCCTTTAAATGTCGAGGAAATTAATACCGCTTAAAACAGCACTCGGTCCGTGCAATAATTATAATTAATAGTAGTTACTCAATAGGACTTTGAAGTTATTTTAACTGCAAACATTTTGCCCTTTTTGAAGGAGCGATAGCTGGGAGATTCCAGCGCCATAATTTTATAATCTTGTAATTCATCACCTGATTTCATCATCAGTTATGCTGTATTGACAGCTGCACTTATTTCTAATAGCTTTACAGGTTTTTTTGTGATTAAACTTATTAGAAAGGTCATGTTTCGTATGCTTGTCCTTGCAGCTACCGGATAGTCAATTGTCAGTCAGTCAGTTAATTGTACACTACAATATACGTAATTACGCAATATACCGATAGAAATTCAGAAATTGATAGGTGCGGTAGAAATTCAGAAGCCGGTGCATGTGCATATTCAAATCAACTACGCTGGGTCCGCATTCAAATCACCCTGCTGCATCGGCACAGAAATTGGTTTCTGTTACTGTAATTTTTCATTCATTAATAAGGAAACATCAATTGGTAAAGGGATATTCAATAATAAGAAAGTTCAGGCTTTCGCGCTACCGTTTTTTGTTTTTCTTGCTGCACATGTGCTGCGTACGTAATGTAAGACAAAATCTTTAAACAAGTCCCAGAACAATTCATAATACAAGTATGTAAATATTGTATGCCGTATGGGATAATGCGCTGTCATGCCTTGTTGTCATTTGAAACAGCTTGTTAGTTGTTACCAGGAGTAAGTCAAATAACTAGATAAGCAATATTTTCTTATTAAGAAACAGCAGCAACAACAAAAAAACAAACGCAATACTGCGCCTGACATAGGTAAACAGGAATTATAATTCTGACTGTGAGAAAGCTTCCCAACGCTTGCACCTTATATCCATATGATTTGGCTATCAAAGACAGATTACTAATAAAATTTATGTATGCACCGGCATACTTATAGTATATGCACAATCAAGCAACAATTAATTACATCCAGCTGCTCGCCACAGATATCGTTCATGATCAATAATTACGTATACTTCTTATTTCTGGTATATGCTGTGCACTGGGTTTTATCGCATTGCCCTTTGTCTGTGGTCGGGGCGAGAACCGCCACCACGAGAACGAACTGCTTGCCAGTGTCGTGCCACGGCAGCCCTCATTGACGCCGAATTGGCGGCGATAGACTGTGGGTGCAGTGGAGCACCCACGGCAGGGTAACCGGGTTTCGAAGGTTCCGGAGGCCTGATAATAAGCAGTGTTGAAAAGCCTCCTTCCTGGTTGGGTGTAGCCTGTTGTGATGCTCCAGTCTCCGCCGTTAACGATACTGATGCTGTAGAACGGCTACTGGATGTGGGCTGTTTATCAGCTTCCTCCACCAAGCAGGCAGCCGGCTCCACAGAAGGTGTTTTCCGTTCCGAACTGCGAAGCCGCACCTGGTGTTGTTCAATAGAAACTTCTGAATGCTGGTTAGCCGTGTCGTTGTGCGGCTCAGCTAGCAATCCCCTCAGTCGGGCAATTTCTAAAAGTTTTGCTCCAGTCTCTCGCCGGGCCAATGCCAGCTCCTCTGATAATGTCTATTTAGAGAGGAGAGAAAAAAATATTAATTAAAGAATTTGTTTCCCCACCAACTGAGTCAAGCTGGGAATTTTACCACGCATCTTTCTGTTATTTCGTCAACGAATGCCTGATTCGGCAACTGTGTCTCCAAAAGCTGTTGCTGTTTTTCCGGTGGTAAGGCCAACTCTGCCCGTTCTAATTTGTTGGTGCCTTCCGAAATAATCTCTTTCTGTGCGGTTAAGTTGTTTATTTCTTCCGCTAATTTTCCATTGATCGCCTCCAACATTTCCAGTTTGGCCGTCCATTCTAACCTTTCTGCAGTCACACTCATCTCCGCTTCGGCTAACTTTCGTTTTACCTCGTCAAGTTCGACCTTTTGTTCGCTGTCACTCTGTCGCAGTTTTTCCAATTGTTCGTTTAAATGGTTGATCTGGCATTCCAAGTGGGCTCTGGCTTTCTCGGTGTCCTGCAATTACCGTACGATGTACGCGTGTTAAATTTTCTAGAATATGTTTTAAACATTAAGGTTGCTCGAGCAGGCTTACCGCGCATCTTCCGTTCAGCTTTGCGATTTCGGCAGCCTTCGTTTTTTTTACACGGTGGAAATGCGCGACCTCGATTGTCTGGGCAGCTAATTTAGTCTTCAAGTCCTCAAGCTTAGCCCGCAACTGTTTACAAGTTTGCTTCCATCCAGAAAGGAACGTGTCCAATTCCGTAACCCGATGTTTTAAAGAGTCATTTTCCGCTTTGTGCTGCGATAACAAGGAATCCAACATTAACTGGTCTTTCAAGCGCTTTCGATCCGTCTCCAAGAGTTCCAAGTTTTCCGCGTTCAGTTCTTCCGAGCGTTTAATGAAGAGCTTGGCCTTTCTCTTACTTTTCGCCAGTTCATTCTTAAGGGTCTCCATGTCTTTCTATTCAATAAAACAGTACGTTAAATGAGATTTAGTTACTGTGATTAACTGCTTTTGTTCTATGTTCAATGTATTGTACCTGTATTTTATGAAATAAAAATTGCGTACGAGTATATCTGTATGTCAGGCTGAAACATATTAAATACGAGTATTGCTGTGTTCTCGAGATTTTTGCCCGATAAAATAAGCAAAATCTCACATTTCACTGCCAAATAGTCAGGGTTCGTTTCTCAGTTTTGTTGCTATTTCGTAATTAACTTCGTCCATTTATGACTGTATTAATGTACCTACTTTCGGCTTTGATGATTTATTTCCTTGGGAAAGCTGACCGGTCGCATTTCCATTACGAGTTGTGGCGTTTTCCTCCGAAAGTTCACATAAACGTTTTCTAGCGTTTTCGATTTCCAGCTTTAGAATGCTGTTTTCGCTTTTTGCAGATGCCAGTTCACAGCACAACTTTGCATTATATTCCATAGCACCAATCAGGACACCTTGTTGTTCAAGGTAGTTGTAACGCCAATTTGTCGATTCATCCCTGGCTGCGTCTTCTATCAGAAAGTAATAAAATAAGCATTAAAATTAATGTGGTTGCGCTGAATACTTTCAAGCCGTTGTTAACGGAGATTTTAATGCAGTACTTACATATAATACCTAATACCGGTAGGCACTACGTAGTACGTACGGAGCATATCCAATTTTAAAAATTTTCGTATGACTACTACTCACACTGAGCATTGCTTTGACTGAACCTTCCTTTACCGCTCAAAGCGGGATCTTTAAATGTGCGGGCACATAACTAATATCTTTTACCGCATACGGGATACCGGCCGATGCATTTTTAATTGTTCTGAACCGCGCGCATTTCGGTGCAAACCCTTTTGCTGGTACTCAGATAACTGAGAAAATGTTCCGTAGAAGTGCACAATTATGCAGTAAACTGCATCTGTAGATATGCCGTAAAACGTTTCTGATTTGTTTCCGATATTTACAAGCGGTGCTTGTACCTGCTATTTTTTCTTGATTTGCATATGATTCCCTCAATAGCTGGACAACATCATCGTGCTGATCTGCTGCTCCATCCTGTCAAATGCATCGTGGAATACGTTAAAATTAGTCTAGGTAGGTGGTAGGCTGCACTTGTGAGAAGTGAAACATTAGTCATATGATATACGATTATATTATGGCTTATGCATAATAATGCTGTTACATACATGATAATTAAGTAGGTATTGCGAATATTGTCTGCTTTACCGAGTTTGTAACAGCCAAGGCTCCGGTTACTTCGGAGGAGTTGCGACAGGGAAATTCAAACAACGTGAGGCCAGAGGAAGGCTTGTCTATTAAAGCGAAGCACTAGCTATTTGTACTCGTGCAGTCGCACGTACTGTAATATACAGTGAGCGTCTCAAAATTAATGCAGATGTCATGCAGCTGCTGTGCTAATTACCAAATGCTTCCGCTTGAGTTCCATTCTGGTCGCTGTAGTTGTCTGGCTGCTGTCGGATGATGTCCTCGTAACGTTCACACACATTCCAGATAATATTTTGGCACAGGCCTGCGCAATTATCACTTTTACTATATTTGCAAAAAATAAGCGCACGTAACAAACCCACAATGGAAGCAAATCTTAATTAACTAATGCTGCGGTTTACAATGTCGTAATATATGTAGAATAATGGAACCCACCGAATATGTTGTTTACATTTATATGCAGGCAAACTGTGATATAAATAAGTGCATCACATAAAAAGTAAGTGAACGGCGTTAAATTAAGACGTGTAAAATACAATAATGGCTTAACAAAATGTCACAATATGCATTCTATTGTTATGTACAGCCGGTAGAGGTGAAGAATTACGCTATTGTGATAACGGTTGTTGTTACAAACGTGCAGGTACTGTTTAATTTATAATTTAATTATGTATGTCGGTAAAAAACTCAAAGCCAAATATGCTTACTCAAATATAATCTGTTCGTCGTGGAAGGAAATGTCGAGCTTTCCATGTTCTTTAGCGATCCACTGACGGTGAGTTGGATATTCAGCAAGCACGACGGCGCTAATCTAATGTAAAGCAAAATTTTATTGCTGCTGCACTTATGACAAAACGCTGCAGTTGTGAGGATTATATGGCAAGGGTAGTTTGCAGCTCTTCCAAACAAATCACGCTGAAGCCTGACTCGCAATATATTTGCTCGAGTTTTGGTAAAAAAATGTAAAACGTTTTTCCAGATGTACCATACGCCAACGAAGATTCCAGTACAAGGATTCCCAATTAAGCGAGAAATATACCCGCCTGCAGTTCCATCGGCTGATCGCAGTACTATTATTGTACACTAAAAACAGGAGCTGGAGACAATTAACATCAACATTAATCGTGATCAAGACAATAAAATATACAAGCAAAAATATATAATACAAACAATATGTAGTATATGTGTATCTTAAATACTTCTACAGATATACGGCATTTACAGACAAAAATTAATGTGAAGTTCGGCGATTCGACATAACAGTGCTCGATCCGCTCGATAGCTGCCGTCGGCCGAATGCAGTAAGGTAAGTATGTACTATAAATTTTGCTTATCTCCCGACTGTCGACCGGTTCTTTTATTAGCTGGTTATTGGCTAGAGTAGCCCTACCCGTCTGGGCTATTACAATGACTCAATCACATTTGAGCATGGTTCCTTAACAATGTTTTCGGTATGTATGTAGGCCGTTTCTGATTTTCTTGTCTGGACACGGTAGCTATTTTAAATTTTGGTAGCGTACATTCAGCAGCGGACGTTGTCCAAGTTGAATCAACTGTGGCACATGGGCTATGCTTGAGTACTTGTACTACTGTATTCTTTCGCCTTCGTACTGTTTCGATTAGGAAACACAGCAGCAGCAAGCAAGATACAGGTCTGTAGTGCTCCATGATCTCCATCGTAAGCTATAACATCAGTAAAATTAACTTATTGTTAGAAGCATTTAAGCACAGTTTTTCGGTAGGAAAATTATTAGCCATTACAATATTAGGATTTGTGACGCTGATTTAAACGGAATCAAACGCATAAAATGACACCAAAAGTCCAAAGGTAAGCGATAAAAACATATGAGGGTTATAAGCGCCGTACTAACCTTGAAAATCGACAGGTTCCTGAATACGTTCCCAAACGCCATTGGTACCATTACGTCACCGTCTAGCACGATCCGTTTTTTTGAACTGTATAACTCGGCATGACATTCTGTTTTATAGTGAGGCTAGGTACTATTAACTGACTACTGTAACTTTCTCATCTGCCGCCTGGTAAATTTGTTATTTTTATTTACCATCTGCACCATAATTATAATTTTCCTATAAGAAATTTACAGAATATAATGCCACCATTTAGTTATGGCTAATGATCGTCTTCAATGTTTACATTCATCCTTGTTATCATCATCTTTAATGTTTTTTAGAAATAAGATGCTTGATGGATGCGATGCAGATAGATTCTGAAGGGCTCGAGAAAATTCAAGGGCAAGAACCTTGTCCTCGCCGTCAAGGAAAATTTAACGTTAACGTGGATGTGCATACGGCCGTACAACGTTGATATGGAAAGCGGGGAGTCGGATATATGATATAGCAACAGCCCTCTTCCCCAATTCCAAAGGTTCCAGTTCTTTCCATGAGATTTTAATAAAAACTTAGCGCATACGCACCGAGAACAGTCTAAACAATGCCTAAATATAACCATCGCGACTACTAAATAGTGCCGCGAATTAACTATTAATTTTCCTTGCGACCTTGTGTAATGTTTGTGTCGGTGTAATGTTTATCGTTAATTAATTCTACGTCTCCACATAATATTCTAGATTGAGGTCCAATTCAAGGCAGCAGTCACGTCATAAAAGGAACATAGGAACAAAAGGTATCAGAACGTTCAACAAAATCCCAAGTCCTATCTATATGATTATATCTATATTAAACTTTCAAGTACTCTCAACATATCATTCTGTAATCAGCATGGTAAAACTTTTTCAGCGAACCGACAGACTTCCAGTCAACGCAGTCCAAAGCTGCTGTAAATCTGTTCATGCATGTACATAATTCTGTAATCTAAGCTTCTGCCTTCTTCCGGTAAAGTAATCGGTAGATACGTATGCGAAATTTCTTAATCGATCACATATTACATGTAAGTATGCCAAGATTATTGTCTGGTCCCCTTAATTGCAACACTAGAACGTTGAATTAAACCACTCATTGATGTACAGTATTTTAGTAAACAGTATTTTAGTTATACAGTACAGTATTTTAGTTATACGCTAAGCGGATACGACTCACTGAAAAAAGAGGTGCCATGTTGACTCGACAACACAGTAAACATAAACAAAACTCATAAGGACTGCGCGGCCGCGGAGGAAGCGGTTTGGATCTGCTGAATAGTTCGAACTTCGAACCGATGGTTTCTGTTGCTTCCTTAAAGTTCCTTGAATAACCAGCGGCGTCGATCATTGAAAGGACGCCACAGAAATAGTTTTCCCTATCGTTTTTGAAATGATGATGCGTATGCCGTTACAATCGATCAATGCCGTAACGTTACGGAAGTCACTGGTCGATATACAGTAGAGACACCATGATTATACGGCATATTTTCCAATTACAGTGCGTTTTGGAGACAGCCGGTACTGTAGTTAAAGGAAATGCAGCAGACGTTCTCAGATTACTGTATACGCGCCCTAAGATCCCGAATGCCGATTTTGGTTATTTTCATTGTTTGAATCTGAATCATTTTAATTGGTGTCCAGAATAACAGGCATATACGGTATGTATTGTATGTCACGCAGTACGTTTATTGACTGTTGGTAAATAAAGTAGCATATCGGACTTTATTCCAATCTACACGGTACGATGAACGTTTTCAGACCAACATAAATAAAAACAACTGACAATTAAGATGATTTTACGACATTCGCGAACCTAGCAAACAAAAGACCGGCAAAAAAACGATAGAAGCAGACAACCAGAATCCACAGGTACCACACCAACGAGCTCACCGGTTAAGGGGGACTAATTAAGTTTGACTGCTCGACAGAAACAGACAAACAATGAATCGCGCGCTGTTAAATTATCAGCTGCGCCAGTTGTAACTTTTTATGACAGCCTTAACACCCGTAAAATCCGACCACAAAAATCCGCGCTTTCTCCATCACACAAAGTAGTAGCATACAGCTTAGGACAAAATGGTCGCATACCCAACATCTCCACATTCAGTACGAATGCAGCACAGTGCACTGTACGACTGAGTTCAAAATATCCGTTTCGTACAAGTGCACTGCACCGCTTGCGTAAAGAATGCTGGGTATGGGGCTATGCGACCATTTAGTCCTACATTGTATTAGTAGCCATCATGCACTGTAAAATGTATGTATTGTAAATCGTTTTCGCATCAATCATGTATCTACAGTATATTATTTAATGAGAATAATGCCACCACAATGACGGAAATAAACGTAGTTAGGTTTACAATGTAGAAACTGTTTCTCGCTATGTATTGTATCTCGGCCTTTGGCCCATCGCGATGCGCGTTACCACTCATCAGCAAAAACGGTGTCCAGTAAGTTTATCTGTCCTTCTAGATTTCATTTTTTGGGAAAGCTTTTCGGTGTTAAATCACATTGATTTCTAGTACCTTTTGAATATCCTGCTCATGGCGATTCTAAACAAATCTTCTGAGGGAAAATCACTTTAATATTTGTACTATAATATTTCGTTCTTTTGGCGTTACCCGGGGAGTAAACGACAGCGCTTTCACAACCACAACGAGAACTCACCATCAGTCGCAGGCTTTTGTTGAATTGTATCTGTACAGAGTACATGTATGGTTTAATTTGCTATACTGCACGACAGCTTTTTCTTTTCCGCTTTTGGTAAAATGTACTCGTACAGATATTGTATTAGTATTGCACATACGTAATTACATTCTATTACCGCGTACAATTGGGATTATACGGTACGGGGAATGGGCGAGTAAAATATGGGATTGTACAAGCATTCTCTTGATGTTCTTATTCCCATTTTGACCTTGGGTGTTAATCCCGCTTGGATGTTTCTGCAAATCCATGCACAATACATACCAAGATTGCAATTTACTACACAAAAACTGGAAAGCATCTGTACTTCTACTTATGGAAACACGAAAATTATATAAATGCGTAATTAGTAATAACGTCTCCTCAAAATTTCACTTGTTCTGGCTTGCCGAATTTATCGATGCACGTATAAGGATCATCGAGCGCTCCAAAACGGGAAACATTTACGCTGAAGCAGTGAAACATAAAATATTTTATTACTACAAAAAAGTAAAAAACAAAACATAAAATCACAGTACATACGACTTTTAATTATCCATATTCCATTCTGCCAGCATGCAGACAGCCGGAAGTACGAGTAATATCAGATTCTTTTAGTTTATGCTGTTCCATGTCTTACGTATCATTCTGTCCTCTGTAGGTACCAGACCTGTGCTGAAGTACTTACGTGTGGCGTGTACTCGCATTCTCCTTGCAACGCTTGGCTCAAGCTCTACTAGTAGAGTAACGGTTGTTAAGTTTTCCATATTAATTAATAATATATAATTAAGCAGCGTAGCTCTGACGTACGATGAAAAATAATATCATCAACACTAGACATTGATCATACAAGTACTTTGTGTAAAACGATACAATGATAGTGACCTCATATACTGTAATTATGATGTTACAGACAAAATACAGTGTAATAAAATACATCCGCTGCCCGCAGGGAATTAATGGCACAATTAATTTATGACATTATCGCAATTAATTAATTCTAACTACGAGTAGTCTACGTAGGAATTACCAAAACCGGATGTTGATCACAGGGAACGAACTTTTACTATTGTGCATCATGGTACGTCTAAGCTCATTTTAGCAGAAAAAGGAGCTGTTAACGTTTCGAATAAGTATAAAAAACCCTCAGTTTTTGGTTGTCAGGGCGGGCTTATGATTCAGCCCTTCTCTCATTGGTTGGTTTTGGGTTTTTTCCTGTCTGGGCATTTGCATGCGTTTTGATGGCTCTATAAGGCAGCTGCGCTGCCTACAGAGACCAGTTGGTTTTTGGCTTGCGCGCAAGCGCGGTGTGTGTTCAGATTTCGGCATTAAAGCCTACATCCGGGTTCGTTTTGCTCCTCCGTCGATGGACGATGCGCGCTTAACCGGCGCCATCTGATATGGTAGCAGACCACGGTGCCGATCGTGTGTTACACAGCGGGCTTGCCCCGCTCACGGGCCACCTCTGAGTTGTGGACCAGATCGCGTGATCGCGTCCTGTGCCACCCCCGGGTACGGAGCTCATCCCGCTCCTCCGGATTTCCCGTCAGTCGCCGGAGCTGTGCCGTCACTCCCGCAGAACGCGGAGGAAACTGCCTCTCCCACAAGGGGATGGAGATATCGCCAAGCCAGAAGTGCAGCGATGGACGGACAAACCCACAGCCACACCGTACCGATGACGGATGCCGACGGTGGACGGAACCCGGACCAGCAGGAAACCTGCGGACCCTTCACCACCACCAACAGCCACGCCAACCCCGATCCCCACGGCCGGATCGACCACCATTACCACGCCGAGAAATTCACCCCACCAAACCCTGCCCGCCTTACCTGGGACAGCGACCTTTCCCCCGGCGGAGCAGTGGAATTGCCCCACCGGAGCAGCGTAATTTTGTGTTTGCAGGGTCATGGCCGTACCTGTGCCCCAAACCCCTGCGCGATTTTCCCCAGACGGTGACCTTTCTCCAGACGGATAAAATGCGGAATCTACCGATTTCCGCATCCGACCCTGGATTCTGTCGCGACAGTGCGTTGACCTAGGCACTGGACCGCGTGAAGCCGAACCAGACCGACCGAACCCGAGCCAAACCGACCGAGAACCACTCCTAAACCGAACCTGATCCGAGCCGACCAAACCTGGACCGAGCCGGACGAAACCTGACTGAACCAGATCCCATACCGGACCACGTGAGCCGACCGAACTGGAACCGAGCCACCCGGTAGTACAGTCTATTAGACATAGTACAGGGACCGTACCGGTCCCTGTATCCACTGTTCTTTTACGGCGCATCACGCCATTTACCTGCACTTCGCAGGAGCTCAGTGTTAGACCGTACAGGGATGTCAGGGCGGGCTTATGATTCAGCCCTTCTCTCATTGGTTGGTTTTGGGTTTTTTCCTGTCTGGGCATTTGCATGCGTTTTGATGGCTCTATAAGGCAGCTGCGCTGCCTACAGAGACCAGTTGGTTTTTGGCTTGCGCGCAAGCGCGGTGTGTGTTCAGATTTCGGCATTAAAGCCTACATCCGGGTTCGTTTTGCTCCTCCGTCGATGGACGATGCGCGCTTAACCGGCGCCATCTGATATGGTATATTTTTCTCTGTCAGTCCCAGTCTAATAAATCTCTGTTGGTTGCTACTGAGTACCGTGTGGGACTGGATCACTGTACGTATACAGTACACGGAAGCTTACGCAAACCAAAGCCGGCAGTTTTACGTGACCTTCAACCGGGAGCATTATATCGTTGGACAGGGCAAAACAATTTGACGGTATAACTCCTTGATTCCAGTGCAATCCTTGTTAGGTAGATCTGTATAATTTTTTAATTAAGGACGGAATATTTTGTACTTAGCGCATGTGTTTTCCGTCCTCTGAATTGTTGGCGACATAAATTGATTTTTGTTATCCTTCTCCCAAATCCTATTTACCATTATTATTGCAATTTCTGTGCAGTTGCAAGTAAAATCTTGCAGCACAATATTATACGAATAATCCTGGGACAATTTCAACATGTGGGTGATCGTTATCATTTCGCTGCTCTCGCTGTATCCTACCGGAATCTCATTTGCCCGGTGCTCGGACACCCTGCAGCAAGGATCTCGCGGCGAGTGCGTCAAGGCTGTGCAGCGCGCCGTCGGCACCACCGCGGATGGAATTTTCGGTAAAAACACCAAAGCCGCCGTTATGGCCTACCAGCGCCAGCGCGGTTTGGAGGTTGACGGAATCGTGGGACGAAATACCTGGGCGGCTATATACGGCACAAGCGGAACCTCATCCGGAGGGACCAAACCCTCTAGTTTGGGATGTGGGTGTTCGTATGATTACGCTTCTAAATGCAGCGGTGGACCCACACCGGGTGCAACGAAATTGGCGGCCTATCTGAAACGAAATTACGGAAGCCGACAGGAAATCTACGAGTGCCGTCCGGTGCGCGGTGGGAAGAACTTATCGCTGCACGGGGAAGGACGAGCGATTGATCACTATGTGGAAAGATCGCGGGGAGAAAGCATATTCCAGCATCTGATCTCCATTGCGTGTAAGAATGGCATACAGGAGGTCATCTTTAACCGAAAGATCTGGACGCAGAGCAACGGTCTGCAAGCGTACCACGGTGTCAATCCACACACCAATCACGTTCATGTGGGACTGAACAAATGCGGCGCTAAAAACTTTAGCTTGTAATACACATGGATTTTCCGCATTCGCCTTATTTCTACTCGTCTGTGTTTTCGGCTTCACTGAAATAATTTAAGTACTGTGCTACCGTGCTAAATTTGACCAGTCTGTGGCCTTTGCGATAAACAAACTCGGACATTTTTACACATAGCCACTAATCATTAATAAATATGAGTAACAACAAAATACGTTATCAATCCAGCTAGGTACGTATTTAAAATGTCCAACGTTAGCGGGTGTCTAACGTCCTTTTGTACCTGTTCTCTCATTTAACTGCATCCCACGCGCAATTGATATATGCTGGTTGACTTGGTTGTGCACAGTACGCAGCCAGCATGTGGTTTAAAATATTGGCCAAGGTCAAAAAGAGGAAGGAATAAATAAAGGAAGGAATGTTTTTTGGTCAAAAAGAGGAAGGAATAAATGAAGGAAGGAAATTCAGTGGTCAAAAAGAGGAAGGAATAATTAAAGGAAGGAATATTTTTTTGTCAAAAAGAGGAAGGAAATTTCGGTGGTCAAAAAAGGATGGTCAGAAAAAGGAAGCAAATGGTGAAAAAATAGGAAGCAGAAAACGCACAGAGTTTTTTTAAATGTTCTTATGTGGCAGCGATGATCATCGTAAGTAGGCTGCCGGTTTACTGCATTTTGTAGAAATACAGTACCACTGGGCAAGGCAGTCCGACTGGGCAGCCCCCATTCAAAAAATTAAATCCGGCTCGACATTACCATTCCCCATTTACAATGTAAATCACACACAACATAGAAAACGCCTGCACCGTTTTGGCGGGAACTATGATTTGATAGTCTCCGAGTCTGCGTTCATGTAATGATACGTGACTTATCAGTAGAAGTAAGGCGTCTGCTTTTTCTACATACTGCAATGAAATCTCAGTGGTAGAGTGGGTATTACTGGTTAAGAAAGTTTGCCATGTTGGCCAGGGTTATTCTTCCTTCACTCATCTTACCGAAGTGCAGCATAATGGCTTAGTCTTGCGTACCTGTAGCGAACTCGTGGATCGTGCGTGGATTTACGGAAATACTCGCAAAAAAACCGATAATTCATTTGACGCAGATGCAAATACTAATTAGTACCCAGTATGGAACCTTCTAAGATATTGTTGCTCCCGATGATGACGTTGAGTACATAGGAACATATCCTTACGATTATAATAAAGGGACACCGGCACCAACGTTGAGCGAAGCTAACAGGTAAGTGATGCATCCGTAACAATGCCCACAAAGTACAAGTATGGTTCCAGCATGTACATATGCACTTTTTCATTTTACAACACTATGTAGTTTTTATTATGCAGCTGATTAATATTGCTTTATTATTATCCTTTTTTTACCATAATATAGTTACGGTTTATGTTAAGATACCGGGGACTTCAAACACAAATTATGTATGTGTATTAATGCCGTTATTTTGTACTTAAAACAGCGTCATCTAATGAGTTGCTCGAATAATTCAATAGATCAGCACCGGCATCGGCTTTAGCGGACCATGCCGTTAAAAAAGAGCCGACACAGGAGCTACCCTCGTGGATCGTGAAAACAATTTAGTGATGTGCTACTAAATAAATCTAAATAAATGCTATTTAATTAGTGAAAGCTTTAAAAAAACTAAAAAAAAACATTTAAAAAAACTCTGTGTGTTTTCTGCTTCCTATTTTTTCACCGCACACAAATTTGCTTCCTTTTTCTGACCATCCTTTTTTGACCACCGAAATTTCCTTCCTCTTTTTGACCAAAAAATATTCCTTCCTTTAATTATTCCTTCCTCTTTTTGACCACTGAATTTTCTTCCTTCATTTATTCCTTCCTCTTTTTGACCAAAAAACATTCCTTCCTTTAATTATTCCTTCCTCTTTTTGACCACTGAATTTCCTTCCTTCATTTATTCCTTCCTCTTTTTGACCAAAAAACATTCCTTCCTTTATTTACTCCTTCCTCTTTTTGACCTTGGCCAAAATATTCGATACTTCTAGTGCATTTTCTCTATTGTTTTGCGTCCTGTTTTGTAGCATCGATTGTTCGTTTCGGGACGCCGTTGCAAAGCTGCAGCATGCAGAAAGTCATCCGTAGACCGTAGGTACTTCCTTAACTACACGCTGCGCTTATTTCGGTAGTGGGCACTGTTTGGCCACCGGATGTACTGCCCATTGATCGCATGGGCAACAAATCATTGAGCAGCGCAAATAAGTACTTCAGTGGGCACTTACCATATACTCGCCGGGTCGCCGGTGAGCGCTATCTTTGAAGTTTGACCACAACCCAAGCTTGCTTTTTTTCCGACTCATGGTGAATTTGGTAATCATAGTCCGGAGATTATGGACAATTGCCGTTTGACTTTCGATATACACATCAAGCTGTTCGTTAAACTGGACATGTACAACAGCATTTTAATAATATTGCTCGCATTCAGGTATATTCGTGCGTAGTACATGCCCTAATTTGATTACACCGTTTGTTATAGATGTTTCTCATTCATTAATGTTATCCGGCTCCTACGTAAGAGAACCTCGGGATTGGAATAAATGTAATCTTTATCTGGAACCTGGTGGGATAAATGCGTAATTGTACGAGGGTTGGGATATCATCAATCACACTTCAACAAGCCTGTTTCGCTGCGCAACGGAAGTGATGTATTCAGCTGTCGATTGTCGGTACGGAAATATTGCATTGTGATTGTTGTATGGGTACCGGTAGCGCCGCAGTCTGACCATTAAGCGCTCCCAAAGGATGCGAGTTTGCGAGTGTTGCCAACAGCGCTAGTCTGCAGGTGCCGCGCGCTTTAACGCCGACCTTCATGGTGTTGCATCACTATTATTAAACTTGTTTGATTGATTTAACCACAACGACCTTCTCCGGGATAATCTGTTTTCACTTCCATGTTAGACCGTGCTGCCGTTCAATTATGCTGGTTTATAATCAACACGGACATATTTTACTATTCGACAATACAAACGCATTGCGCTGGATGATAATGTTTCAAGGTAAACTTTGCGCACATGCATGCAAAATATCTTAATAATATCCAATTTCGATTTCATTTCTTGGTTTATTTTAACAAATATGCTCAAACGACAACATCTTTTTCTCGAAAGTGCTATTAAATCAACTTGTATGTATTATGCAAATTCTGCCAAAAATTTTAAGCTTTGCCCATGTACAGATAGGTAGTTATGTATCGCGCTTGCTTTCGTTCTACCGTATACCGCAAAAACGAATTTTCAGTAATTCAAGAAATCTTTCATTTTCACATACTCTGTACTGTTACCTATACAATTAAAAGCAAGAACATGCTGTAGACGGAGTGTGTATACAGCACAGATCTAGATAGTGCTGGATTGTATTATGTATAGTGAGCTCATCTTGAACAGGCGTAATTGTTTTATTTATTTTTGAACAAGCGATCTCCACTGTTACATGAAAATCTGGTTTCGATGCTTAAGTAGCCGTTTGAAAAAATACCTGGGAGTAAATAATATTACCAAACCAGTGGCGCTGGATTAGGATGTAAATTGTTATTGCGAGTAACTGGGTTAAAGAATTATTTCCATTCACCGAATATTATGTTATTAATGTCAACATGGCGATCAACAACGCAGTCTGTCACTGTCTGTGTGTTTGAAAAAGTAGCGAAGACAACCTTTTCTCGCAATACAAGGTAGAAAATATGCATTTTGCTATGTGCAATTATTGATCAACGATGTAGTAAACTGTTGCTAAAATATTTCGGAAATTTAAGTTATTTGGCAAAGCGCCATATATAAAGTCAGCATAATTTAAGCGTTAGTTGGTCATTACACTGTAATTGTTAATGTTTTGCAAATGTTAGATAAATTAAGATTACAAATAAATCGATTAGCTGATACCGATTGATGTACGTAACTGCAAGAAAACTGTATTCCGCATTATTGATCGTTGACAGTTGACTATTGGGAAACGTAAGATGTGAGTTGTTTGACAACCGGAAATGCAATTGCAGCTGATCAGCATCGATTTGCGTAGTGTTGCTAGTGCTAGGAGAGGAAAATGATATTCCAGTTAGACTAACGATTGTCCAATACAAACACTGGCATAGGTGACACACAGTGGTAACGTGCTTGGGTAAAGTTTCTCGTAACGTTCTGTCAGACAGCTCAAAGGACAAGATAAATTCGGCGACGAAAATTGATCCCTGATGCGCTGGTGCAAAACACGAGAGCGCGGTCGTGAACTTTGTCTAATATAAAAAAGCAGCATATTAAATCGGTCAGGACACCAGTAGAATTTAATATGCCATAATCCTATATTGATATCCGGCTGTATCAGACTTCATACGCCATTAACTAGGTAAATTGTCATTTCATCTTTAAAATTAGCCAGTTACAGTATTGGATCAACGATAAAACTTAATGGAAATGATTATTGACTTGTTGAGCCATGGTTTAAATGCATTTTGAGGAAACAGATTTCCTAAATTTCTGAAATGGTTTCGGGTTTGTACTAAAGAGCGTTAATTTCACATTTAACTTAGTGTAGACATACAAAATTAACCAGGTGTTAATATAAGTACAAAATTTGCCCATAAAAAGGTCACCATGCAGACTGCTACACAGGTGCAAATTAGTCTTACACTTTAACGACCACAACCATTGGAAGGATATCTGACTACTATATACTTCCTGCCATTTCCACAGAAAAATTTTGCTGTTTCATTGCAAAAAGTTTTTGCACTTGACTTTCAGTTTCTTTACACTTGAGAGTTGCGGTGTAGCGCTCGAGAACGTCGATTCGACTTGGAATTCGAAGGGTCGGTGTGTGCTACTTAACCAGAAACTGTCACTCACCGGAATGAGATGTTTCTAACCCCTATGTATATAATTTCTGGATGATAAAAATAAAAAAATTTATAAGTATATATGATAATGCCGATTAAAACGAATTGTGAATGTATGTATTATATGGCTTCCTACGACGGACAATGTACAGAGTACGACGATTTCTAGCTGCAGAAATAGCGCTATAATCCCCCACATCATCTCGTAGCGACTCTTTGACAGGTGAATGATTAGTAACGGACCATTGCAACTGCAAGGTTGTTTAAATTACACCTGAATGGTCATTGGTGCTGTGAGTTAATCCGTTTCGCTGTTGTTTGCGGTTTTCGCCGTCTGTCATGTTCTGGTTTTTTGAATTATGTAATTTCGGTTATTCGACATGTAGCTACAACGTACGGAAACGTAAGTGCATTTGGAAACAAAATAAGTATATTTTACTATTTGGCAGTGTCTGTAGCAACTGAAATTCGTAATTATTGTACTTCTATGCTGAAAAAAATTTTCTTTCCATAATGAAATGTTGCAAATTATTTTTGTCAGTAGAGTTAATAATTCAGATGCATAAGCTGATCACGATACGACTGGTTTCGATACAGCAGCAGCACTCGAGCCGGTGATAATTTGCCATTACGCACAACTGCGCTGAGCAAACTTATCAGATTCGTTCTTTTGCCATAAACCCTGCTACTATGGAAATACATCCTTTTAAACAATTTTTAAATTTTAAGCAATATTTATGTACAGCTATACGAGGCTCGAAGCAGCTCCATGTAAATTTTGGCAAAATGTCGTGTGATGCGCCCTCGTTTGATCGCATGTTAGTAACACTGGTCTGTAAAGTAGAAAATTAATACGAACGCGGAATTTATGAGAGTGCTCGAAACTGACGGGGGAATTGCAGACAGCTTGTGGTCTTTTTGCACTTATCATGATTCATGTCATAATTGGCCAAGAGACGCCGGCAGAAAGTTCTCACGCGCTTTCCCTTGTTAAATTTAAAAACCTAAATTGTTTGTTGCAAGCACAATAAACTTAAACAGTTACATGTGCGTTCATTATTCCAGTGTTACAAGTGTTACGAGACCGGCTAATTAAAATTTTGTGCGGCGCAGATTTTTATCAGTTTTTATAAGCTAGAATCTGTTAAGCCATGTGGCGGAACATGACACGTTTGGATTAACACACCGGATCATCCCTTAACTGTTTTAAATTTTGCCGAGCGATGCCGGACCACTTAAAAGTGCTTTTTGATAAATGATAAATTGAATTATTTGTAAAACTCAGGTGATGTCAAAAAATGTGTGATGTGCATTATCGTAATATTTTGGTATCCGACCGAAAAATACTCTTATGTACGGAGTTGTATACATGTGCATGTGCAACTCGGATTGTGCTTAGCGTAATAACTCGTCGTATGTTTATAATACAGTACTTCGGTTGCTTTTGGCCACAGAAACGGCATTTGTTTTTGCCACAATAGACACCGGGAACGTTCGTTAACACAAAAGTATAATCTGGACCAGCTGTACCCCAGAACTAAAGTGCACCAATTATCTTGAAAAAGGCCATTCCGTAGGATATTTTGTGATTCGATCCATAAAATCGGCATAATTGTTCGTTATCATAAGCAACATGTGATCGTTTATTGCGATGGCCCACGTGAATCTTTCGTGTATGTATACAATCTTCCCTTGTTAACCGTTTCGGCGATTAATAAAATTTGCTTTGATTATATGTTTAGTGATAGCAGTTATGTAGAATAACGTACCCGTACTGATTGATAGATGCATTCTTTACTCCTACGAGTAGTACTGTATATTCTAGGCTAAGGTTTATTACGGTATCGAAGTTCTTCTGTAGCGAACATGATTTTATGAATAAAAGTACCGCTTCTTATCGTCTTCCATTTTGCAAATGTATTTTAGTGGATGAAAGTGAACAGTGCCCGAAACCTTTCGTATTACATACTCTACATATTTTCATGATTAGTGTAGTCGAAGATAATTAAAACGTCTTTCGCAACGCTTTCTAAATTTCGAAATATAGAGGAGTACAACAGCCGCCATGTGGGAGCCAAGTAAAGTGGCACAAATTGTTGTTGATTAACTGCAACCTTGACTTGTTAACTAATTAAGAGCTGATAAAGCTTTCTTTACGAGCGTGATATTTAAGTAGCTAGGAGATAAGACTATCTATAGTAGCTGTCGATATGCGTTAACAACTACAGCTTACAAACACTTTTTTAATATTTATATGTACAATTGTACATGTCATATTACACTTATCGGCAATATTGCGCCCAAGGGCCAATAGCCAACTTTCCGATCGAACACACCGCCACAGGAATGGCATAGTATTGCTGCTGCTACAAGTGGAAAGCGCATGGTTCTTATCAGCAGCCGCGAAACTAAATATTTTAACCGATTTAGAGCTTCAAATGTTATCACAATTGTACTAAATATTACTGGAACAACGGCATTCCGAATCTATAGACGTTGCGGCCAAAATTCAGCGTGACAGTATTATCGGCACCGCAACCGGAAGTCCCTCCATGGTTATATGGTATTCCACTAAAGCGCAAAATACTGTATACCCTTAGCATGCGACAATAACTGTGGATCTTTGCCATATATTCGCATGAAACTTTTGTGATTCATGGTGTCATAGTAGCTGAGAATACTTTTTACGGTTAATTCAGGAATCCCCAATAACCGCAACGGAAAGATATCTAGTAATCTAGATATCTAGTAATCTACAGACTGATTTAAAATGGTGGACGTTGTCGATGGCGAAGGGTAAGCTAACCTGAACGAAAAATGCACAACAGTACTTTTTTTGAGAAAATATTGCTTTCGAAACGCTTGATGATTTGTCTGTACATATAATATACGCCACACACTTTTCCGGAGTAATGTGCAGTTTCGACAGAAAATGGTAGTGGCGCAGGTGTTATGATTATTGTCCGTGCGTAGTCGAAAATTACTTTCGAAATGCTATTATAGCACTAGATGCTTCCGCAAAAGGCAAACGTAAAGATTTTCTTAGCTAACATGTTAATTTATATTTTTTTATTACGGTCGGTTGCAAATGTTCGTTCATTTACAAAATGAAACTGTTTGCTCTAACCGTAGTCGTGCGAGGCCAACAGATGAGGTCAGTTTATTTGCAAAGCAAATAGCAAACTAACTCGTGTGGCCGTGCGGCGCTGATTAGATGCGGCTGAGGTTTTTTTTTACTGAAACATGTTGCAATTACATAACAGTCAGATACAAGCGCGTGGGATTCTGATATGTAGTTAGCATAATTGACGCATTATTGTACTGCTACTTGTACACACATTCATTCACACAATTTTGTACCATTAAAATGAGTGCATAACAGGTACTGTTTGAACTCATGTGTAAATGGCTACTATGTATTGTACTGTGCAATACTAATTAACGAAGTTTGTTTGCACCTATGCGACATTGTATTTTCTTCGATAATTGTTATTACAAATAGTAACTTCTGTACTCTGATTTAATATTATAACACAGTAAATGAGTTAACTGATCCCGGTATACAATAATCGCTATACTTCTGCTTGTATTAATACTCGTTTCAATTTCAGAGTGCTTATTTAATAATGGCTTTGCCGCCTTTAAAATCTTTGTAAAAACAGTTAGTGGGACAAGGAAAATTAACCTTATAACTAACTTAATTGACCGTCTTTTTATAGATAAAGAAAAATTTGCAGCTTATACAGATAAACGATAATGCAAACTGCGTAGGAATATACTTACTGTTAATTCAACAAATACGATGAGCGATTGATTTCCTTTTGTGTTCAACGATTTTAATCACGCAAGCTGCCGCCCGGAAGAGCACCAACTGTTCACTCGAACTGGACAGTGACACATGTCCATGCACTGTGCCGTTGATGCCAGCTTGTAGTAGTGGCTGGTTTGCATTTTTATTGATCAGAATGTCACCTTGTCTTCATATTTTTGATGATCTTGGATTCCCTTCCAATTTACGCTACGGATTTATAAGTCCAGTGTATCCGAGTAGACTAATAAGCTTAATCTTTATGATCCGTTATCGGGATTATTGCAGTGTGGACTGACTGCAGTTAACCTTGAATAGTTCTGCTGCCTGTTGGGTCCGTGAACAATCAGCGGATGCTGTGTGTTCACTGGGTTGTAAGTACGTTGAGCGCCGTTGATGCGTGGTTTCTGTTGAGTATCTGTATTTTGCGGACTTGAAAGTTTACTATCGCGATAGTGCTTCCAATTTCCTGTCTGCCGTCTCCGTGCTATAAATCAGCGCACTTTTATTGAGAACCTAGGTTCTTGTAACGTAAGTTGTAATGTTGTTCAAAACAGTGCGTTGCGATTCGCGAGACTGGTCTTCAGACTTCGGTGTGTACATTTGTTTACCACTAAACAGGTTGTTTTGGTCATTTTTATCGTTTTATGTAGGAAGACTTTTTAAAATCGATAATCTAGCAGACCAATTCCTTGATGTTTTTAACTCTGCTGTAGTGCTCATCAAAATAACATTTTTTCTCTTGTGGATTTCGTGTAAGTTTTTATATTGATAGTCAGTTTACTTTAGGCCTTGGAAACATTTCGGTGTAACTTCCAGTGTTAAACTTGCCTTTGCTGTAACTTACTAATTATTGGGACTATTTTTCTTTCGTGTACCTAAAGCTCGTATTCAAAATTATTGGCTGTTGGAATTCTGCGAATATCTGTATTATTTCTTGAAGGTATTTAACGAAAGCAAAACGAACTAGCTTTGCTGCCTTTACATTATTTCTTTTTATAATATTCGATTTTGTGAGCGTTCGTTAACAAATTGATTACGCAGTACGTATTTTCGCACACTCCAGTTCACTGATCAGAAAGCATTTCGCAGCAGATTGTGGAGACTATTAACGCTTTACTGGCGATTTATCAATGGAACCACATCGATCTGGCGACATTTTTCTGTATTAAAATCTGTTGAACAGGTTGATGGAGATGCATGCCGGCACAACATCCTCGCTGAAGCGTGCGGCGCCCACTCCGCCGGAAATGCTGCAGCCGCGTCACGGCGGCGGTGGTGCAGCTCCGCCCCAGGTAGCGCCTCGCCGCATCTACGCCGCACAGCATCAGCCTCCCGTCGAACGCAACGGGCATATTATCGCGCAGTCACCGGACACGCATTCCGATTACACTCCCTCCGACACATCCGTGCATGAAGAACAGACGGCCAGGATGATGCTGGAACGGGAGAACAGCGGGGTGGTGGTCAGTGGGCTCAGCAGTCGCCGGTCCAGTGGCTCCGAGAGGGATGACACGCTGACGCTCAATGTCATGCTGCCCAGCAAGGAAACGGTGCCGTTCCAGGTCAATAAGCGGTGAGTTATTAATTGCTGCATTTTTAAAATTTTTTCTGTTATTAAATTACAATAAACTAATAAATTGGTCCTTAATACAAGCGTCATCCCAAGCCGATTCGGTGATCCTTTCTCCGCTGTTTATTCTACCTTTATTTGAATTTACTGTGAAATTAAGTAACGCTCTTCTTAAATTTTTTTACTCACCCGAACTGCAATAAAACTGCTAATTTGGACTAATTACTGAAGGACCAAGGAATTATGAAATTAATCGTAATTCGTAGCATCTTCAAGCATATTTGCGGAAGTTATGTATGTCATAAAGCTTTGTCACTTTCGGAATTTTCTCGGATTCTTAGGTTAAAACGTAGAGTTTACCCCATTTCTCGCGTTCGATTCTTGTTGTTAAGAATTAACTACTTTTCTGAAGACTTATTTGAAATTGAGCCACAGTCTCCTGGAAAGGATTACCTTGACAAAATTTTTATTAGTTGTAAATACTAAACAAAAACACTGGTTTTTTAAAACAGTGTATCTGAAACCGATAAGTACAGCCAAAGAATAATAATCTTTAATCAGTGGTACAGGTAGTTTATGATTATATGCGGAGATGCAAAAAGAATGTTGCTGTGAAAACTTAACTCCAGCTTAGCCTATTTTATTATTAACCACCTCAGCGCATTTGAACGCAGTGTAATGGGTGTAATGTGCATTGTTGTTCCAATCGATTTGCATGCAGCGTGTAAATTTTCCTGCTTGCGTTATGGGCGATTGCTTCTGTTTTAAAATGCTGATTACAAAATTGTGCACGGTGTGTCTATCGTGTGAGTATGCCGTGTATTGTCCGTTGTGCGTAGCATCCCGTGGAAAAGCGCTCAAAAACTGTGCAAACATCGCATATTGGTGTAATTCGATGAGCGTTTATTTATGCAAAGCTGCTTTATGCATGGTGAAGAGCATCGGTGACACTTGAGAGCTTCGCGATATTGTGCTAATAATGCTAACGTTAATGTGGTTATGACATTCAGCTGTAATATGTCGGAATTGGCTTATTTTTGTTGTATTACGAAAACCCCGTTCGGATTAATGAGATTTCCGGACGATTACCGTCTGAAATTTGAGCAAGTAACAACAAAAAATATAATATTTGAAACTTCAGGAACCTTACCGCTTTAAGCAGCATTCGTGGCACATTCAGATTTTGGTCAGTATAGTATATAGTTTTTCGCGCGGTATAATCTTTCTAGTACTAACAATATTTTAGCGTCAGGTTGGGATTTTACACTGGATTGCGTTACCACAGTGCCGTCATCCCTGTAAAAAGCCTGTCCGTGTAATACGAGCTTGTAGACTCAATGTAGAGATAAAATTTTATATGAAAAGCGGAATGTTATAGGCATTTACAGAAGATGTGCGGTGTATTATCTGATTTGGTAAGCAACAAGTTCGAATATTTCTATAATTGTATTTGAATCTTGGGTTCGCATTTCTGTATTGTGTGTCGTTATAATAATGTGTGGCATTGTTTAGAATTTTTATTTGATATCTTCGTTCGTCTATATCTAATTCGGTACTGATCAATTAGAAATTTTTGCTGTTTGCAAATATTTAATTCGTAATTTTGGCTTCTGTTGCTTATTGTCAATGCATTTTTACATGTGCGTTCTTAAATGCTTTGAAGTAAAGTTTGTTTTTTGGATAAATAGCTTTGTCCGTTGCACATTTCTAATGTCAGTATCATAAGATTCATAACTATCGGTTGTAGATTGTTCGAACTGTTGAGTCAATATGTACGAGTAATATGTAGTTATGTACCGGTATTTCCTGCGAAAAAAGTTTTGATCATAATACGACTAATCGCACTATCGCAGTGTGCAGTTTTATGGACAGGTTGATTGATAATGCGGAAACATTTGGAGTTTAATTGGGTGAAATTAATCTGTATTTCCCATTGAAGTTTGACCATAGTGACATAACCCCAAGTGTGTAAATTACAAGTAATTATTGTTATTTGATGTTTGTATTGTACCGTTTGATCGATCCCCACAATTATTATATCTCGTTCATTTCATAACAGCACTTGAGTGTGTACCTGGTTAACAGAATGCCGTTGATGGACCTTTTGATACATGTGGCGTCCACTCGGCATTTCAACCCATCGGATTACGCTGTGTATAACCCCAACGCCAAATATCCCACCGCACTGACGCCCAACATTCCGGTCGGCGAACTCAATACGGACGCCGTACAGATCGTCCCCAAGAGTAGCCCACTGTTGCATACTCTCAGCAAATCCAAGCCGGCATCGACGAAGAGCAGTATGCGATCCAATCGCGAAGAACCATTCGAGGTATGATAACAATAAGCATAGTTAATCTTGAACCAGAAGGGTTTAGGCACCACCTTGTTTGTGCATGGAATACGGCACTAATTCGCAAAGACTGAAAAAGCCGTAGTTCGAAGGTGGTTCTATAAATTATCGAAGGTTTAGGAAGATGCGCGAATATTAAAGGACAAAACAGTGGTAAAGATAGTGACAAATGGACGTGTTATTAAATAATGATAGTAGTCTTTTTTATACGTAAAAGTGGATACGCACAGTACATTTTGACTGCGGTTCTGGTGGCTTTGATTAAAGGCGCATCTGAATGCGTGAATATTGGATTTTTTGCTTTCCTGTTCTTGCTACCGTACAACTTCTTTTTTTCTGAGATTACTGAAGATGCTTCAATTACGAAGTACAGAAAATTTTTAAGACAAAGTACTCCTCGTGCACTTCGAATTTTGGGCAGCTAGTCTTACTGACTAACCATAAGTATTAGAGGCATACATTCATCATTTCATGTATAGTGCGATTTTTTCGCCGGTCTGCAGTATATGTTCTTCAAAAGTTTAATTAGTAACTTGAGGTGTTCTCATGGGATTCCTTACAGCGACAATCTAAGTAAACTGACTACAACCGCTAACTGTCCATATTTACCCCTATTACGCTGGCAGTGTTGCGTACATTGTTGACCAAATTCCCGTTCACACTTCCGTTTCCGCACTGGAAGCTGCCGCATTACGAGACGAAGCAGTTTACCTGACTAGTCGTTATCGCAAACGATTTCCCATCCTCTCGATCTCGAGCGACATCGCAAATCTCGTTCGGGGTGTCGACTCTTGCGAGCATCGCTCTTGTTGTAGACAAAAAAGCGATGTGGATCTACATTCAAACGTAGGGGGAACTATCATATATTCAGTATGTGTTTGTGAGAGAGAGGGAGCCCTACACCGTTATCGAACACCGTCAGCTGTCCAGCCATCATTATTGGAAATCTGTCAAAACTCGTTTACTTGAGATTGATGGTTAAGGTTGGGCAAATTTGCATTCAAGTTTCATCGTCTCTCTGTTGTTTCCACGAGGCGCACGCGTACCCATTGGTGGTGTTGAGGTCTCGTCAACCCCGCACTACGGTAGTGTATACACTGTACAGTACAGCGGTGCAAAAGGTGCATTGGTCACCTGTTTGTGCATTTATTGGGGTAGCCGGTTAAGCAGTCATTTAGTGATTTAGCTGTGGCCGCTAATGAAAAAAGCCCCCAAGTTGAGTGTCATTTACAGAAAACCTTCCGTTTACAAATTAACCTCCCACATAAACAAATGATGGTCCTACGTGTGAGCGGTAAGCAGACCTACAATGATGTACTGGCGGATATCTGCCGTGAAAAAGGCTTCAATCCGACGGCCTATACGTTGCGGCATCCGAACAATCCCCAACAGCCGCTGGATATGTACCGGCAGCTAGCTGAGGATCGGATCAATGAGATAAATCTGGTCCCGTCCTTTCAAGGTAAGACAACATTCTCGCCATTGCTGATCGGGCTTTGTGTTTTATACTGTAACCAGTTGCAGTGTTACGTATTTTTACGCAATGCCGTTTTTTAATTGTCGTGCATTTTGCGCGAGTTTTCAATGTCACGTTGACGAGTTTAGCGGATGTGAAGTTTATCTACTGGACATTGCTGTCACAGTCATTGGATTGCTTCTAATGCGAAGCTAATTTGAATGGGATTTCTGCAATCTATTAAATTTTCTGGTTAATTCTGTTACATAAAGATTCATAATAATATTATCGATGGAATATTTGAGTTTGATGTTTAAAGTATTAAATTATTGGATTTGCTTGTGCAGATACGATTGCCCGGCATAGCAAACGCTTTACACCAAACTCCGGCATCGATATGGAAGTGCCAGAAAAGCAGGAGAAAAAGCGCGGATTTGATTTATTCCGATTATGCCGCAAGAAACGCGTGGTAAGTTCACGCTTGCATGGTCTATCGTATCCGCTTTGGGACATAAAATTTTTGCGGTAACATGCTCCAAATCTAATGAGCGTTACGATGCGTGTAGTATTAGTAATTGAATTTCAATTGGTCATCGCTTCATTGGGAACAATTAAATCGTTTATTGGTGTTAACTGATTGACAAAGTTTAGAATAACATTTGTCTACCGAGGGGTGATCTGATCCACTTGATCGATTCTCCCTTTAAGTGTTTATACAATCTCCAGTCTCTCAAAAAATAACTGAAGCTCATTTCCATATGTCTGTGTCTACTCGAGCTGACCTTGAACACCTCCACTTGAGAATGTATAACGGACGCTGAAAATGAGCTGACACTGATCCGATTACCCCTTTCGTTGGCAGCGTAAATTATACTCCCTTTAATCCCAGACTAATTCTTTAAATATTTTCGAGTGCGTTACACGTTGTGAAAGCCTTCTAGTCAATAATCCTGCCGTCAAGGAGCGGTAAGTGTACAAAATGTTGTGAAATAATGGTCGAAAATATGAAAGGTTTTTGTATGTTTGTATTTCGGCGAGAACGACAGCTCCATACTTGGCAGATTTGATATTGCCACTGGCAGATTTAGTCGAATTTCTAGAAGATTTGCCAGCCATTGAACTACGAAATTTTCTGATTTTGCAAAACTGACAGTGGTATAGAATAGCGTGTCCTGTAGCGTGTAAAATTTGTTTATTTTTTTACGTTCTTAGCAGTTTGTGCCCCACTTTTCAAAAGCGCTTGATAAAAACCCAGTATTTTTCAGGTAACCAGTCAGTTGACCGCTGCCAATGTCCCGCCATCCGGCAACCCCTTAAAATCCAGTAAACACATCAGTAAATCCATATCAACCCTTGCGGAGATAGCTCCACCGGTAGTGCGGGAACCATCAAAACCTACCCGCAGCAGTAAACGCCACGCTCCCGCACCGCCCCCTCCCGGACCCGTTCCGCTGACCACCGAAATCCCTGTCCGTACGCGGCACCACTCGGAATCCAGCGGCTACGATGAATCGCTCGTTCTCAGCAATTCGCCGGAACGCGACGATCACATGATTTCCCCTCCGGTACAGATCGCCGACGATCTACCGGATAAGAGCATCATCATCGCCAAAATGCCGGTGTCCGCCCGCAGCTCGACGTCCACGCCGGACTCCGGACTAAAGAGCGCCAGCGAGACGGTGGTCAAAGTCGGTACCCAAATTTCGAAAAAGAAGGCGCCCGCGCCGCCGCCCCCGCCTCATGACGAGCCACCGAAGGAAAGCGTTACGGCGAAGGATAGCGCCGTTGTTATTGACCAAGGTACGTCATGGTATAGTTTGTACAGTCCTTGATTATGTCGGGTACGGGTTACGATTGCACAATATTCCACTGGGGGATTATGTTATACGAGATTGTGGTGAATGGTGTGCGATTAAATCAACACAGCGCCAATGCATAAAAGACGGTGTTTGTGTGCAGGCCGGAGCCGTTCGACCAGTCAGGCCAGTGTGCACAGCGTGCCGGCGCCGGCGCTGCCGCCGATGGATGCTGCAACCAGTGCGTCGATAAAAGCTGACGCTGTCGGCGTGGATAGTCGGCGTTCGTCCGATAGCAGTCACAAAACAGTCAGTGATGCCGTGTCAACGGCGGTTGTTACCGCGGAAAACAAATGTACGATTTTTCAATTAATGACGTTGTGCGCTGCTAGTACAATGCTGATCATTGCAATGCCTCGTTGCAGTGTCGGATGGGCAATCATTGGGCGATGACCTGAGCACCACGAGTTTCTCCTTCGAGCACGGCCGCGACAACGGGCACGATTTCGATGAGAGCTCCGTGGACGGCTCGATGGATATCCACAATGAGATTCACCAGATTGCGGTGGCCGAAGCGGAACGCGACGCGGAATCCCACAGTCCCCACGCCAGTCACCTTGGAAACTGGGAGGGCATGGACGGGAAATTCCGCAGTAATTCGTTGGCGGAACTGCGACGTTCCTATGCCGCATCCACTTCGTCGGAAGAGTCGGGATCGAATTGGGCCGGGGAGACCACCACCACAATGGTGGAGGTGGATCGCGATACCATGTCGCTTCCCGTACATTCTCCCAAGAACGATGACACGTCCAGTCTGGAGCCGGAGAAGGACGAACCAGAGACGGTGGTGGTGCAGGCGGCGTCACCGATGCGGCGGCTTATTTCCGGTAACTCGACACCAGACTCGGGAATCCATTCCCAACGGGCGTCTCTAAAAGAACGAGTTCCCGATAATCTGGATACGGAAGTCATTCATTCTCCGAAGCCATCTGTATATAAAACTGAAACACCTCCAACCTCCCCGAAACTGGTGGTAGACGTGCCGCCTTCGACACCCAAACCTGATTCAGTTCCATCTTCGCCGGTGTCCAAGACGCCCTCGCCGGACACTTCGAAACCTTCCAGCCCCAAACCCCTCTCTCCCCCGTTAATAATATCAACCGCAGCAACACCCACCAATATTCCGTCCCCGTCTCCGAAGCCGGAAATCACAGTGGACGCTGTGCGGACGGATTCCCCGCCCAAGTCAGTCACTCCCAAGCCGACGCCACTGCATTTGGCTCCGACACCCATACCGGTAGGTGACCGGCTAAGTGAACCACCCTCCCCGTCGCCTTCGGTATCATCGGTCGTCAGCAATGCGCCGACGTTGCCGGAAAGCACCCCGCCGCCGGTGCCGTCTTCTAAACCGGTTATGGTCTTCCCGCCGCGGTCTCCGGCACATGTCAGTATTTCCTCCTTCAAAGATCAGCAGCCGAATAGGTACAAGGAGATCATTGCGCAGCAGTCTCAAACACCGTATGAGTCGGCAGTGGATTTGCCCAGCACAGCGTCTTCCGAATCATCGGCTGCGGTGCTCTTGAAACGTGATGATTTACTGAACAGAAAGACTGTGGATTTTGGACGATTCAGTACTATGCCATCTTTGGGTCAAGCTAACAGGTAATTGATTAGTTAATACTGTATACTTTTAATAGTCGTTTACTGGCCTTATTATATAATTTATCGCGTAAATTATTAAAATCCAATTATGAAAGGCTGCGCTAATAGACGCAAATTAAAATGATTCAAGTTATAAGTACTGGCTTTGATTTTATAATTCATACATGCAAATCTTTTGAATCGAACTTTTAATTTTTGAGAATGTTATAGAGTTAGCAGTATGTAATAAATACTGGTAACTTGATGCTTGATTTTGGCATTTTATAGAATGAAAGTGCATTTTCAGTTTAATGGTTTGCGCATATTTGGAGCTAACAGTGTTCATTGTTTTTAGTGCTCCACCACTTGTCTCCAACTTGACAAGATCGGAAGTGCTACCCAGTGCGAGTTATATAAAATCGGAACCTAAGAATGTGGAATCCGACATCTCTCGGGCCTTGTCTCGGGAAGAGCTGATGAGAGAGATGAGAACCGTCCAGCAGTGGATCAGCGACATCAACACCCAAATGGCTACTATCCAGTTGGGCGGCACCATCACCCCAGAGAACTTGGTTCTCATCGCTGATAAACAGCGTCTTCTGCAGGAGCATATGCAGCGTCAGATTGTTTTGACTCAGCAGTTACTGGAGCAAGATGAGAAGACCACTAAAGACAGCAAATTTAAACGCCCACCCAGCCCGACGCGTCCCGTTCATCGATCGGTGGTGCCTAACCCCGCGCTTCCCATGCCGAAAACGGTGGGCGGCGTGCCTTATTCTGAGATTGTCGCGTTACCGCGAAAGAATCCCCATACCCCGGTATATTCATCGGTTATGGCGGATGATATGGAACGAAAAGGTCGCGGTGCTGGGGATGAGATTCGGGAGAGCCGGTCCCGACTGCGAGATAGCTGGGTGACAGACACATCGAGAAGGTCAGTAAACCAAATAAATGCAGAATATGTTCAGCAACAGAATGCCGTGTCAACTTTAAACACCTAAAGGAACTACAGTAGTAGCCTGTATTCAGGATTTAAATCGTTTACTTGCGATAGAATACATTAATTTAATCTTTACTTAATTCACAAGATTTATTAATCACATTCTATTATCCCACTTTTATTAACCAGCAAATTTTATATTATTATATTTTCTCATGTAAATTTAATGTTATATTATCAATCTGATTTCTTAGGTTTGAGTCTCCCAATCGCAGCTTCGATGCCGCTCAATCCTCGCAAGATGGCCACACGATGACAACCCGCATCAACATCTCAACGGGCACCCAACCGACGCAATCGGATATGAATCCCACATTCTCCTTCTCCACCACTCGCGCTCCGTCTGCATCCGAATCGGAGGCGAGAGAGAACAAACACTCCCCTTCGTCCTCTGTAGAATATTCCCGTAATTTCGCTAACATCCCGGTAAACCGCCGGACCTCCCAGCAATTTGCCGGCATGCCGTCCGTTGTGGCTTCCGTCAAACCCACCCCGGTGCAACCGGCAGTCCGCCCCCCGGCACAGAACACCGCCAACCGCTTATCCTACCACGGTGCGACGAATCAGCGCGATTGGAAGACAGATACACTGACCAGCGGCGTCCGTAGCCGGGCCGTGGAGGATTCAGTGGAAACACCGCCTGTCGAAGAGCCGACGGTCAAAAGCAACCGCTTCAGTTATCACGAAGGCGGTGCACCGCGGAAGAATACCGGCCCGTTGCGGGCGGTCAATACCCCCGAACAGTCGACCATCGGGAGCACCAGTACACTGAATACGGAATATAAAGAGGATCCGATTGACAGTATTGTGCGCAGCTGGAAAAGTGGAACACCCACACCGTACCATCATGTGAACGTTAGTCCGAGCCGTGCTGGGACGTTGAGGAAGGACCCGGTGGTCGTTCGCGATGAAAATAAAGTACCCTTGCCGCCACCGGCGCCTCCGCTTCCGCCAAAGTTGCCGGAAATGACGCGAAGTGTTTCGATGCCTATCAAGAAAAGCAGTGAGAATATTTCAGCTGCCAAGTCGCAGCAGGACATGAAGTCGGAGTTGATGGATGAAATTAAGAATTTTTCTGTGAATTCTTTACGAAAGGTATGTCGATTCTGGTTTTTCTAATATTTGGCGTTTGCAGTATGCAACATTTTGCATATCAGCTGCATAGCTAAAGTACGCAAAAATTTTCTCAAAATAAAAGTGAACTTTTTCCATAACCGGAAAGGTGAGTACATCTGAGTAACATAACACACTCAGAGTAACATCTGAGTAACATCTTGCTTACGTTAGTATTATTTTTTGCACCGTTTTTGAGTATTTTATCCTTTTTATGTGAGAGATGGATTGGCCAGCGTAATAGATGGTCAGGTTATTTTTAAAAAAATCCAAATAACGTTATTTTTTGTTTGACGTGTTGTTTTCTGTTAGGTGCCTGCATCGACGCAGAAGAGTTGGGTTCCAAAGATTCGATGAGGGACAACCTGCATCTGCTTCAGTGTTTTTATATCAGACAAGAGCTTTCCTAATTGCCGCTTTTTGCTTTTTTTACAGAATGCACTATTTTATTTTTGAATATTATTATTATTTTGGTGGTTAGGTCCAGGTTTGGCACAATCGGTACCCGTTTCTAGAATGGTGGTGTTTTGGTTTAGGAATGTCTGTGAGCAGGTGTTTTGTTTAGTAGTAGGGTTGTGATGGACGTTGTACCGGTTTCTACAGTAGTGGCTTAATTTTGTGATTTTTTGTATGTGCGGCGAATTCGGCAGTGCGCATGGTTTGATTGGTGCATAAGCTACTCAAATTAATATCCTAAAAAATTTATTCTCGCATGATATTGACAGAATTATGAATTTATGGTAAAAACAAGAACAGATTTGACATAGAAGTATTTTTTTGTTTCATAGCAGTGAGCGAGCAACAAATGTGCGTTTCCATACCGCAGTGCAACAACCGTGTTAAACGATCCATATTTATTAGCAGGCTAATAAAGCATTAATTGGTACAGTGTCATCATCACAGCATTAACAAAAAAACAACCAAAAAGCATGTTGCAGATTCTGTTGACTCATTTACAAACCATCTTACATTTATACATTCCCTGGTTATCCGCAGATGCCGGCATCTGCGAGTTAGTATCGACGGATTCGTCCCGGAAACGTCCTCGCGGGCCGAAACCGAAGAACGGTCCACGCCGGAAACCGAAGGGTCCAAAGCGGAATGGCCGCGGACCGAAGAACGGTCCATAACCAAAGGGCCCGTAACCAAAGGGTCCAAACGGTCGCCGGAATGGTCCGAAAGGAAACGGTGGGAAGAAGGCCGGGTAGGGTCCGTCATACAGATCCGGATCGGTGTGATCGATCACAAACGTGTCCGGTTCATTGGTCTCCTCGGTCACAACCGGCGCCGGCTGCTGCATGTTCTGAGTGTTCTCGGGTTCCTTCGGTGTCACCTCGACTTTCTCACATTCAACCCGGCATTGAGGCGCTGCGGAAGGCATTGTAGTGGGCATCGGCGGCATTGCTGTGGTGGGCATAGGTGGCGTGGCAGTGGTGACAGTTTGACCGGTGGCAGAGGTCACCGTAGTGGTCTCAGCGGTGTTTGCCGGCGTGGACGAGGCACTCGTGGCGGTGACCATGGTGGTAGACGTTACCGTGGTTTCCACCGGCATCGACGTGGTACCTTCTGTGGTCCCCTGCGTGGACTCGGACGCGTTGGTGGAGGTCTCCTCGGACGTCCCGGTCGGCTCTGGTGTTGCCGGTGTCGGTGGCGTCCCTCGAGATGCTGTGGTCCCGCTCTGACCCGGCATGCCGGTCGATGAGGTCACCACTCCTTCTGATTGGAAAGGCGTCGCTCCACCGCCGCCTCCGGTGGTTGGGGTCACCGTTTCCGGCATAACAGAACCGTTGGACGACTGCTGGAACGGTTGCGGCATGTTAGACGGTGTATCATCGGCGCAGGTCACAACTGATACGGGCGCATCGGTAGTGGTCATGATAGACGTCGCTGATGTTGCGCTTACCTCTGTAGTTGTGGTGGCGTCGGTGGTAATGGCGTCATCGTTCAAATCATTGTTAAAGTCACCATCAAAGGGATCCAGATCACTCAGATCAGACATCTGACAATTTACCACCGACAAGCTAAAAACTGAAAAGGTCAAGAACGTAAAACGTAAAAGATCCATGGCTGTGTAGTTATCACACCACGCTGCGCAAAAAACTGGAATCAAATATGCCGAACTTTTGCGCACGAAATTAAACTGACAAAAAAATTTGATCAACGAAATCCGTCCGTTTTATCGTGCTCGTAAATCAAGTAAGTACAAATTAGCAACGCAAATATGCTTCGTAGTTTTTACTCGGTATGTACAACCGTTAGTGGCGCGACTTCTTTGTTCCGGTATCCGTAAGCTGGTACATAAGTATTCACAGTTTTGTAATTTGCGCAACGCGATTTAATTGCAAAGGTGTTCTTGGTAGATATTAATATTTGATCGTCGATCCACGATTCTTTGTCAACAGTTCTCGTAGAAAGCATTTCTATTATTGTACTGGATCTTAACTGGTAAATGAAACTCTTGCTCACACAGTCTCACACTATTAAGTATTAACACTAAGTAAAGTTCAATTGGTTATTACTTTGTATTTATTCTGATGCGACACATGCAACGAACGGAGGATTTCGCTGCTTTATTCTGTGCCCAGTGTCCGTCTTACAGATATGTATTTTTAACTTTTTGTACTTTAAATATTGAAATGTAAAGGTAGAAGAGCCATTAAACTTCTTGTGATTATTCGTATATCTATATACTATACTGTAGTATTAAATTTTAGTATTGCACACCTTCTGAAATTTTAAAATGAAAACAGGAACAGTTGACAGGGTCACACTGTACACACTACAGCGGATGACGAAATCGAATAACGAGTAAGATACAAAATGTATTTGATTAAAACGTTTCACGATTCAGATTGAGTGACCATATTCATAATAATAATTTTCAATTTACACGGCAGTGACTGTACAATCGTACGTCAGATTTATAGAAGTACTTTGTACAAGCCCGTTTTCAAACCTGTAGACCGCTGTAAGCCCGACGCAGTGAATAAGCGCACAGTTAAAGGCTAGATTTTATCTGTTCTACACTGGATGCATTGGCGTAGAGCACTCAGTCTCATACTTGTCTCTCACTCTCTCTCACACACCCCTCACACCGCAGTGGCGTTAATGACCAAAACGCCGTGACGTGCCGAAGCACCTTGAATGGCTCAAGCCCACGTTTTTCAAATATCCCGCTTACAGCGGTCTACAGGTTTGAAAACGGGCTTGTATGTACAGTCTACATAATACATAAAAATATAGGATGTCACATTTTAATGAATTTTACCAACACGCGCTTTACAGCAATACATACATAAACTAGCGGTGGTTTGCGAACCACATCATTGCACGAGCGCGAGCGCCAATACCACTGGGAAATGGTATTGGGATTGTGGAATTGGAAAAGCGTGACGTACGCTCTTCGTGGCTTCAGACAAATTTTATGCTCTTGACGAAGACTTATTGATGATTCTCGCCAGGATGGCGCCTAGTGGCGGTTGGGAGCCGTGCGACTCAGGTGCGACGGGAAGTTGTCGTAGGCCCATAGAAACTAGTGCTTATTTCGGCACTTCTTAAACAGCGCGCGTTCGCAAACTGTACTGTTTGTTAACTGGACAGATACATGAAAATTTACAGAAAACCATCCTCTGCAAACAAGGAAAAAACGTGTGATAAAAGTCTCTGTTCGGGGCACATACGGTAGGTTTTCCGGTGACGGTATCGGTATGACTCACCACAAATTTACCGTTTTTCTGCCTGTACCGTACCGTAGATAACGATAGAAAGCGTTGGTATCGTTGGGCATCTCCGGTAGAATCTTGTGAGCCGTGGAATTAGTGGATTACCGTTTTGTCAAAACAGATAAGCACTTAAAACATCGCTCTATTTAATAAATATTTTGAGCAAGCATAAAAGAGAAATAACATCCAGAAACAATTTATTTTGTGGGGGACTAAAACACCAGAAGTCGTCTGTGTACTCAAACTGCCTCCCCACAAGCGGTTGGTCACGCTCTTGCAAATTCACTTCACAATTTTTTATTTAGTGAGACCGGACCGAGCCCGAGCCGAACTGTGTATCGAGCGTTATCGTTGTGCTTAGCGAACACACAAACTTCTAACGGTGATGAAAACTATGACGGTAGGCTACTGTTATGGTTACCGGAAAACCTACCGTGTGTGCACGTGAGTCTGTGCTCTGATCCGATCCTGCTGGAGGGTTGGGATGTGTGATATTCGTGTAATTCAGTTCATTTTATGGACTCTACGTATTGCTCGGTGGCAGCGTTTTGCACATCCATCCACTCTCTAACTCTCCCGAAATCCACTGGAAGTTGGAATTCGGAACTGTAATAGCGCTTCTGAGCGTACGAAGCACACTGCAATAAAATGAACATGCGGCACAAAAAAAATGCACATGCGGTTGATAACTGCATTGGTAAATAATGATGCCATGAGATTCAGTAATCAAATTTCTTACACTTTCTTATTGCAATCTTTGAAAGAATTACCCTAGTCTTAAATAGTGAGACATGCTCGAATCTTTCTAGAAATTCAAAATCATTTTGCAATGTTATCCATTGGGCCAGCGGTATTTTTTGGTTAAATATTGTCGGCTTATCTTAAATATGTCGTCTACAGATCTGCGCTGTGATCATTGTGTTGGAGACAAATCCTTTTCGACGAAGTCAAACTTAAACCGTCACGTAAAAAAGTACCATCCAGAATTTGCGGTTCCAACAATTGGTGGGTTAAAAATAAGACTGCGAGATAAACTTGTGAAAACTGAAATACTGTATTTGTGTCGTAGCGGGAAAATGTCAAGAGCCGGACTGCCAATTTGCCTTTTATTATCTTGAGTCTTTGATTTCACATTTATCTGTTTTTCATAATCGGATTGAATTCAGCGTGAAAGAGAAGGCATTTCAAACGTTTGACGAATTTCTGTCTTGGAAAGCTGATTTTGAAGATGTCACCGCTAGTCAATTCAATCATGCCAATGGAGAGAAAAAAGCAGGAGCCGAAAGTTCTTTCAGAATGTATTCTTGTTTTCGGAATTTTAAATGTGCCGGAGACGGGATTTTGAAAAAAGAACGAAAGCTCAAATGTACCGCTTTTATTAAAGTACGGTTTAGAGCATTGTTACTAAATCATACATCAAGTAACAGATTAAAATTTTCGAAACTAGTAACAAAGGTCATGTAGAGCATAGTGCAGAGTAGACCACATTTAGCAAGTGCTAACATTAGTGCACAACTGCCAGTATTTATCAAGTGGTAACATTAGTGCAGAGGTGCTTGTAAAGCGAAGTGTAAAACACTATGCTGTTATTGATTAAAACTTAGTTTATGCCGACTGTAGAAGTACAGAATATTGTGCGCACCAGACCCGTGCAGTTATGGAAAATTCACGAGTTACTCTATTCATGCAAGTAAACCGAGTTTCGTTATTCATGCAAATAAACCGACCTCGCCAGGGAATGTCTTTCTCACCGGTACTTAATAACGCGGAGAATTTGGGTAAACAAATTAAAATCTTGCGTGACCATAATCTTCATCGAAACGGCTTCGTCAGCGGATGTAACGTGTAAACGTGAACCGTTTTGTTCCCTGGTATGGAGATTATGGTAAAATTATCTGTACTGCCAAAGAAAATGGTTTCGAGGTGGAAAGAATCATGACCTATTTTTATACGAAATCTTTGTATTTGCGCTGTTGCAATATACTTATCATGTTTCGACTAAATACAGATGTTATACTAATAAATATAATGATAACAGCAACAAATCTATTTTTAGGTGAAAATCGCAAGTGAGAGAGTGGTAGCGTCTTACTGTGAGCACCATTATGGTCACGATGTCAATGCTGACCTTCATACCCAAAAAATTTCCGAAAAATTACGACTCGATATCGGAAGCAGACTGGCTTTAGGCGCAGACCCGCGCATGATAGTGCGAGATGTGCGGAAAAGGGCATGGGAAAAACTCCAGAAAGGTTTGTAAGAATATTAAAGCGTTTTACATTGGTTGCGCCCAATTGCAATGTTATACTAACTTTGCAGAGGGTGTTCACTCGCGTGCTTTGTACATCACTTTGAAAGATGTATACAACATTCGTCACGAATTAAAGCTGGACTGGGAGCCATTACAGACCTGTCAATACCAGTCAATGGTAGTTGAAGCGGCTTACGAGAGTACGGTTCCATTACAGGAAAGAAATTTATTATACTTGAAGAACATCTCACAAAAATGTGGCCAGTTCCCAGAATTACCCGAGTCGTATTTTATTGCTGTTGTTCAGACGCCTTTTCAAAGGGCACAGCTTGAAAGACTCAACTGCAAGAGTCTATGCATAGATGCAACACATGGTGTTTGTGGTCAGCGTGGATTCAAACTCATAACGCTCATGGGCATCGATGCTTCGGAACGTGGATTCCCAGTTTGTCACTGCATTTCGAACCACGAAGACGAGTTGACAGTCTCGGCTTTTTTCAAAATATTGAAACAACAGATTCTGGATTTCCGTACGCAGTGGTTTTTATCTGATGATGCTCCTGCGTTTTTTAACGCTTACCAACAAGTGATTGGAGGCGAAGCCAAAAAAATACTTTGTACTTGGCATGTCCGAAAGAATGTAAATCAGTGGCTTGATAGAAACGCCCGCTCGATTACTGATGCAAAAAAACTGTTCGGCAACATTATGTATGCACGTGGAATATCTGAAGCGGAAGCCGAAAGCGCCAAACTTATCAGATTGGTCAGCACTGACAGGAAGGTGTATTCCTATTTATCTCAGTATCTGGAACGAATAAGCGAATGGTCACTGCCGTATCGCATCGGCGCTGCCTTTTCGACCAGTGCGTTCATTGAAAGCTTTCATAGGTTAGTCCATTTTGAGAGTGCGGTTAAATTTCGTTTTATTACAATGTAGAGTGTATACTGTACAAGTAGTATTTTTAAGGGTGGCAGTATACATAGTTAAGATGTAGACGTACTAAACGCGCGCTAGACAAACACTGCATGGTCGAGCCGCTCCCGTCTGTGTATGGGCAGTTTTGGTAGTCACACTTTAAAATCACACACTTAGCGTGATTTTGAAATTTATGTAAGTAATCGTAGTTTATAATAATATTATAATACTCGTATACTATACGAGTATAGTACTACCGGCCGAGTACTGAGTATACTCGCAGATTCACAATTAGTTCATATACAGTACTTGTTCATGGAAGTAGTGACCTTAGTGTAGACATTAGTGCTGAAGAATACTGTAAGCTGAGTACAAATGAAAGTGTTAAACGTTGTACTCATACTGGTAGTTATTATTGATTGCTGAATGGTGGTATGGGTAGACTCGCACTGTTACCAAAGTTCAAACGTTTTAAAAGAATTAAAATCGCGTTCGCAGGTTGGTCTTGACTAGTTAGAAGTTATAAAGCAATGCGAGTAATGCGTCTTCTGACTCCCGTTTATTCAGCAAGCCTCAAGGCGGCCTCTTAGTTCACCGAAAACGGCATCGGCGTAAAACATGTCAATTAAAAGAACTTAGTCAACGTAAAAAATGAGAAAACTAAAACCTTGTGGCGGCCCGTGGTCAGGCGTTTTGCATATTCATTACCACTTAAAATGCCACAGAAAAATTAAAAGTGCAAGTTGCAAACTGCAACACACGATATCAGATAACAGGATATTTAACACGCCGCATGAAGGCCGGTAATCAATGTTGAATGTACTGACCCGTGCAGTAGGTTTGACCAATCTATCAGCAAAGTCGTGTTGTAGTGATAGCCAGGTCACTACGAGTACTGCACAGTAGAACTAGTATTATTAATTCCTTATTAAGTAAGTAATAATACTAAGTATTCCATATAACAGATTTTTATACTTGAGTACACCCGCTAGCGACTCGAAAGAATTGAAAGGAAATTCTTTCCAATGTCGCCTTAAATTTATCGTTCGACCGGTACCGGTACCGGCATCTGTGAGCACACTTAGGAGGTCATCTTTTTTAAATAAAAAAACATGTGACACAGTTTCTAACCTAGCTGAATCGAATGTGGATCCTAATTTTATGTAGTCCTCTCTAGTTTTTCGGATGCCGAGATTACGAGTTGTTGTAATATAGATCTTATTCCTTGATTATTCTCTGATAGCACGAACGGAAGGCTGTACGGTACAACATTACGTAATCGCAAGGTCGGCCGGAAAATAATTTCAAATGAAAAGCTCCAGCCCTGAGTTCCGGGCGCTTACTGTTAGCACTGATCTCATTGTAATTAACTAAATCTAGTATCAGTATGTTCTGCAATCTACGAGTATGAACCAGTGATGAAGTTTGTGCTATTTGTATATTTTTAGAGTTCTTAAGCGTGTACATCTGAATGCAAAAACCGGCATGCGAATCGATGAGTTGTTTGGGGGCTTATTGGACTACATCGAGCAGTTGGAAATTAAACGTTTTACTGATACCGTGACTGCCAAACCATCGTATCGGCAGCAGGAAATCAAACGAAATCACCGGGAGGCCGCAAAATTAATTTCCAAGTATTCGTTCGAAAAGGAGGCAGAATTCCGCTTTGTTTGTAAGAACTTGAATTCTGGAAATGAACACGTCATTATTATCGCTGATTGCGCAACCAAAAACTGCGAAACCTTTTGCGCCGGATGCAATGTTGCGGTTTGTCTACACCGTTTTTCTTGCGACTGTCCCGCTGCGGTGGGAGGATTTCGGGCTTGTAATCATGTTCATTTGCTTTGCCTATCCGAAAACGCACATCTTCAGTTGTCTTTTTTTTCTGAAGATTCACCACAATCAGTATGAAACACACTTTTTTGCTCGATTTGGTACTTTCAGTGACTTTCATTTTTTTGTAGGTTGACTCGGTCAGTTCTGAAAATTTCGCCCAGGTGTCTGACGTTCCGATGCCCACGCTGCCGCTTGCTTCGGCTGTCCCAC